AGAAAATAGCCTAATATGATAGCAGCGATAGTACAGAGCAAAGAACGCTCAGTCAATGAATAACGTTAGAGCAAAACTACGGGGAGGCGATAGACAGCACACGACTGGCACTGTGGAGTACCGCAAACGTTTAAAGGTACACGTATTGTTCAGTAGTGGGTGCTAAGAAGACAGAACGGGAGGCAGGCTTGTTTCATCCGACTGTTCTGGCCGCTCCCGCTAAATCACGGACACAAACTAAAGTGGAAGGAAGATCGACTAAGGTGACTAATAATTATTATCACTTTCTCTCGAAATGAGGAACATAGCCATATAGGCGGTGAAGCTTACACTTTACAGCTTCGCTTGGAAGTTGGAGTGAAACCTAGAAGGTAGTGCAGTACATAATCATGTAACTACTGAAGCGGCAGCTGACTCATAGTACCCGACCCACGTGGCTTGCAACATGGAGCATTTTGACCGGCACAACAGCACTTCCTTGTTGCGAGATTTTCGCCTAAATGGCCGATAAGCATGCCATGTTGAACTATGGGTACATACGGCAATAGAGTGTAGCAGCGCTGGATTGCTACATAGTCATTGTAGCTGGGAAAAGATGGGGACAATGATTCAGATGACGCTGGAGACTCCACGCCTCAATCACAACCGGCTGCAGACTGCCCGTGTGACCAGTTTTCGCTCGTCTGCTAGATCAGCAATTGGCATGAAAAGCACCAATAATGCCAGTTTGCTGCAGATATGCCACTTTAATGCTCGACAGTGCTAGTTTACTAAAAACAAGCATACAATACTACTTATAACGGTAACATTAGCCGCCGATGCCTCCTCCCTATTCACCAGGATTGGCTGGGGCCTGATTAGCTACAATCAGCCGCTGATTGATTCGCTTCGGTCCACCCACAGTGTAGTCAACGAGCCTCACTGATTAGTTGGTTAATGCTACTCATGATAGGGAGGAACTTTTGCATGAAGTTTACGGCTACTTCCCCGGAAACCGTCCAAGACATTCCTTGTTGTGAAGTCCGAGTGTCGGGCGGAGGCAGAGCGAGTCTTTGCAGGATCTGGCATCAAGATAGCTGGTGAGGGTGACAACTTGGCTCACAAGTCGGGACAAAGGCATTTGGGCGCTGCTATCGGCTCAGAGGAGTTTGTCTCTGCCTATCTGGAGGCAAAGGTTCAAGCATGGACCAACCAGATTGAGGGACTTGCCAATGTAGCAGCTACACATCCTCACGCTGCATTTGCTGCTTTGGTCTTCGGTTTGCGTCGTGACATGGCTCACCGGTGGACATTCCTCCAACGCACTATGCCCACTGTTAGTGATCACATGCAGCCTCTACAGGATGCTATTCGCAGCCGTCTACTGCCAGCTCTGACCAAGCATGAAGTGAGCAATTTGGAGATGGAGATGGTGGCTCTGCCTGCTCGACATGGAGGCTTGTCTTTCGACAACCCTGTCGCGGACTCCGTGCAAGCACGCTGCGCACTCCACCCACCTCGCAGCTCAGATTGCCACCGGCGGATCGGAGTTGCTGGAGAGCATTCGGCTGGACCAGGCAACCAAGTCGGCAGTGCGGAATCGCCACCGCGCAGTACTGGACGCAACAGCTACCGCCATCCAAGACCGCCTGCCGCAGCCACAACAGCGAGCAATGTCCTTGGCAGGCGAGAAGGGCGGGTCCAGCACCCTGACCACCGTCCCTATGGCTGAGCACGGTTTCACCTTTGATGTGAAAGCTGACTTTCACGACCATATCCGGCTCCGGTACTGTTGGCCTCTTGACAACCTACCAGCATCCTGTCCCTGTTGCTCAATGTTTTCAGTCGACCATGCCCAAATTTGCAAGCTATCGGGGTTCATCCCCATGCGACACAATGATCCCACCGACTTCCTCACGTCGTGCATGTGAGCTCCATCATGATGACGAGGTGGAGCCACCATTGCAGCCTCTAACTGGCGAAACCTTTCACCATCGGCCAGCCAACACTGATCCTGATGCCCGTGCCGACCTGTGCCGTGAAGGGATTCTGGACCGATAGCCACAACGCATTCTTCGATCCAAAGGGGTGTTTTATCCCCACGCGCCAAGCCATCGGTCCAAGCCCCCCCCCCCCTCCCTCTACGGAAGGTTTGAAGACGAGAAGAAGCGTGCTTACGGTGAACGTGTCAATAAAGTCCAGCATGGCTCCTTCTCACCGTTAGTATTTTCCTCCTGTGGTGGGATGGGCTTAGAAGCCACCGTGGTAATCAAGAGGCTTGGCCACCAAACGCAACGCTGCCTATAGCCGGGTTGTAAATTGCCTGCGGTGCTGCTTGGCATTTTCTCTTGCCAGGTCTGCCATCCGTTACGACCGCGGATCGCGCTCTGTTCGCCGTCGTCACTTCGACCTCGCGCCTGTCGACTTCGTCCAGGCTGAGGCGTATCTGGCTCGACATTACACTGTACTCACAGCCATTAAATCTCCTTTCTTCCTGTTGTAAAATTACGTACTATCCGGCGTGTATTTACCGCCATATTGCCAGGTGCGTGTTTACCACAATAATTATGAATAAAATACTCAGGACCCCCCAAAAAAAATCTTTTCATCCGTCTTGCCCCTGGCCCTTGAAGAAGAGTAGTAACTAAATACGGTAGGCTCTACGGAAGTTATAATGCACTCGACTCAACTCACAAGTGCAAGCCTTGGTTGGATATGATGGCATTGATCATGTTGATGGAGCCTGGACTCTGTGACTCTTCCTCTTGCCTTGGCAGTCTGGCCTTGGAAACGGAAGGCTGCCGCTTGGACACTTGCAACTAGGGTCCAGCGGATAATGCCGGCAGTATATTCGGCATTATACGACTATCCGAGCATCAGAGCATTATGGAGCATTAGAAAGGAACAAAACGAGCATTATGTGAGGTTTGAGCGGCAGAACGAGTTTCATAGTGGATAATATCGGGAAATCCCAGGTTTTTGGCAACAATCGGCTACAATCATGATCGTGAGATGTTGTCTGATGATTGGTTTTTGCCATGAAACTCTGAGTAACAACGAAACAGCCCTATTTTACTCCTTTTGTGTACCTCTAGCGTACTACGCTCCGCCCATTCCGGGCATTTCAGCACTATGCATTGTACCGGCGCATGACTTTGTGATTGTGTAGACACGTAACACCTTTAGCACTAACGCTACAATCATAACTATTGCTACATAAAAACGTTAGATTGTAGCCGGATGTGGCCAGGTAAATGTATACAAGCCATTTGTGAAGCATGCCCAACCGAGGCCGAGGCAGTTCAAGTGACACAAATCCGGAGAAATTATTTACGAGGCTTCTTTTACTACTGTGACTTTTAGAATATATTAATAATGGAGAGCTATGGAGGAGACATACGCGAAGTGAATATCAAACAGACGAAGAGGAGTTTTCTAGTTGTGCCAGAGGCTCTGGCGATAGCATCTCTAGCGATACTGAAGTAAACAGTGATGTATTGCTAAATTTGGACCAGGATGAAGGAGCGGCTATAAACAGAAAGAGCTCGTTCCAAAAGAACTGCCTTTGCCGAGTCCAGCTCAGGAGGCTCGAAAAGAACTAGAATTTCTCATGAACTCAGTACCAAGTCGATTGCTCAGCAGCGCCTGTCTTACTTTCCTGATGAAGCACGTACAGTTAGCTGTGGACGGTTGTAATGCCAGGCCTACAGTCAAATGCTATCAGAAAGTAAGAGTATTGTGGCGAGCCATATGTCTACACACCATCTCAACTCGAGCCACAAGCACAGGATGTAGAGTGGCAAAATAACTTCTGATCACGTGTTTTCAGGATTTCCGGAAATGGGAGGGGTATCCATCTGAGATCGGATCTCAGTAGCTGGCCTCACGTCTGGTGTTTCAGATGAAGACATTATTCACAGAGTGGACGCAATGACAGCTTGTCTGCAGGCAGGAATACTATTTGCCAAGATTAACTTCATCCCAACAATGAATGACTACCTGCAACAATGGTTTGATCTCTCACTACATGGATAATTAGGGGAGGGATTTGATACACCGACTATTCTGCCACAACCCTGCATCGAAGTTGGAATGGAGAGCAATCAATGGAGAAGCGATCATGACTCATAGTTCTAAGAAGTAGTAGAGCTCGTGAGAGATAAGGTGGCAACTTCAGATGCAGATCGACGATATGCATAATTTCCTGGAAGTTTGACAATGTGCAGACTTTCTTCCATTTTTGTCCCAAACCAAGAGCATTATATCCCTTGCTGAAGCATTATAATCAGCATTATGGTTAGCATTATACGAACATTTTCGGAGCATTATCAGCTACAAGTTGTCACTTGCCTTGGCTTGGGGCTGGTACCAGGAGTAGTAAAATACCATAATGTTACTACTCCCTTGGGGAGATCTAGGATTTGTACTAGGGGTGCGTTCTTAAATCCTCTCGGAAAAGTTGGAGACTCTCCGAAAAGTTCGAGAGCTGTTCTTATATCCTCTCCGACTTTTAGGAGGCGCTCCAAAGCTCTCCAAGCTCTCCAAGCTTCAGAGGTGGTTGAAACTTGGAGATCCCCGCGGTTTGGGATCAGCGCATGCGAACTACGACTAAAAGCCACGTGTTCATCATGAGTGTACGCATTTCCCTTTTCGCATACGCACATACATTCATCACTCAAGATCGCGGCCCCTTTGACGCTTCATTTTGCTTGACATGTGCAAAATATCTCCGAATTCTTCGAGACCCGTTCTTGAGTAATCCCAGTTTCTTCGACTTCTCTTTTCTTCTTCTTCTAGAAGCTAGATTATAAGAACGCACCCTATACCCCCCCCCCCCCCCCCCCTAGTATTCAAATCCTAGATCCCGGCTAAAAAAAATAGGCGATAGCTCATATACGCGTAGCTAGTCATTTTTTTAAATTTTTGTTGTAGATCTACGAATTCTTTCCGCGCGCTTTTGCATGTCACTGAACAGATCACCATGATCACTGCTGATCAGTACAGTCAGTGAGTCTTGAGTATTTTGCTTCTTGACGTTTGGAACAGTCAAATTAATTGAAATAGTCAGACGAGCTTCTGTTTCTGCCCCTAGCGCCCTGCTTGACCTTGTGCTATTGAATATCGTGTCACGAATGTTTATGATATACTACGTACGGAAATGGGGTCATCTACTATCGTAACAGTTCAGTTGGCTTTCCAGTTCTCCCAGGCTATTACTTTCCGCTCGCTTTATACTGGACTGATCTCCGCGTAGAAATAACTGCATTGCCTTTCACGAACATGGCGCGTTGCGCCTAAGCGCCACCGGACAGGCGTGAGTGTATTTCAGGCCTCTCTAGTCTCTACTTGTTTGAACTGTCGATATTCCTGTTTCATAAAACAAGACAGTTATTACATTACCGTACCGACAATTATTTCGTACAAGATCTTTTGAGCGAGCCCACGTGTGAGTGCACTTGCCCTGAAAAGTAAAATATTCTTTTCGGTTTGACTGCATCTTGGCGTTCCACAAGCATTTGCAATGGGAATGAAGTGTGTCAGCTTGCGATAGCTACTGCTGAGCAAGCCTGTGACAGTGTAATACTGATATTTTTCAATGCCAGGACAAATTTGCCGTACATGCTAAGTTTCAATACCACCTTGGATTGGATTGGATTGGTTTATTTAACCCTGTACATGCATATCAGCATACGGAGTCCTTGTACAAGTGGGGATGTGTAAGAGGGAAAGTTACACTCCACGTTTGTGGAGGCAACAGATTTGAATTTTCGCAAGAGCGTACGCGTCGCTTTCCGCAGTTGCCATTGCCATTTTCGTTTCTGCGCTTCCGCCGCGTCTGAGCGTGCACACATGTTACCCAGAAAATACAGAAAAAACTTTTGGTTACCGTTGTGACATCGATGGACGAAAAAAATTTCCACCGGACAAACTGTCTTTCTTTGGAGTTGGACGACTTTATTCACCGGCTTAATGTGCTGCTAATACAGTGTGTGTGTGTAACAACTCAGCTGTGGGTTTGTGTGGTGCTGCGTCTTATTGGCTCTGCCTTTGTTCCTGCTGATGCCATTGCAGGCTTGAAATTCCACCGCCATGTCTCGGCGCAATAACCACTCCACCACACCAAACAGTGGGCCTGCAGGCTCGAAAGTTAAAAGGACCACCGGTGCTGGCAAGAAACACAACAGCGGTGTGTCGGACTGCACACGCAGCTGTTCTCTGGAGGCGCATGCGCTGAAGGTTGCCACGTTTGTTGCCAGTGGCAAGAGTATCGACGTTCTCCGCCGCAAGCTGCCACTGCTCTGTAGCAATGCTTTCCAGAACTTGACTGAAACAGGCAAGCTAGTTAGTGGAGTTAAGAGCTGCTGCTGGACTTGGTGTGTGTGTGTGTGTTCGTGCGCGCGCGCGTGTGTGTGTGTGTGTGTGTGTGTGTGTGTGTGTGTGTGTGTGTGAGTGTGTGTGTATATGTGCATGTATGTGTGTATGTGTGCATGTATGTGTGCATGCATGCATGCATGAATGTGTGAGTGTCCACTTTGAGAGAAGACTCCGTAACCCGGATGGTCCCTAACGCCAGTAACGGATATTGTCATCTCTGGTATACATTTGTTTTTGTTTTTTTCTCAGGTCATTCTGTGCTTCATATCGCAGCCCAGTATGGCTACTATGACATCATCAAAGAGCTGAAAGAGGAACTGACCTCGCAGGATCTGAACCGCGCTGACAGGGAAAGCCGCTACACCGCCCTGCATTTGGCCATCTACTATGGACAGCTGCACTGTGCCGTGCTGCTGCGCCAGGTACGGTGCTCCGATGGTGCGCTAGTGGGCCCGGTCATGTACGGTCATGTATAGAGCGAAACCCTGTCTAAGACGACCGCTCAAGGGACCATCAAAACGTGGTCTCTGTTACCAGGTGGTCTCCCTAGCCAGGGTCATTTGACTGGAAATCACATCCCTTGGTCCTGGGTTCAGTGGTCTTCTAGGACAGGTGGTCTTCTAGGACAGGTGGTCTTCTAGGACAGGTGGTCTCCTTGACAGGTTTTACTGTAGTACCTGTTGTGATGTTGATCCCGGTCTCCTCTTTGTGCTGTGCCATGTACAGTGCTGGACATTTTGTTCACCGTTGTGTCTCGTATTGAAGCCTGTCTCGTGTAGAAGCCTGACTTTCAAGATACACTCGGGCACATGAGCCTGGTTTTAGTGTTGACATACACGCACATAGAAATACCAGTCTTGTATAGAGGCCTGTATCATAATAAAAAGCCTGCAAAGTTTCCCCCAACAAATCATATAAGCCGCGGCTTTTATACACGACTTAAAACGGTATGTACTGTGTGCTGCCTGTGTAGCTCGGTGCTGACTTGTTCTTGCGCGACTATGATGGTTATCCTGCTCACCGACTTGCTAGTCTGGATCGTGTTGAACATGAAGTGAAGAGACACTGCGAGTTCTTTGCACAGCCGCAAGGTAGGTGTTGCAGTGTGGAGCGTTTGCCTGTGTGTAACCCCTCCCCATACACACACACACACACACACACTACTATGATACTACTATGATACAGCTACCCTAAACGGGTCACGCCGCCCTCCACCCAAGCATGAGCACTATGAGGGGCAATGGCAAATAAAGAGAATCAGCTAGCAGAACTGGCAAAACAGATGAAACAATGGAGCAGAACGGACGACTGCTGTACAATCATGTTCGAGTACTGTAACAACAACCTGACAGCTACAGTGACAACAACTGAAAATGAACAGGAAAGAAAAAAATTCAAAATTTCACTCCACGAAAAAACACTGTCCACGAAAGAATCCACCAAGCAAAAGGAGTGTGGGCATCCGAAATCCCACCAGGACTCCACTAGCAGTTCTTCCACGTTGACGATGAAAGCGGCAGGGCAATGCCTCACAAATCCGACAGACTTCCGCAACGCTTGACCAGTGCACTCATGACGACGAAAGATTGAAGTTTCAATTCCCACCATTCCGCCATGCGACCTTCCTCTCCGCACTCGCTCGTCCACTCCACTGAAACAACGACTTGTTCCAGCACTCCACCAGCCAATCCGCAATTCCCACCACTGCATTCTTCGAGCTTGGATTCTTCACAGCACTCGAGGGATAGCTACTCCACTGCGAGTGGTGGACCACGGCCGACGCAGCAGTGACAATATCGAAGTAAATTGTCCTGCAAGCTACATCGCGATTCCGCGGTCCAATCATGCAGCACTACCTTGGCAGTGTGCGAGGGTGCTCCAGGGTCGACTCTGGCTACGCCGCGACACACACACACACACACACACACACACACACACACACACCACATCCACCCATCAAAGCCGCATACACACACACATGTGTGCGCACACACATTCACAGACACACACACGCACACATACACACACACACACACGATCGCGGGCCGTTACTCGCAAGGCTGACTGTAACTGCCCGTGTGCGAACTACGAACGTGAGTTGCATGGCCTCACTCTTGAGTTTGCTTTCCTTTCTACCATGTGCTGCTTCAGATGGCTTTCCTCAACTTGCACCTCTGACCTGGGGCACGAACGTCAACAACCTCCTCGGTCATGCTGACGTCAAACCTCGCGCCCAGCCCGACTTCTTGCCGCTGCTTGTCGGTTGCAAGAGATCTGTTGGTTGCACCGATAGACATGTTCAGCCGAAGGTCAGTGCTAACGCTACTGCACTACGGCGTAGTACTAATGTGTTCATCAGTAGTGGCTACATGCACTGTAGGCATTGGGAACTGCAAGTATGGGAGAGTACTGTCAGTCGACAAATTGTCGCCCCATTCAAATTTCGGCCCACCAGGGCTGAACGCATTTCGGTTGCAACACATTTTCGGCCTGTACTGCTGTCTGTATACACTGTCACACTGAACCTGCTAAACAAAATTTCGGCTGCAACAATTTTTCGGCCAAATATTATCAGGCCGAAAATAGCCGAAAATAAATATGCGCTGAATATTTGTAGACTTACAGTATAGATGCTATGTGAGTGGCCTACATGTATGTCATGCTTTGCATGGACTGGCCAATGACTCAATGTGTCTGTGCATGTGTCCTTGCTTTTGTGTGTGTGCTTGTGCCCGTGCACGCACGTGCGCCTGCCTGTGTATGCTGCGGGGCTACCCGGCCATGTTCAGGCTGCCCTGAGTAAGTTCCACATGATACTGGTGACGTCGCGCGGTGAGGTGTTCACCTGCGGCCATGGCCGCGGAGGACGTCTCGGCCATGGCGGTGAGGAATCCGAGCTGGTGAGTGTGATGGCTGCTGTGCTGGCATAGCAAATTAGCAATGCACCAATGCATCCATACTTTGTTACAGAGGAAGGTAGCAGTACGTCAGTATGATGTCCACTGTCAATGGGATGTTTCCCACGGAAAGAAGACTACGTTGATCTAATAATCTCACTTTGAAACTGTCCGATGTGTGACCAAGATTTAAGTCTGGAATGGTGTGCCCATTGCCCAGCCCTCTCATACACTGTACCAATGTACTGGTTTCCCTATTCCTTGCGCATTACAGAAGCCGCGGATTGTTGAGTTCCTGCTCAAATCAGCCGTTCATCTTGTAGCTGCGGGACAGAATCACAGTGTGTTTGTGGATGTGGAGTAAGTGACTCTCAACATAGTGTAATGTTCATTTGCTCACATGTTAGCGCATGCGTGTTCACTTGTGCTTGTACTTGTTGCTCACTGCCAAAACTGGTCACGTGGGTCTCCCCGGGGAGAGGGGAGACTCAAAAGGAATCTTGGAAAGATGACTCAATTGGCTATTGAACCACCCAACGGCCGACACCCCCTGAGATCCCAAAAACTCTGGGTGGACTTGAAAATGATCCCACTTAGGGACTCACCACACCTCAGTAAGTGGGTGAGGACAAGGTGCAGAAAAAGGATTGACGGCATCAGGGTATCCGTCCCGGGATCCAACTGCAGTTACCCCTGCCCCCAGTGAAGGTAATACTTGCTACTAGTGTGAGTGGCTAAATCAGAGTGGATCTGATAAAAGCTTCACTAGCACCATTGATTACACAAGAGTTAATCTAGCCAGAAGCAGTCCATGGTTAACAGGTATGTATACTTCAAATAGAAAGTATATGAACCCTGGAACCAACAAAGGTGGCAGGTACAACATTACACCTTCAACCAGCCGAGCCTGTTGGCAACAGACCCAACACAATCAGGCACAAGTGTACCTACCAAGCGAACTAACTGGCACTCACACACACACGCGCACACATGTACCACACACACACATACACACATACACATACACACACACGTGCGTGCCCACACATGTACCACACACACACACACACACACACGCGTGCGCACACATGTACCACACACACACGCACACATACATACACACACACACACATACACACGTCTGATGGTAATTCTGGTACATGTAGATATATAATAATGTTCATGTCCAACAGTATCACGGCACCACACCTAAACAAAATTGTCTGTTTGTGTACTCGCTATTGACAGCAATAATTTGTACACGTGCGGCAACAATGAGAATGGCCAGCTTGGTCAGGCATGCACACAGCAAAGTGGCAAGCAAGTCGCCAATTCACTGAGCCCGCGGAAGGTGAGTACGGATATTTGTGTTGGCTTTGGGTGTGTGTGTGTGTGTGTGTGTGTGTGTGTGTGTGTGTGTGTGTGTGTGTGTGTGTGTGTGTGTGTGTGTGTGTGTGTGTATTCATGCATGTGCGTGTGTGTGTTTGTCGGTGTGGTCAGCTAAGTTTGCAGAATTGGAATTGCTGCGGGAAACCTTGGTTACCTGGCAAGGTACAAGCTAATTCTTTATTTGCTGCTCCAGGGATAATTATGTGTGTGTGTGTGTGTGTGTGTGTGTGTTTGTTTGTGTGTGTCCGTGCTTGTGTCTGTGTGTCCGTGCTTGTGTGTGTACATGTGTGTACGTGCTTTTGCTTGTGTGGCTGTGTGTGTGTGTATGTGTTTTGATGTGTTTTCTATCAGGTATGGTTGAAAGAAGAGAGGCCTATCATCGGTGTGGCCGCATCGCGCTATCACACTGCTGTCATTACTGCCTCTAAGCTCTACGTCTTTGGTACTGATCGTGGACAGCTGGGTATGTACAATGAGGACAGATTCCAATACATGTACAGTCAAACCTAGTTAGGAAGAACTTCAAGGGAGCGAAAAAGTTTGTCTTATTGGGAGTTCTTCTTATCCAGATCTGACAAAAAATTGATATGCATATCATTATACTATTATAATTTATAGTAGATTGTTTTTACGTGAAGGTGCATGCTGTGGCAAATATAAAACATTTCTTTCATAACATAACCCAGCAACAGGTAAGTACAATGTGCAATGAATTCATGACAGCATTACATCCGCCTTGTAACATGTTTTGCCAGTACAAGAGGCCTCGACTATCGGGGAAAAAATCCTACAGCCAGCTTACCCACAGGGACCGAAAGTTCATAATACACGCTGATTTTGTTCAAATCACACTTGAAAGTAATTTGTCTTCACGAAAGTTCGCCGTACAGAGTTCGTCATAAACGAATAATTTTGACTTGATATGATGCCTGGCCAACCATAGCATTGGCCCAAGTTCGTACTAAAGGAAAGTTCGCCTTATCAGTGTTCGTCCTAACGAGGTTTGACTGTACTTCAAGCATTCTGAAATACTAGTATAAAAGTGCATGTTGGATGAAAAATTCTAGCAATGCCTCAGGCTTGGAAGGTGTTCGCTGGTATTTTCCCTAGTCAACAGGAAGACAGGAAGGGTTGAGCAGTGACGAAGACGGTACGTCTTAAACTACTAAATGGAATTTTGCAGAAGTCTTGCCGACTACTCCACAAGTCACATCACCCATATCTCTCAAGATGTGCTCCATTCAGAGAATGGATCAGATTCGTTGATCATTCTTGTACTTTGGTAGTCGTTTCAAGATGGCAATTTTGGATGGCATACCAGTTCCGTTTGTGTTGATGTGACCTGGATGCGTACTTATTTACCTGTGTGTGTTCTTGTGTGTGTGTGTGTGTGTGTGTGTGTGTGTGTGTGTGTGTGTGTGTGTGTGTGGTGTGTGTGTGTGTGTTCGTACTCGATATAACAATGCAGGACGAGCGGAGTCACACAACACCAGGGTGGCGACGCCATTCTGCGTGGTAAGCATCTACGCAGCCCACACCGCTCAACTGTTGTGCTGTGCTGTAGTACTAAGACCTGGGTATATTGGCCACTATGGTGGATAACATGGTAACCTTATGGTCCTCTCTTTTCTAACTACAAGAAGTGGCCAACCTTCTTGAGGGCTTGGCCGCATACTCCTTTAATTAAGCCATGTTTAAATGCACCGTCGGGCTTGTTTGGCCAGGCTGCAAGCTCTTTGTAGAGACGGGTGCTTTCTGTGGAGCTTGGGGTACCTGTGTCAGGAACTGCGGTGGTGACACGTTAACCCTGACCTTATGAGTACGTGTACTGCAGTTCCGGCCAAAGAAATCAAACCTCGTGAATAAGGCAGCGCCCTGTGCAATTTTATCCATGTGGTTGGATTTCTTTGGCCAGTGCAGTAGTACCTGTCAGCGTCAGGCAGAACACCGCGTCAGTGTGCAGCCCAGTGTTTGTAATGACGAGACTCCGCGCCGCATTTAGTACGGATGAGGTCCAATCATTTCACCTAACACAGTCGGGTTGCCGAAGAACGTAGCGCCGAAGAACGACCAGGCTGGGATTTCACCAAGCACAGCATACCAATGTATGCACGGTGACTCAACTCTGCATACACCCCATAGTACATGAAAATAAGAACGGCCTTGTAGGCTACGGGGCTGACCCCCCCTCCCCCAGTTCTTCGGAACCCGGCAGTTCTGTAGTTCTTGCTCTGGTCAAGCAGAGGAGCTGCTGCTTAGCATCTTCCTCACACAAACTGGGGGATGCATCATGACCCATTGAACAACCAATCTGTTCTCCGAATGTCCTCGATCTGGGTTGTTGTGCCATCGTCCTCAGTAGTAGCACGGTGCTCATGGAAACTTATATCAAAGTCTGTATCCTTTCAAAAGTGTACAGTACTATCGTTGTGTGGCATTTATTTGCAAGCCGCCAATGTGCGCATGAGTGGACGCATTGCTGAATGACGTATGTGTGCGGGCGTTCACATATTCGTTTGCGTGTTTGTGCGGGTGTGTTTGTATGTGTGTGTGTGTGTGTCCCTGCGTGTTTCTGTACGTGTGTGTGTGTCCACGCACGTGTGTGTGTGTTTTGCGTGTGTGAACGTGTGTGTTGCGTGTGTAAACGTATGTTTGTGTGCATGCTTCCGTGTGTGTATGTGTGGTCAGCCTCTGAACTACCAGAATGGCTCGGAGTTTAGTATCAGCGAAGTGGCCGCGTCCAACGACGTCACGGCGTGCTTGTGCCGTGCGAGCATTTGGCTCGACGAGCATGGCTACACCACCTCGTACTTCGTGTTTGTGTGCATGAACCACACTGTACACTTGGTCACCTGCCTCACTTCTGGGTATGTTTCATGTGTTCCAACATGGTTTTGTCCCTTAGAAAAAATTCACCGTTCATGTGAGACTCGGCTAGAGGCCAAGCTTTCCGCATCCGTAGGAACGCCCCCCCCCCCCCCCCTTGAAGTAAATCCCTTAACCCTCCCGTTTAACTCCACTGTTTTTGCACATGGCGTGAATTTTGCTCATATTGTGTCTTGTTTTGCTAATTGGGAACTCGTGGTCTGGCACGAGGGAAACATGGATGAGTTGATGTAATGAGTTGACAAGTTTCACTGTAGGACTCGAACCAGGGACCCTGGCTAATGGCCAGGGATGTTCTACCACTAAGTTTGGGTGTAGACATCATCCCAGCTGCCACTGTTCAAAATATTTTCTTCAGGCTTCGAAGCTCATGTTTCGTACTTCTGTTTGTGTATGTTTGTACACGTGTGTATGTGTGCGTGCGTGTGTGTGTGTTTGTGTATATACCGGTAGCCTCTGTCAGTTGAACTTGTGGACCCGTCTGTCTGCGTCATCCGCGGCCTGTGCTGCTACGGGCCCTGCGAAGAAGTCCGAAGTTAAGGCGCGTGCCAAGGAGACCGTTGTGATGTGCTTGTCGCAGCGTAACGAGGTACGTTGCAAGAATTTGTTCCGAGAAATCTCCTTTCTTCCCAGGTTCGTGGGAGTCTAGTGTAGAGTTTCCTTGACTGTAGTTAGGGATATCAGCGAACGCACTGCGCAGCGTGTTCACACATGTCTTACGTCATACAAAAATCTATGAGGCGCACGGCCGACAAGAAAAAATGGCGATCGTTGAAATCATGTCTTGGGTCAGGCACAGCTCAGGCCGGCGCGGCCAGGAGTAAAAAATAAAATCGACACTCGACAAGAAGCCTGTTTGTTGGTTTGCTTGAGCTCGATTCATTCAGGAAAGGAGACATCAGGAGCTAATATTCTTCGGCGCCTATGACTGGTAAACGCTCTCAAGCAAAGACATGACAAAGGAAGAAGACGTTCGTAGCTGGACGGAGGTTTGTTTGCAACACAGAACAGTACTCGTACTTCCTTGCGAACAGGCCACCTGGTGACCTTTTGGTTGCGTCTGAAACTTACTTGTTGCTAGCAATGCCAAGAACGTTTCCAAAACGTGGGCCCCTACTCCCTTGTCTAGACAGCCATGACCAGAAACTACTTGGGCACAGGACCTCGATGCAAGAACAGGTCACTGTCATTCAAAACTTACTTCAAAAGTGCCACTCGTGGTACATGTACGTACACGTATCATGGTGCCCAGGTAAGTATTAATCTTTCAATTATTTTCGCGCGAACGCCTCCGTGGATTTCCTCCAATCTTGGCACGTGTAGTCCACATGGTCAGGCCAATTCAATGACGTCTTCAAAAGGGGACTTCCCTGGGTAGATCTTGCCAGGTACCAGCCGATGTACTACGAAATCTAGCTGACGATCGTCCATTTTTGAGCTGGAAGAAAGTGCCTCGGAAAACCTGTGGACGACGTCGAGAACAGTATAATAAGCGATGCATGTATTCGTAGTCACCTTTGTAGCCATCGCCCAGCGTCGTAGATGGAAGCTTCGAAGAAGCTCGGCTCTAGCTGATCTTCTTCCTCAGACACTTCTTCGCCATTCCGTCCTTCTTTTCCATCCTGATTCACTGGCGAATTGTTTCCGTTGTGGATGGTCACGGCTTGTCGGCCGCGTGAGATGTGCACGTGATCACCTGCGCAGTGGTCGGCGCAGTGCGTTCGCTGATATCCCTACTGTTGTAGTATATTCAGGTCAACTCTTCCAGAACCACCTGCTCTCAATGCAGATTGTAGGACGATCCAAAGGACGCTACCTTGGGAGGCAGGGCGAGGTTAAGCTTGATCTTGACTAGTATAATAATGCGTAGGTTATAACTGATGTAAGTAACAGATTATGGCCCTTGGAGATTCACTACACATTATACATTGTACTGAAGTTTGACAACATTTCTGCTTGTACCTGCAGCTGTTGAGTTGGTCTTGTGGCGACTCATCGTTCCGCAAGTGCAACTTCAAGAACGGCCCTCCGCCTGGCAGAAGTGAGTAGGCATGTTGCAATCGTGTGTTCGTATACTGCCGTTTTATATGAGAGAATCTAATCCTTTGGATCGGAGTAAGCGGGACGGCGGTTTCGGTTAACATTGTCTTGAGCTATTTAGCAGGAGAATCTCAACTCAAATGTACACGTTTATAACAGTAGTCTTCAGCCAGGTGTCAGCAGTTTTGCTGGGGTAATAATAATAATAATAATAATAATAATAATAATAATAAACACAGCTCGCATCTTCCCTGAACCTGTTACTAGACAGGAGCAGAGTCGACGCATCGGTCAACAGTGTCAAGCCAAGTTAGTTAGTTGCTGGGGTAATTACATCTATATTTTCCTTGCTATTAGCTGAATTCTTATCGCGCTGCTTCTCACGCCCGGCTCTAACTGACAGGAGATTTAGCCTTTATCAATGCTGGTTTGAGAGCTTGCACATCATTGTGAACCTGATGAAGGCAATTTGCCGAAACGTTGTAGTATTGTGAAATGAGTTGAATTATTGCAGTGTTATTAACTGTTATGAAACTGCAGGACACCTCCCCACTTTTACTTAAAATAATAGAAGCACGGTCTCCAATATGAGCGCGGTCTCCAATATAAGCACGGGGTAGAGGGGTGTTGAAAAAATATAAGCACGGCGCTTATAATAGAGAATATACGGTATATTTTCCTTCCTACTGATTGTATTCACGTGTTACTGATTACGGTGGAACACACTTAGTACATGTACTCTGATAAGACATACTGTAGAAGCAGAACATTTCGTCGATCAATAATTTCGTCCAACTCCAAAGAAAAGGAGTTCGTCCGGTTGAAAATTTCGTTCGTGGATCACAAGAGTGTATTGAAGAGTTGGACAAATCGATATTAGTCCGGCATTTAATTTAGTCCAAAAGCTCCTTGGACGAAAAAGACGAAATTAAATTCCAGACGAATATTTCTGCTTGTACAGTACTCTTGCTTAGTACGGACATTGTCCAGAGCACGGGTACTACAGTCAGACCTCGCTTATCCGGTCCGCTTTTAATATGTAGATCAAATAACTGGAACAGGATACAGTGTCAAAAAAGGGGTTCTCACTCATGTACTGTAAAATCGGGAATTTTTGGTGGTGTAATATTTTCGGTATTTCCCAAAATCAACGATTCGGTTGCGCGAAAATTTTGGTAAACCAGTTTTCCAGATCTAAAAATGCATTTTGCACACTGTGTGGCATGGCATGGTTGAATTTTAGGTCACATTTCGTTCTAGGTAAAAATTACCCGTGGCGAAGTTACCGAAAATAAATCTCCACCGAATATTTCCGGTTTTACAGTGTATCCAATGGGAAGAAAGGTATGTTGAACTATGTTCTATATCAAAGATACTTATCTGAAGTTTCACTCTAGTCGAGTACAGGCGCGGGAAGCGGGAGCAGTACGTGAGATACCAATGTATGTCGTGGAGGGCATGCCATTGTGACTGAAGATACAAGTAACATGTGCTAACGTGGCAGTGTTTCTTTCCCGTTGGCGATTTCCTTGATCTGTGTGTGTTTGTGTGTGTGCCTAGTTGAGAAACTGGTGGTTACGTGCAAGCTGGCGATTGTAACATGTACGGTGACGCGAGTGTATGAAACTGGTTGTATGTTTTCCCAATCTGTACTCTATCTCTCTCTCCCCTCTCTCTCTCTCTCTCTCTCTCTCTCTCTCTCTCTCTCTCTCTCTCTCTCTCTCTCTCTCTCTCTCTCTCTCTCTCTCCCTCCCTCCCTCCCTCTCTCCCTCTCTTCTCTCTCTCTCTCTCTCTCTCTCTCTCTCTCTCTCTCTCTCTCTCTCTCTCTCTCTCTCTCTCTCTCTCTCTCTCTCTCTCTCTCTCTCTCTCTCTCTCTCTCTCTCTCTCCCCCTCTCTCCCCCCCCCCCTCTCTCTCTCTCTCTCTCTCTCTCTCTCTCTCTCTCTCTTTCTCTCTCTCTTTCTCTCTTCTCTTCTCTTTCTTTCAATACATTTATGACAGGCCATCTGTAGCTGCTGGCGTTCACAGCGTGTGTACAAAACATAGCCTTTCCCAGACCCCTGCCTAACCCCTGAAAGCATACACACAGTGTAATTGCTTAATTGTGCTAGATTGTACGTACAGATGAAACTATGTGAACTGTACGAAAGGCACCCAACTGACACCCTTTAATAGTACGTAGCCACCGTTCTGGATGGCCCGCTTTGCAGGGGCGTAGCTGGTCCTCCTCTTAGGGGGTGCACGGCCGCATATATATGTGTAGGATGGCTGGTGCATGTCATTTATGTGAATGCTGAACCTAGGTCGAAAATTTGGGGGGGGGGGTGCCTGCTATGGATTTTGTTTTTTCATCGTATCATCCAAGCGTATTTACATGTTCATTGCATCCGATTGCATCTCTCAAAGCTACGCATTGTCACATGGAAGGATCAAGAAAGGATCAAGCCCGAAGAGTTCTGCTTATGGTCCGAATGCCCTACCTGTTAATGTAAATCGGATTGTAATCCCCTTCGGGGGGCTTTCTGGTTTTTCTCTTGGCTGTGCGTGGATTTGAATCTCATGTTTCATATCTCCTTCCGCTCTTTCCCTGCAGCTCTGGGTGAAATCTTTACAGCCGCGCCGGAGAAGCAACACGCTCCTGCACTGACGTACAACAGGAAGCCTAGTGTGTCCTTCGGTGGGTTTCCTCCGCTCGGCCGAGTGTCGGCGACTGATGCCGTTTTGCTCCATAGCACTGGGTTTCTCACGGCCTGTTTGTGTAGACACTACAGATGCACACTGCACTGTAGCACACTGACCACTATCCCCACCCCGAATTGCTTTTGGAAAGGTGTAGACACTACAGATGCACACTGCACTGTAGCACACTGACCACTATCCCCACCCCGAATTGCTTTTGGAAAGGTGTCCCAAGTCACTACTTAGACTCGGGTGGAGAGCCAAGGATTAATTTATCAGAAGAAAAGAGGACCAAAGAGCTACAAGCCTACAAGTTACGCTACAATATCCACTAACACCACCAGTTACTAAACAATCAGCTCAGGCTAGTTACTAGTATCGGGTATTTCTGTTTTCTTTCCCCCTATTTCTGTACGGACCTGGGCTTTGCCAGCAGTTTATTCTCGTGCATTCCTTCAGCATAATTGTAGGACTTGTTTGGTATCTATTGCTAGTTCTGTCTCGGACTGCTTTCCATGCCTCACGCATCTTCACTGTTCTCATCCCCATTCATGCCTCCAGATTCCATGGGCTCCTTTGGCCAGCTTGTCCACGATCAGGAAGAGATGATCGCGACCAGCCACTTCAAGCCGTTCTCCATCAAGCGCGTGCCTGTCGCTGACCAGGTCTGGATGGTGGCCATGGATCCCAAGGCGGAGAACTTTGTTGCTCTAACTAAATTACCCAGGTGAGTGGCTTTGTGTCGTTAGATTTCTACTTCACATTGTTGTAATACACAAGTAGAAACAAGAAAGCCGACGAAGAGCATTAGAGAGGTTCCGCACTACGTCAAGTTGAGCAACTTTAAGTTAATGGGCGAGAAAAACCAGTGAATTCGCGTTTATGTATTTTTTTCCCTGCCCCCCACATACACACTATTTTCCTGGCTAGAACCCTATATCTGTATGCTGTTGCCGTACGTAAGTGGAAGGGCTTGGTGAAAGCGGGATGTGAGACTTTGTATGTTTGACCTTGTCTGCTTCAGGATGGAGGTTGTACGGCCACTTTCAGAGCGTACTGCCGCAGTTCAGGAGTGCATTGAACGTTCCGGCATGCAGGATACGTTGCATGACATTGCCTTCATGGTAAGGCGGTGGCGGAGGATTGCCTGCCTGCATCATTAGCAACACAGAGACTTCCTGCGGTGTTTAGTCTGAGTCCTGCGCATGGCAGCGGGAATTGTAACGTGTAACAGCAAGAGTACATGAATCCCAGAGTGTGCGGCTAGGGGCCCTTTCTGCTTTGGGTGTCTGTTACGGCGGAATCCGTGATTACACCATATTTGGTGCGTATCTGAGGCGGGACGTGGCGTAGTGCGTCCAACTGAGCTGCAGGTGTGCAGAAAGTGACCTGCTTGAATCCTGCTTGTGTGCACTACGTCACTAAAATGATGTTATCACGGAATTTCACCGTGACAGCAACCCATCAGAGCTGCGCACTCCGGGTTTCATGTACTCTTGCTAATAGCAATACAGCACTGCCGAATGCCGAAGATCTGGGACTCCCGCAGCATAGGGCGTTCTTAATTTTTTTTATGTACACCAGCATAATTATGCACAGTCGAGTGAGTCACTGAGTATATATCGGTATGCAATACCGTATTTTTCGGAGTATAGTGCGCACCTTTGTATAACGCGCACCCCAATCTTCATTCGGGGTGCGCACTTCAATCTTCATTGAAGTACATGCATTTCATATTCGGAGCATAGTGCGCACCTGCGATTTAGGGCCTAAAATAGCACATCTTAAGTGCGCACTATACTCTGGAAAATATGGTAGTTGTTTGTTCTGTCAACCCTCAACTTCTGTGTTCTAGTCGTTTCTTCGTCCTCCCTGTAACTTTGTTATCTTTCTTGTTATTAATTTTTGTCTCGAGCCGGGTTTGTGTTCTTTGTAAAAAAACAAAAAAATGCTGTGCTTGGTGAAATTCTGGCCTGTTCGTTCTACGTCGCCTGGCAGTGCTGTGCTGCTTGCTGTCCTTGGTTGGTCGCCGCCTTTTGCTTCAGCTGGAGATTTGTTGTTTGGCATCCATGCTTAGTGCCTTTCAGGATTTGACTGTAGTTCACCTGTTGCCACCTGATTCTTTGGCAGGGTAGTAGCAATGACTTTAGCCCAAGGGATCCTCAACTGGGTGTAGAATGCAGTGAACGGCCTTGACATGATTCATTTTTGATTTTTCACTTGGGTTGAAGACCAACCATTCGTAGTAGGTCAGCCCCGTTAGTAGTCCAACCACATTAGCAACCAACCCCAATAGCAACCAACCCCGTTAGCAGTCCAGCCCTGTTAGTGGTCCAATCCCACTGGTAGTCCAACCCCAGCAATAGTTCAGCCCCATTAGCAGTCCAACCCCATTATAATCCAAACCCATTGGTAGTAAACCAACCCCATGGGTAATCAAACCCCATTGGTAGTCCAACCCCATTGGTAGTCCAGCCCCATTGGTAGTCCAGCCCCATTGGTAGTCCAGCCCCATTGGTAGTCCAGCCCCATTGGTAGTCCAGCCCCATTGGTAGTCCAGCCCCATTGGTAGTCCAACCCCATTGGTAGTCCAGCCCCATTGGTAGTCCAACCCCATTGGTAGTCCAGCCCCATTGGTAGTCCAACCCCATTGGTAGTCCAGCCCCATTGGTAGTCCAGCCCCATTGGTAGTCCAACCCCATTGGTAGTCCAGCCCCATTGGTAGTCCAGCCCCATTGGTAGTCCAGCCCCATTGGTAGTCCAACCCCATTGGTAGTCCAGCCCCATTGGTAGTCCATCCCCATTGGTAGTCCAGCCCCATTGGCATTGGTAGTCCAGCCCCATTGGTAGTCCAACCCCATTGGTAGTCCAACCCCATTGGTAGTCCAGCCCCATTGGTAGTCCAGCCCCATTGGTAGTCCAACCCCATTGGTAGTCCAGCCCCATTGGTAGTCCAACCCCATTGGTAGTCCAACCCCATTGGTAGTCCAGCCCCATTGGTAGTCCAGCCCCATTGGTAGTCCTGCCCCATTGGTAGTCCAGCCCCATTGGTAGTCCAGCCCCATTGGTAGTCCAGCCCCATCGGTAGTCCAACCCCATTGGTAGTCCAGCCCCATTGGTAGTCCAACCCCATTGGTAGTCCAGCCCCATTGGTAGTCCAACCCCATTGGTAGTCCAGCCCCATTGGTAGTCCAGCCCCATTGGTAGTCCAACCCCATTGGTAGTCCAGCCCCATTGGTAGTCCAGCCCCATTGGTAGTCCAGCCCCATTGGTAGTCCAGCCCCATTGGTAGTCCAGCCCCATTGGTAGTCCAGCCCCATTGGTAGTCCAGCCCCATTGGTAGTCCAGCCCCATTGGTAGTCCAACCCCATTGGTAGTCCAGCCCCATTGGTAGTCCAGCCCCATTGGTAGTCCAGCCCCATTGGTAGTCCAGCCCCATTGGTAGTCCAGCCCCATTGGTAGTCCAGCCCCATTGGTAGTCCAACCCCATTGGTAGTCCAGCCCCATTGGTAGTCCAGCCCCATTGGTAGTCCAACCCCATTGGTAGTCCAGCCCCATTGGTAGTCCAACCCCATTGGTAATCCAACCCCATTGGTAGTCCAGCCCCATTGGTAGTCCAGCCCTTGGTGTGAGACTTCTTGAACTGTGAACTGTACTACTTGCTTGTCAGGTAGCACACTGTAGACATTCAGACTGTCATTGCCGCTATTCTCTTGCTCGTTGTTTTCTTGCTCCTGTGCATGCAGACGAAGGATCCTACCCAGCAGGTGTACAGCTGCAAGTACTTCCTGGTCAGCCACAATGCATCCGTTCTGTCCAGGCTGGAGAGCTGCGGAGCAGCGACAACGGACGACGACGGCTTCGTGACGGTCTCGGCGACGAAGAAGTTCCCCGCGGACGTCGTGCGTCAGCTTCTGTCGGCTCTGTGCTCCTCGTGGCAGTCGAGCAAGGCCACTGACTTGTCAATCGAGCAAGAGGAGGATTGTACGGCGCAGGCAGAGCTGGTGACGGAGAGCGTGAGCCGTTGCTATCATGCTTTGTTTGGCACGTCCATGCCCAGGACGGGCACGTTCAGCTGGGCGTACAGCAAATGGTACGTGATGTGTGTGCAGTGTACAGTGGGCATTGTTCAGGGGCGTAGCTCACACATCTGTGGTGTGGTGACCATGTACCTCGTATTTGCCATCTTTCCAGATTCTGTGCAATGGACACTGCAGTTATGGACAGCGACAAGGTTTGCTGGTGTTGCTGTCTTGCTCCTGTTCCCAACAACTCTGTGAGGCACTCTGCTGTGCAATCAGCACTGAGATTGCCCACACATATCACACTTCGTTTGGTCTTTTCCATGTTCTGCTGCTGTTTGAACTGGTGCTGCAGTGCGGATCTGTCTGATGTCGTACTGTGTGCTCAAGACGGAGTTCTCTTCCATGCTCACAAGTGTGTGTTAGCGCTGCGTTCCCCTGGTAAGTTGAGTTGACTGTCACGCAAGTTGTCTTCGCGATACAATGTAGTGGCAGCTGATAATTCTTTTCTTCCATTCTCTTTTGGGAATCGCTAGTTATCTGAATGCGGCCATCTGTGCGGTCATTATTTTGTGTGTTTGATGCATTGGGTGTGTGTTTGTTTGTATATGTGTGTGTGTGCGTGCGTGTGTGTGTGTGTATGTGTGTGTGTGTTTTCATAACTTAGATTATTTCGGCCACATGTTGCTGGGCGGATGGCAGGAGGTACGTTGACTAGTAGTTCAGTGGATTCAAGCAGCCATGTGTGCACCTATGTGAACTGAACTGAGCAGCCATGTGTGCACCTATGTGAACTGAACTGAGCAGCCATGTGTGCACCTATGTGAACTGAACTGAGCAGCCATGTGTGCACCTATGTGAACTGAACCGCCATGTACTAGTATAGGTAGTTGTCGAGAAGGCCTGGGCCTTTCCGCATGACTGTGTAATGGTTTTTCGGCCACCAGATATTCGAGTAACCAGCATTGGTGTTGTTGCTGCTGCTGCTGCTGCCACCGCTGCCACCGCTGCTGCTGCCACCGCTGCTGCTGCTGTTCATGGTGGTGTTTCTGTTGCTGTTGTTGTTGTTGTCGTCATCATCGTTGCTGTTATTACAGTCATCTCAGGGCGCACGGCCTATTTCCGTTCATGCTGACAGTCACGCGCTGAAGATCCTGCTCGACTACCTCTACGAAGACGACATGCACGTGCAAGGTACGGCCTGCGGAAGAGTGTGATCCTCCCATGCACTCGCGCCATACCACTTCTCGGGTGCAACGGGCCGAGGAAATCTCGCTGGATTGACAAAGGGGGGGTTGAGGAACATGTCACAGGCAAACTGTGTGCTCTTGCTGGCCTCTAAGATTCAACTTGTCGTTCTGCCAGACTGGGATATACTGCACCGAATGAATCAAGTGGCACGCTGTATGTACAGTAAAACCTGCAACTAAAGACCACCGTGACTAGCGACCAGCCTGGTACTACAGTAAAACCTGTAACTAAAGACCACCGTGACTAGCGACCAGCCTGGTACTACTGGCCACTTCGCCAGGCATGGACGGTCTCACATTCACATAATGGTTATGCGGTGCAAACCTCTAACTAAGGACCACCTGCCACTAAAGACCGCTTTCTCTGGCCCCAAAGGGTGGTCGCCTTGACAGGTTTTACTGTATATTCAAATGGTACATACTGGTGCGTGGAGAGCTCACCCACTCTTTTGTTGTTGCCTTGATCACTGAGGGTTTCAACACGATGCGTTAGTCATGAGGTGCATTCACATGCCGTATTCTGATGCGGTGCTTGCATGCGTGGATAGTGCTGCACCATATTGGTGTGCGTAAGGCGGTGATGTATGTCGGTGCATGGTGGCATGCTGGTGGGTAAAGTGACGTCAAAGGTCCGGCGTAACGCACCGCTCATCTTGGCTGTCTTGCTTTGCTCCCTTGTCGTTTTGTGTTGTAGCCGACTGGACATGTGAAATGCTGTGCGCGCTGCTCTTTGCCGCAGATCTGGTACGTTTCTGTGTAGATGTGCAATGCATTGCTTGTACATGCACGTCGTGGGCAGAATGTGACATGTGCATTGCTTGTAGAGGGGACGGTTTCAAATAGGACATAGGTTGCAAACCGGAACGGACTCAATATTCACTTTCTCTCTTGGTATTTTGATTAGAAAACATATGTCACCGTGAGACTACGATGTGTTATACTCCGAGCCAAAATTTCATGGCTCTGCGATGACCAGAAGCGCCATACCAAGCAGCTGAGTTTTTGACGTGTTGCTTCGCACTGCGACTTGAGTTTTACGACTTTCGAAAAATCAACTTCTTGTCGCAGGTAAACAGCGGCTCGCCTCTCGCCAATAAAGCACCGCATACCAATGAAAACTAATGGAAGCACACGCAAGGCTTATTGTTACTCTGTACTGGCCGTCGTGGAGCGATAGCAATTACCTAATTTTCAGACCCAGAGTGAATTTGACGTGCACTCTAAAACGTGTCTGGTTTGGAGCCACCTCTGATTTGAACATTTTTGAAGCGAAAAATTGGGCAACTTGGAGGCAATGGGTCAACACAAAGGAGTGGCTCAGTTCGATTGACTCTGGCCCCAGAGCAAACTTCAACATGCCAGTTTCCTTCCACAAACATATTTCGAGTGAAAAATCAACGCTGATGATCGGTTTGGGTCCATACAAATTTGGCTGTCAAAGCGTCCCGGTATCGAGCCGTCCCCTCTACATGCACGTGGGAAGAATGTGAAATGTGCATGATGGCCAACGGATCGAGGTGGCCGTTTCTGTACCTAGATAGTTAGGCTCTGCAGGCACTGAGATAAACGCTTAGGCATGACGAAACGTCGAACAGCTCAAACTGGGACGGACCAGGAGACTCGCGTAAGTATAACTTAGTGCACAGTGTACAGTGCACAGTGTACAGTGCACTGTGTTCACCTGGTTTTATACATGCAGTAATACGGGATAGTACGGAATGATGATGCGTTTCGTGTGCTGGTGCGTCTTTGTCGGTGGTCATGTTGTTCATACAGCTGCTGCTCGACAACTTTAAGTCGCAATGTGAATTCCACTTAGTGACGCGCAGTAAGTTGACCGATAATTATCGTATCCTTCTTGGGCAATAGTTTTATCATGTTCCTTATCTCAGGCGTTTGGAGCTGCCTGACCGTGGAGGGTGGTGACGTTCCTCCTACGGGTGCGGATATCTCAGTCTGACGGGGTCTCGCGCGAACCGTGCAAGTGTTTTATGTGATCTGAGGCCGATAGCTTCACTTGGTGTTCATAGATGCTCACGGGGCTTTGATTTAGCTGTTTGTTAAGAACGTAAATGTCTCCAACGTGCTGCTTGGGCTTCGGGCGCGTCAGGTGCTACTTGCTAATAGATGCTCCTCTGTATTTCAGGCGAAGTACAGTCAACTTCGCTAATAACGACTGCGGATATAACGACAATTCGCGAATAACGACAGAATTTCCATGCCCAGAGCAAAGTCCCATCCCACTGTAATACATAATTATAATGAGACTTCGGGTATAACGACACTTCGCGAATAACGACACCTTTTTGATGCCCCGCCGAGTGTCGTTATAAGCAAAGTTGACTGTATGGTGAAGCGGTGTAATGGGTGGGTTTGAGTTCTTGTTTCTTGCATTGTTGTGGCTGAATTGCTAACCGAACAGACTTTGTAGATCCGTTGACAAGCAAGCGAATGAGGTCCAAACTAACCCCGAAATAGAGACCTTGGGAAAGGAGGCACTAATGAGAAGAAAATGAGGGAAAAGAAAACCCTTGCCTAAACAAAGCAATTCCACCTTTACCACATGCGCTCTCTGGCCGACCATCAAACCAGCAACACGACTCCAAGTTGTCGATGCTGGCAGAATATTTCCTCCATACAGCGCTGTTTCGACCACTAAGGTCTCATCAATGAAGGTTTAGATTTTAGAATAATGTGAGTGGCTAGAACTAATTTGTCTTGCCTAAACGGAAGAACAAAGGTCAATGGTGTTTCCTTTTGTGCGCTCTTGTTTTCATTCAGTGACTCATCGTAATGTGGCCGATCTGCTTGAGATCAGCTCCTTGTTGGGTGCCGACCAACTCTTCAACGCCTGCTGCGATTTTGTATATTTCTACTTTCCCATGCTGCTTGAAACCAGGTGAGTGGCAGTGCGTGCCAAACCAGTTATATCCCAATACACGACACACACGCGCGCGCGCGCGCGCCCGGCATAGCCATAATTTCTTTTCTTTTTTTTTTGCGCTAGCGTCCTGCATTGCTGGTTGTCTTTGTTTTGTCTTCTCAAGACCAAGCTTGCACTTCGATAATTGTTTTCCCTTCTTTGGGACACAGCTGTGACACTGCACTCCCACATATACTTGCTAGCGCTCCCATGCTCATGTTTTCATCTCTTTCTCTTTCTCCCGCTTTTTTTCTTGTTGCCCGCTCAGAGTGTTGGAATCGCTACCATCTGAAATCTTGAAGACGTTGCCGGCCAGGTATCTCCAGAGGGTAAGGTTACTGGCTACGTGTAGTCAAACTTCAACACACCACAGAAACTTTGTTGGTGGTGGTGAAGGTGGCATTGTGATCGCTTGCTTAGGCCGCGGTCACACCAAGCGCGATTTCATTCAGCCATTCAGCGGAAAAAAGCGCTTTTTGACGTCATCGTTGCTACAGAAACGGCTGAATTTTCGGCCTCGGCCGTTTTCAGCAGTCAGCCGTTTTCAAAGCGCTGAATGAATTCAACCACTTCCAGCCATTTCTGGCACAGGCGCGGGAAAAACTAAAATCGTGCACATCTTGCCATGGATGCATCGTGTTCTGAAGTATTCCGGCTTTCATTGTTTGCTTCGTTGTTGGTCCAACTTCTCTCATTGCCTGCTGTCTGTTATTGTCCTCATCTTTCCTTGTGCGCTTTCTACGAGGTATGATTTGGTTCGGCAGCGTCAGACAAGGGAGACTATTGTGCGATAGAAGCGTGCAGACAACGGCACGGAGTCTAGTTTCAGGATCCATGGCTGCACTACAAGCTCAAACCTCCCTCAATCTTTCAAACAAGGACCCTAATTCCAATGAAGCTCCCAGCACAGTACCAAAACTCTGCTGATTGCCACGTACATGTTCAACAGAAAATATAAATTAATTTAAAATTCAAAAAAATCAAATTCAAAAATGGACTCGAAGAAAAAACCTCTACAGCACGCAAAAAAATCAGCGGATCTCATGGGTCGATGTGACCAACTGCTTTTATTCAGCACAAGCCACTTTCAGCACAAGCTGAAAACGGCTTGTTTGGTGTGACCGCAGCCTTAGAGTGCTGGTGCTGCTTGTGCTGGTGCTGGTAATTGTGCCGTTGGCTTTTTCAATTTTACGTCAACCAGATTTGCCAAACTGTAACCAACTGAAGGTTTGATTTTTTTAATAGAAATGGTGACACCATGTTGTTGTTCGACAATTTGTTTGCATGATTTATCCGTGGCCTGCGGGCTCTCATTCCGTAGTGTTGATGGCTCGCTCTCTTTCTATCTTGCTATGTGCCTTTGGTGTGTTTGTACAGCTGCCGGAGAATCGTAGCTTACCAGTCATAGGTATGTGCAGGCAGTCCTGCCGGCTATAACTGCTTTCTGTGTTTAAGGCACCATGGTGATCGATTTCACCGCCATTGATGCGGTATTTTCTTCCAATGATTATGTTCTTTCTTCTTTCCTTCTCTTGACATGGCTGGCTAATGCATCCTCCTTTGTATTGGCTTCTGCCATTGGACGGTGAAATAAAAAAGATATAAAATGATAAAAATGTGCCCTGTGCATTCTTGAGCCAAGTGCAGTCGATCTTACGCATAACGACCCTGGACAGTGCAAGAGAACAGTGTTGTGCACGAGTTCAAATCATGAATTATTCATGAATTCAACGTGTTGTTCATGAGTTCAAATCATGAATTATTCATGAATTCAAAGTGTTGTGTTCATGAGTTGTTGTTATTCATGAGGTTGAGGCTTAAAGGTATGTAGTCAAATGGTCACTACACTGTACATGTACGTCTGAAGGTTGTGTCGTTATTCGTGAGTTGTTGTTATACCCGGGGTCGTTATTCACGACGTTGACTGCAACCGCATTTCTTCCGAGTGTTGAGATGATCTGCGTTTATCTGGTGTGAGGGGGGGGGGGGAGAGATTCTTCTGTAGCAGTCTGAACTGTGACGGATGCCTTTGTTCCAATTTCTCCTTTCTTTCCTCGTTTATTCAGATCAAAGAACGGTGGATGACCTCTTCAGCAGAACCCCGGCAGCTGACCAAGCGGAAGGAGCAGTTGATGACAACGTCGACTATGTCGTCAAGGGCAGTGGTCCAAGAAGACGTCAGCTATCATTATCATATAACGCCAATAAGAGCTCCGCCGATATGGAGCTAGATGAATTGATAGCCGAAATGCACATGTCGGATTCGGCCGTCGAGAGCGATTTCGGAGAGGAGGGCGACAATGAGGAGGACAGTGACCGCTCTTCGCCAGAGGTCAGTGACGTGTGTCTGAGTTTGGGTGGCACTGGGTTTGTGTGTGTGGGGGGGGGGGGGGGGGTGAGTGTGTGTCAGAGTGAGGGTGGGGGTGTGACTTATAATCGTGTGCGACTTATAACCGGAGAAGTATGGTACTGGGTCTCACACGGACCATGATGACCCCATGCACCCACATACACAACACGCAACGAAGAACACAGAGCCATTGGGGTTTGCAATGCTTATTCCATTGGAAATGGTCAAGTGCCAAGTTTGCTAAACTGTTGCCTGGGCTGGTTCGATCGAGCCGTGAGCTGTACACACAAGTTCACTAGAGGGTGAAATCGGACCCAATCGCAAGGCCATGCGTGACGCATTGCGGCGGCGCATACTCGGATCGAATTTCTTGTTACCTCATACGTACCACCTCGCTTGGCGTGGGTGCGGCGGCTAACTAGGCTTTGCTGTAAGCCTGTCTTTTTTTAAGCATCCTTCATTTCCTAAAATTTGCAATGGTTTCCAGGTCGGTGTATCCTTTTCTAAAGGAGCCTCAATACATACACATATACATGTACTGTAAGACATGTATATATTAATGTTGAAACGAGCGTATCTATAACAAACGAGCGATCAGTTCTACTAACGAGCAAGCTATCGAGCGAGCTAACGAGTTTCATTGATGTGGCAAATATGATTTTTTGAATAAAAAAATTTCTTAGTCCGATTTTTTTCAGCTGGTTCAAATTATCACCGCCGGCATTTGGGGTTGCTGCTGCTTCACTTCGGACTGCTGTTTGGTGTCGAGATGTCTTTTCAGCGCCGTCGTCGAGTAGCCTTTGTAAGAATAGACCGTTTTGCAAAGATTGCAAGTAGCCCTGGTCTTCGCTGCATTGCGGGAGAAAACTTCCAAACGACTGAGCGAAACTTTCACTCGAATGGAGAGGTGACCGAAGAATATCCTGCGTCAGGTCAGCAGATGCGGAACAAGACATCACTAGAGCCCACCAAAGCTGCAACGACAACTGAAACAACTCAAGTGCCGTGCAGGCATACAGTCACTGTAACTGCGAGTGATTTTCACTTTGCGCGGGACTGGACTCTCGATCGACCAGGGAGTCGTAAAATATTTTACGACTCTCCGGTCGACATGTACTGCCATGTGTACGGAGTACGGTGTACGGTGTTCGTTAGTGCAAACGAGCTGGCCGCACAAACGAGCCGAGTTTCTGGCGAGCGAGCTAACGAGTATCCGGTGAGATCGTTTCAACACTAGTATATATAACGAGGAAGCAAATCTAACGTTTTAACGGATGACATTTCTTCGTTATAATAAGATCCGTTGAAGCCGTACTGCTTCATATATGCTGTGTGTGGATATGGCAGAATACTGCAAGATCGTTAACATATCTTCTCGTTAACCTATGAATTTTGGACAATCGTTAAATTTGCGACTCGTTATAATAACATGTCTTACAGTATGTTGTGGTAATGAATTGTTTCCCCTGTTCTGTGTTGCAGGGCATTGTCTCTCCATCATCGGAGCGAATCGATCGTCCCGGGTCCCAGTCTACTCCTATTTCCACTCCCAACAAGCGAAAGGTAAACGTTACTACTGTGTGTGTGTGTGTGTGTGTGTGTGTGTGTGTGTGTGTGTGTGTGTGTGTGTGTGTGTGTGTGTGTGTGTGTGTGTGTGTATGTGTGTGTGTGTGTGTGTGTGTATGTATGTGATCAGAAAGTCTAGATCTGCTTCATTCCGATCTTGTCCGCTATCGTTGCTATAAGAGAAAATCTGTGGGTGCACATTCGGTGCATTTGCGGATTTGCGTACTTCTCTTGAGACGGGATGGTTCATGGTACATTGTGTATGTGTGTGTGTGTGTGTGTGTGTGTGTGCGCGCGCGCGCTCGTGCGGGTGTGCGTGCACGCGCGCATGTGTGTGTGTGTGTGTGTGTGTGTGTGTGTGTGTTTGTGTGTGCACATGCATGTGTATAAGTGATTGCTGTACTGCACTGACCTGTGCCCAGTACCAAACTCCACATTCATCCAGATGTCACAAGTTACAACACCTTCCATTGCAGTTGCAAGTTGAGCGCGGATTGAACAGACGTAATATGTTCACACCGAGCGCAATTTGGTCGCAGAGCCTGGTTACTTTGGTGCAGCCTGCTTTCAGGTCTGGGAAAAATTTCTTCACGGAAGATATCAATCACCAGCGGCCTGTTGCAAAGGTGATCTGGTAGCCTTATGTGGATGACATAATGTGTGCTATTCCTTCCAGGGATCGATTTATCCGGGTTCGCATCGCAGTTTGCGAATCAAAATTCACTGGCTGCGATTCGCTTTTCGTTTTTTATCGCCCAAAACTGCGATGCACTACAAAGACCAGTTGCGTGCAGTGACTGCAGTCTACATGCGACTGTTGTACACACTGCTGACTAGGGAGTAGTATTTTACTACTCCAACCAACTGGCCTGTCCTGCTCAGTCCGCGCGCCGGTCGTGGATCGCGCTCTTTCGATTTTGGACACTGCACTAGCAATGGTCGTACACGACTGCAGTCTTCTGAAGTTTTGTACACGGCGGTGACTTTTCCTGATGTTCTCCTTTCTTCTTTCACTTTCAAGCTCAGTTTGTTTCTGTTCGACAAGGCACAGTTGAAGTAGACGGTTCTTAGTCTCATGTAGCCAACATGTCAGTGAATCTGATCAGTGATTCACTGTCCAGAAGAGGGAGAAAGAACTGGACGCGCCAGGAATGTCGATTCATTTCGATGAAAAAAAGGAGAAAAGCGAAATTCGATGCGCTTTGCACGAAATGTCATGATCGTTTGAGCGCTTTCCTGAGGTTTCTTTGTCGAAGGAATCAGTGAAACTGCCCTGTTGAAGAACATTGTGTTGTGAAGAACTCAAAGTCGGATGGACGCTGAACATGTAACGTGCATAAGCGAAAACTCTAACGTAAATATTCAGATCGAACATTCGCTTGGAAAAGCAAATAGCAACTGCAGCTATTGTCCTCTTCTGTACGAAATCCTGCTAGTGTCAGCTATACATGTAAACTTTTGATGAAGGAAAACTGCTAATCAATACTGGGAGTTGCTAGTCAATTGTAAAACTGTGTAGCAGTGACTGCTAATCAAAAAATTCAAAGTAAATCGATCCCTGCCTTCCTTTCTCTGCTTCACTCTATAACGTCTATATTGTCTCTCTCTTTCTCTCTCTCTCTCTCTCCCTCTCTCTCTCTCTCTCTCTCTCTCTCTCTCTCTCTCCTATCTTTCTACTCGTTGTGTAGATACTTTCAAACTTTCAGGACAGCGCTATACACTGCTCTCCGAGTGAAGCGCTCACACCTGGTCTGTGGATGTCCAGCGGTGGGTCCTCCTGCCCATCCTCGGCATCCAGCCTCTCCTTGTCGCAGATCATGCAGCAGGAAGAGGAGGCTCTGCACTCACGACGCAGACCAGCCGCTTCGCCGGCGCCAAACCAGGTCAGGAGATTCCGGAGTCCACATAACAGAGGTCATCGTGCACAGTGTCACGATGGATTAGCTGTGTGTTACATAGCCGTAGCTGTTGATATTTGTACAAGAAAATGTGATTTGTCGATATAATATTTTGCCAGGAATTTTCCTTCCCTCGCTATATGCAGACTCAGCTGTAGCCATCCCTTATGACCATGCATCCTTACAACTTTCGTTCAATGGCACTTCCATGTAACTATTCCTTTTTGCTTTCCTATTTGGCTATCCAGAGACCAAGCAATCCGTCTCAACCGCCAAGGTATTGTTGCGTCTGTTTGAACTGCATGCAATCCCCCGTGCAATTGAATATACCAGGTGTCCACTAAACATTTGGACAGATTTGGAAGGCCATACTATAAGTGTGTTGTAATCCATTTGCACATTGACACCGAGTTAGGGAAATTCCCCCCCCCCCCCCCCTTCTTGTCAATTCTAAATTTGTCCAGTTTAGTGGACATTGCTGACAGTCTTGATGGTGGTGATGTACCTGCTGGTGTGGAAGAGTTTCGCTGTTTTGTTCCATCGATCATTACTTCTTGGGATATGATGTGCTGAATAAAGTCTCACTGGATGTATATGTGTGTGTGTGTGTGTGTGTGTGTGTGTGTGTGTGTGTGTGTGTGTGTGTGTGTGTGTGTGTGTCTGTGTGTCTGTGTGTGTCTATATGCGTGTGTGCGGGGCTGTGTTCCTTGAATGCCCACTGCAGTGGCTCATCTCCGATGGATGTGAACCCAGCAGTTGTGTGGAACGTTGGTCCCAAGGCTACGCAGTCGCAGCGCAAGCAGAAAAAGAACCGGCAGTCCCCAACGATGCCAGTACCCCAGTCCGCTCCGGTCAACCCATGGTGAGTAACTGTTCATTGAACGTTTCGGAACTATAGTGACAGAAGAGTGTACTATGTACTGTCGTATGAAATCCAACCCCTGCACAGCTTGTAAAGCTGAAACCCAAGGTTGGATTTCACCTGGAAACACTGTACATGACCATTGTATTATATGCATACATACCGTATTTTCCGCAGTGTTGTGCTACAGTAGTGTAGTATAAAATCCAACCCCTGCATAGCTTGTAAAGCTGAAACCCAAGGTTGGATTTCACTTGGGAACACTATAATAATTATTATATGCACACATACCGTATTTTCCGCGGTGTTATCTGCACTTTGAAACGCATTTAAAAAAAAACTCAAAAATCGCCCCCGTGACTTAGACTCCCGAATGCTGGATGTGAATGGACCAGCGCTACAGTACTCCGTATTGCGTGTATGGTGGAATATATGATGGCATTGGGTGGCAGATGAAATCCAACCCCTACACAGCCTTTTCGCCGCGGGTATTTGGGTCGAGTTGCTTGAAACAACATCAAGCCGGGTACTCATCCCTGTTGCCTGTAGTTGAGCAAAGCGATCCCGTCACCAGTTTTTCTATCGTGTCTTTGTCTCAGGGCTGGCAGCGCTGTCGCGCAAGCCACATCGCCAGCGGCCTCGGCACCGTCGTTCCGTGACATTCTCCATCAGGAAGAGCGAGCCGTGACGGTGGCTCCCGGGACGCCCGTGTCGCGTCGACCCCAGGCCACGCCGCGGAAGTCGAAGACCAGCTGGAAGCGTCAGCTCAGGTTGGTTGTCTGACTTTCACTGGACATCAGTCATTGCCCTAGCTCTTCATTTGTAATTCTTCATATGCATGTGAAAAAAGCAAATCCTACCTATGTGTATACAGGAGATGCTGCTGACAACACCTTATTAACCCTCTATGGACTGAACTCAATGTATGTGGAGAATTGTGCTCTCAAATTCTTTACCTTGAATTGGACTTAACTTTGGTTTCCCTGTGACCATTGTCATCATCTTGGGCATCCTGGAAAGCCCCTGACGAGAGGAACACGATGAGCCCAAACTCGATTCCACGAGATGCGCTGGACCAGCGCTGCAGGCCAGCGAAGGCGTTTCAGCGCGGGGGCCCGCGGTCTAGATCGATCTCCATCCGCCATTTCACTGTCCTTGCTCGTATGAAGCTGAATTTGTTTGTAGGCACTCGCGGGAACCCCTGTTCGAATTTGAATGAGTGTATCCTTGCCAACAGCCCGCGAGTTCAGGGGAAATCCCGGCCGTTCAGTCATGCATCGCGGCCCTGAGCGCCAATTGACCGTGACGAAAGTTACGCGCGTCGTAACTCACTCACCGTTCATCCTAGCGCATCGGCGATTGTTCGAGACGACAGCTGAGAGCTTTCTCTTCTTCCTACATTATTTCGTTCTCTCCAAACGACTGAGAATTGAACAAGTTACGATAGTTTGAAGTTATTTGAAAAGTGTAGAATTTATCGATCGCCGGTGAAAAGTATGTGCCGTCTGTAAAGGGTTAACTTACCCTGTCATACCACTTTTTTGCAATTTCATGCTAAAAATCATGAAGTTTTGGGACGGGCACCAATGCTATGTGGCGCATTTGTGCCACAACTAGAAATTCTGGCTGAAATGTCACAGTTCCATTACGAAAGACGGGAAAGCCAGTTCATTTTTTCCAGTGGCCATTTTGTTTCTGACTTACATATGGATGATTGCCTGAGTTGTGGCTTTGATGGTATTTTGAGATGATTCGGCTGCTGTGGACCCCCTGCGCACCCAGCAAAGTAAACTGTACTGGTATTTGTTTGACAGGCGAGACACTCAAGTACCTGTACCTAAGTGTATTACGCACTGTCTGGCCTTAGTATAGTAGTATAGTATTTATTCATATTTCTCTAGGGCAGTCCCCACAGACCTATGGTCTCCTTACGGGGTACCCTAGCCAATCTAGGTTTGCGATACGAAATTGACTTGGCGAAGCAGCAAAGCGGACCGATGCCGGAACTGAGTTCCAGCGGTCAGCGGCTAAATAAGAAAGAGAGGAATAACCAAATCGAGAGGAGGCTCGTGGCAGTACAAAAAAGGCCTTGTCACCATCTTCTTCTCCACACCACGCATTGCGCTCTTTGGTCGACCGTACTTCCTGTATGGCTTCAAGATGATATATTAATGGATAAAATAGGGATTCCCTGGCGTGAAAAAGAAACAAAACACACTCCAATCAGCTGTGTGGTGATTCGACCTGGGTAAAAATAGTGGCGGCCGATTAAGCAGCCTTGCAGATGATTTGTACGCAATCTGGTCCTAGTCCTAACCAGTCCTTTATTGATCTAATTACTTGTATCTTCTTTCCTTTGTTCTTCTTTCTTTGAAGCTGGGGCGAAGTGGACCCTTCGCAGAATGGAGTGGATATTCCCGGTCAAGAAATACCCGTTGTGTAAGCGAAGTATGAAGTACAGTATGCTGCGGTTGCTTTTATTGTGTAAAACTACTAATAGATGATTGGTGTGGCACGACCATGCCGAATCCACAGCATGAACATGACCGTGACAAGCCCATCACCAGCTGCCCAACCAATGCATGGCCTTATTGGGTTGACCTTCAGACTCGAAACGTCTACTTTGTGTCCACATGACATGTGGGTTTTTTTGTGGTCTTTCTCGCACCATGGTAGCCGCTAGCACCGCAGCATGACCGTACTGGTGTGTTGTAATGTGTGATCATTCTCCTCTAGGAATGCCTGGGGTGTATCACCGAGCCCTGTTACTCCCACTCCACTGTCTACATCGCCAGCCTCATTCAAGGCCATTGTGCAGTCGCAAGAGCAGGCACTGAACCCCGTCAAGTAGGTAGTGAGGTGTTCGTTTCCCCTCCGCTTCTCTCTCTCTCTCTCTCTCTCTATCTATCTATCTATCTCTTTCTATCTCTCTATCTCTCTCGTTTTCTCTATCTATCTCCCTCTCTCTCACTCTCTCTATGTCTCTCTCTCTCTCTCTCTCTCTCTCTCTCTCTCTCTCTCTCTCTCTCTCTCTCACACACACACACACACACACACACACACACACACACACACACACACACACACACACACACACACACACGCACACCTCTTTTGCCTATGCGTCATGCTTTTGAGAGTCGAGAGCTTTATTCTTAATGTTAGTTCACAGGCACGTCATCTTTCACAAGAAGATTTCCGCTCTACATATTGAACGCATTTCTGCGTTGACATTGGTATACAGTCCATTCAGAAAAAAGATGATATCCTAGCTTTTGGCCATAAATGGGTCAGATTTTGAGTTTGTCACAATTCTTTTGGCAATACCCCATGGAATGCTCTTCCGATTTTGTTTTTGAAGTCTATTTCCCGAAAGAGCAAGTCATCACAAGAATAGGATTTCGGCCTGGTTTTGCCCCCAAAGCACTGAACTGATTGGATTGAGGATGGGATTGATGAAGATGAACAGTAGGAAGGGTTTGTGTTGTAACTGGAGTGACAGATAAAAAATAAAAATTTCACGGTTCGCGTGAGACTCGGCCAAAGGCCCAGTTTTCCGCATCCGCAGGAACGCCACCACCCTCTTGGATCAAGGCGCAGATTCAGCTCCTAACCGGTGGGAGGTGAGTAGATCAGACCCACCACAAAGTGGTCAAAGACCGAAATCCCATTCACAGATACGTATAGATACGTATAGATTAAATTTCTCTTGTGTGCATTCAATCAGTCGCTGTCCTGTTGAACTTTTCTACCATTTTTTTTTCATGCAGCTGCCCCGGCAAGCCTCTCAGTGTCATACAGGTGTGTATCTTACCATGTAGAGTGTACTGGTCTAGCGCTGGTCGTCTTGTGTTCGTATTGTATTCGTATTGTGTTCGTATTGTATTTGTCTTGTGTTCATATTGTGTTCGTATTGTGCGCGTCTTGTGCTAGTCTTGCACTAGTCGTGTGCTGGTCTTTTGTGCGCGTCTTGCGTTGGTCTTGCGCTCGTCTTGTCCTGATCTTGTACTGATCTATGCTTGTCTTGTACTGATCTATGCTGGTCTTGTACTCGTCTTGTGCTTCGTCTTACATCTTCTTATTGCCTCATCGGGATAGCAGTTGTTTAGGGCCCAGCTGTTTGATGCTTGTTCCTGCTCAAGATGAGTCCATTCTCAATATCTAGTTCGATCAGATGAGGACCTCATTCGGTTCTATTTGATTTGAATTTGGCTGCTTCGACTGGCTCTAGATGAGCTCAACTGCCTCAACCAGCTCTAGATGAGTTCAACTGCCTCAAGCGGCACTAGATGAGCTCAACTGCATCAACCAGCTCTAGATGTGTTCAGCTGACTCAACCGGTTTAGGAAGAGTGTACTGTAGTCTGTTGCCGGTGTGTGCTAGGCGGCATCTTGGGCCATAGTGAGTTGATTCATTTCTTGACGAGATGTGCTCTCTTGTCTTGTGTTGTGTGCAGCTGGAAGAGAAGGCCATCGACGAGCTGATGGCGCACTACAAGAAGCGAAACGAGCCAATCACTGTGACGCGCGTCACGTCCAAGCCCAGTGCTCCGCCAAGATGGAAACAAGTGTGAGGGCCAGCACCACACACACAACGTACCTGGGATTTATTTTTCTACAAAGATAATTACAATACACACAGTTAGAGAACGAGCTCCTACCTGCTGCGGTGTGCGTATGCCCATGTACATGGTTGTACTACGAATTGTAAGATACATGGCTACTCCACCAGCAGGCGAGTGGTACGAATTGCGGCAAAGTCATGAAAACGTTGAAAAAATCATTGGCTGGTACCTGTACCACTATAGAATCCCTGCTGTCTTCTCTATCATTGATTTATCTCTGATTTATCTCTGATTTATCTCGTACAAGCCTTTTGACTACAGTTAGTAGTTTACACCAGCCACCCTACTGGTTTCCTTCACCATGAACACGCTAACAGCAAGTAGCAGTTAGTCACGCACCATGATAAGCTTCCCATGCCGACACGTCAACGCTCTGCTTACTAGCTGTGTTGCTGTGTGCCCGCTCGGTTAGCGCTGCCCTCACATTGTGCCCGTGCACACGCTCGAAGCCACGTAGAAGCTACACAAGAGCTGCATGCCTACTGCTTGGAGCCTGGTTTTTTTAGTCTTGTGTCAATGCAGTGCCGCTGAACAGATGCTTTTGCACTCTTGTGCACATGTTTTTAGGGGATATGTTTATGTTTTTATGGTACCAAGTACCCAAGTCTTGTTGTACTCAGATGATTGCCTGTCTTGTTATAATTATTTTATCAACATGATGGCATTATCTCAAGTTGGTTGGAATACTGTCTGGATGGCGTCTTCGTATTTTGATATTTGCTGTACTGTAGAATGAAGTTGAAGACACCACTGCAGCTGTACTTATGGTTGATAAATATGGTGGTAAAGACACACCTGGCAATATGGCGGTAAACACACGCCTGCCCACGCACGTGCTCTAGGCTGCAAAAACAGCGTGTGTGGGCAGGCGTGTGTTTACCGCCATATTGTCAGGTGCGTCTTTACCACCATATTTATCAACCATAAGTACAGCTGCAGTGGTGTCTTCAACTTCATTCTCCCGAGTCAAGCTTCGTATGAAAACATCCAAGAAGAAGATTGCCTGCTGAGTCCAGCGGGGACGAAACGTGCGTCGCAATCGAGCTATGTCGTTGCTGTGTCATCTTCTATGTGCCATGCGCTACTTGATGTACCAGCCTGCTATGCCGGATACCGCCAACCATGCATCGACTAGGCGCCAGGCGCGAACTGATGGTGGTGGTGGTGAGAAGGAGAGCTCTGTGCCAGAACTTTGCAGCCTAGAGAGCGTGTGTGAGCAGGCGTGTGTTTACCGCCATATTGCCAGGTGTGTCTTTACCACCATATTTATCAACTGCTGTACTGTATTAGAGCGGTAGAAAGGAGTGTTTGGCAGCATGAAATATACATACACATGCAGCGTAGATGAGGCTATCGGATATTGCAGAAAGAAGAGAAGCGTTTAATCAAGTGAACTCAATTATGGTGGATATAGTGCTAAAACTGATCTGGGAATTGAATAGGAACGGGTGGTAATAGAGTCCAGCAGCAGTCAGCATATTGTCAAGAGTAAAATTCAAAAATAGGCTTGTCTTGCGACTTGGATTACGAATGTTTCGGGGTGACTTTCTTGATCACCCTCTGCAGAAATGTTCTCTTCTGGATTTTCTTTGGCTGCGTTGTGGCTCGGTTTAGGGTCAAGGCACGCTTCAGGTTGGTTTTGTTTTCTTTCTTTGCCGGAGTGGTCATAGCTGTGTCCTGGTTGGTGCCCGTCTTGTTGAGCGGAGTTTGTTTCTGCTCGTTGTACCGTGCAGTGAGTCCTGACGACGACGTCTTGGCAGGCGTTCGGAACTCGTTCGATCGCTCCAGGCCGTCCAGCTCTCCCTCCGAGATGCTCATGTGTCGCGACGGCATGCTGAAGTACGGGTTTCCCGGCTGATCGTCACCGTCGTTTTCACCCGTCCGCTCGGCGTCATCAATCACGCTGTTCATGTAGCTTATGCGACGCAACAGAGCCAACCTTCTCTTGCAGTTCTCCTAAGGGAATACGGCAGAGATACGCACAGGTAGAAAACACATCACTCACTGACAGCTCTCATGCTGCAAGTCAATGAAGGGTGTGTGCTGTTATGACAGCACAACACAACCATGCAGCGCTGCCGGGTGGCGAGAATCTAGGGGTCAGCCTCATAGCCTAGCCCGTTCGTATTTTTTATGTACAGCAGCCTATGTGCAGTGAAGTAACCGCATATATATTGGTATGCTGTACTTGGTGCTAGCCTTTTCGTTGTCCACAGCATCAGACAGTACTGCTGTGACCATTCCCTGAAGATTTATTCGTATAAGATCAGTGCTGTAATCAGCCCGACTCAGCCTGACTCAGTGACATCCGAGTGAATGCTCTGGACAGGTGGCTGCCAGGATGCAGGTGTCTCAATGTACTACTAGCTCCGTTGTGCAACTGGTTATCAGCTGCTGTGATTGCCAAAGACGGCGGCACTGCGCGCACACACCCTCCATTCAGCGCGCTATGCCCTTTCTCATTATCATTGACCTAAATGAGCGGCGTAATTAGCCTGGAGTATTTGAATCGCTACATGCTGTTACTCGTCCAACGATGTAACATGGTGTGCATCGTTGGCGCATGCTTAGTCATCGTCAGATTCACAAATAATTTCTTGCATTCTCATTTCTATGTTTTAAATTGGTAATACGAGACATGCAACAACAGTCCAGCTTTCCACACTGTCTCATCCGAAGTGATCCCATGTATTATTAATGTGCCTCCCTTTCTTTTTCTCTCCCTATCTCCTTTCCCTCTCTGACAGCATCTTTCTTTTTTTCCCCTTTTAGCTTGCCGTGGTTGGCTATCACCTGACCTCTCATGTTTATTGGCAGTCTTCGGACGGGCCAGGAGATGTTGAATAAATAAATAAATAAATAAACAAGACGTTCACCCAATAGGACAATCATAGTACTCTACACTATAGAGAAATTTCTGAAAACCCGGTGTTGGAGATTTTGTTCTCCAAGATAGGAAACAAGTGTTTCTCCCTTGCCAGCACTAATAATTCAGAAGTTTCGGACAAATGAGATTATAATTCGTGCATGCACGCACTCATTCCCACAAACATGGACTCTCATTCTCAGGCACAAGAACACTTACCACTTCGGCCAAGAGCTCGTCCGTGGTCATGTTTCGCTTATCCATTGCCGACGGTAGAGGCGCTTCGTTCGGTGTCGTTTCTTCGTTCGCTTCGTGGTCGCTTGAAGAAGTTTGCGCAGCACTTACGAACGTTGTTCGCCGTCTCGGCGTGGGGCATGTCGCCAGCGCTCCCAGTGCCGGCGCAGACAACGAACTTCGCAAATCCCGTGTGTCCTGCTGATGGGAGACTTTAGCCTCCAGTGCCCCGAGCCGCATGTAGGCATCTGGTCCAGGCGGCTGAAACTCTTCGAGCTGTCGACTGGTCCCATTGCAGTAATCAACTTCCACCACTTCTGCGAATATAGGGCTACTCCGTGCAGCCTCCACATCGTGTTTCGGACTGCTGGGCTGTTGCATAGCCGACACGTCCATGGCTGCGTTCTCTACCAGCGGCTTCAACCAGAGCTAGAGGCTAGGCGATTTTTCTCTGAAGATAATGTTTTGAATGAACCAACTTCAAGTATGTTGCGATTTTATAGCTTCTAATTGAAATGCAACAACAAGAGCAAAGGAGGTAATTATCGTGCTCGTGGAGTGCGCCAGGCCTTGACAACTGTCACCTGGATCATGGACTGGTCAACTGCGAATCTGGCGCCTGATTTACAGGCTACGATGATTGTAAAGGCTACAACTCGTAGATCATCCGTACAGAAGATCATGGCTGCATGATGTGAGCTTGCTGGGCCAGTGACAGCAACGTGTGTATGTCGCTAGCGCTGTCAGTTGGTTGCATGTTTGTCAGTTATTGTCCGCAGAGCCGCGGTGCAGCGAGTCCAGCATGCTGTTCTGGACGGTGCGAAACAGAGTCTGTCGTTACACGTGGGCTGCATGTCTGTGACACCCATAGACAGTGCCAGCGACAGCGCCGTGTGCTTGCTGGCAGAGTCGAGATGGCCACGGGGCACGCAGCCGGCTGTAGGTGGCAAGCTTGAGTTCTTCTAGCAAGACACAAACAACGACCGGACTATGGACTTCGTGGGTGTTGTGAAGCCGGACTGTCTTTTTGTGTTGACGCATAGGTAATGACATGTACATGTACATGTTATGTACATGTACATGTACATGATCGTACAGTGCAGTACACTGTAGTACGAGTGGTAGCTCCAAGATCGACCTACTTTACAAGTAAGGATGGTCTGGAATTTTAGCCGCCTTTCTAAGTTGCGCTATGGCAAATAATGATCTGCTTTGATAGTAGACAACTGCTAATAATTGCCTTTGGATTTTTCTTCAATCATCTTTCCGATCACATTATCATGGATTTTCAAGAACAAAATTCATCGACTGCAAGCAAGGCGGCGTCAGTACGACTCCTACTACGAGACCTGAGGTGTGTCCGATGAGGGCTACACGAGTAGGCACATGCGGATAATGCCGGCAGAAAAATTGGCAGAATTCGGTACTTTTTCTGGTAAGTTCCATGCATGTTTGGTATGTGGATAAAGAAATGGAGCAGAATTCGAGGAATTGCCCGCCATCAGGTTTGTATGGTTTTGCCAATTTCACTGCTTTTCGAGCAGAATCTGCCATCTTTTCGAGCATTATCCGCCAATGCCTATACACGAGGCGATGAGGTCTAGGCGCTGAAAGATTTCATATGGCCGGACTTCACTTGCCACAACTGTTACTCTATCGACAAGTACAGTGTACATGTATGGTAAGTGGCGTTCTGCTTTTCGGAACGTCCAACTAACTTACCTACAAATGAAGAGTTCGAAGAGGACTCCGCGATTTCAGGCAGAAGGAATCATCAACAAAGGCCCCGTTTGTTTCGCCCACCTTCACATACGTACATGCAATGTAGGTGATACGCTCTAGGCGTTGCTAGTACTTGTACTTGCTACGCACACCTGCACCTACATGAACATCAGACTGTCCAACCTTGCCACCATTCGAAAGTAGGGACCGGCGGATTCTGCTCGAAAAGGTGGCAGATTCTGCTCGAAAAGCAGTGAAATTGGCAGAACCATACAAAACTTATGGGGGGCAATTCCTCGAATTCTGCTCCATTTTTTATCCACATACCAAACATGCATGAAACTTACCAGAAAAAGTACCGAATTCTGCCAATTTTTCTGCCGGCAGAATCCGCCGGACCCTATTCCAAAGCAGGACACCCATATACAATGTATACAGACGGCAATTCTCTCCCATGTAATGTATACACGTGTTTGGGTCCAAAGCAGGACGGTCCTGCTTTGAGCAGGACGGACCGGGTTGGACAGCCTGTGTACATATACATTGTACATGACATGTAGACCAATTAACAGCAGATGGTAACAGGTATCTTCTGAAGGTGTCGACCAGCTGTAGGGTCAGCCCACGCCGGTATTCCTGTGTTCCAGCAGCGATTCACTGTTGTTGTGTGTGTGCGTGCGTGTACATGTACATGTGCTTCATTATGTGTGAAGCTGAAATCTGCCAAATGAGTTCAAGTTCTTACAATTGATATGAAACATTGTTTGAAACGTAGTAACAATTTTAACATCACAATGCCATTACATTGTAGCAGGAGCGCGAGTCGTTACGGTCATAGGCTGACAGGAATGATCGAATGCTAGTCGCTAACAGTGAGATCAGCACGAGTAGAACCCCCCCCCCCCCCCCTCTCTCTCTCTCTCTCTCTCTCTCTCCATACCACTCTAGAGACGTATTGAGGAACGTTACACGTTCCTCGCTCTCGTAGTGGTAGCGCATCCTCCTGTTGGGTATTGCTGTTGCTGTTTACCCTATGTTTAATACTTCAGAAGTGCAATATGCTTAGGTGGCTACATGGAGAAATAGAATCCAATTTATGTACCCCTGTTTCACCTCGGTTTGTACACAGTTTGATGTCGAATGTTATATGCACTATCATTGCCGGACGGTTTGGGTTTTTTCTATTTGTCGGCTCACAAGATTTCAACACGCACAATGCACGAGCTGCAATAGCGAGAGTTCCCAGATTACCTAGAGTGCTCTACACCACAAGGATGGAGCATTGTTAGTCAGTAAATGCATGTGCTTCATGATATTCATAGAGTTCAAGGAGCTGCACTGCTCCCCTCCTGGTGAGCGGTGACGGAGCCAGGATGCAGATGGGGATTGTGCCGCCCCCTATTGTGCTGCGCTCCTCTTTCAGGGGACTGTATCGATTCTGTCACCCTGTCGTAGATATAGTCTTGGCAAATATTTCCCAAACAAATCAAAGACCCCAGTTGCCAGAAACCTAGTGTGGGCCGCCGATCATGCAAAGTGAGCTGCAGTGAAACCTGTCTAAGACGACCGCTCAAGGGACCTTCAAAATGTGGTCTCTGTTACCAGGTGGTCTCCTCATTAGCCCTTGGCGGATTATGCCGGCATAATATTTGGCATAATCTTGGGATTTCATCAAAAAATTATGCTCCGGCATAATAGACGGATTCCAACGTGTAAGGTCGGCATAATCTTTCAGTTTAGACAAAAAATATGCTTAGGGGCATAATACAGCTTTGTCAGAAAGCCTGCAGATGTTTTTTTTTTTAAATACCCCAGTTACGACTAGGGTCCAGCGAATAATGCTCCGAAAATGTTCGTATAATGCTAATCATAATGCTCCAAAAACTACCTGATAATGCTGATTATAATGCTCCAACAAGGGCTAGCTATGATGCTCTTGGTTTGGAACAAAAATGGAAGAAAGGCTGCACATTGTCAAACTTCCAGGAAAGCCGGATGCATTTAGTAGATCTGCCTCTGAAGCTGCTACAATATCTCTCACGAGCTCACCACTTCTTAGCACTATAAGACATGGTCGCGTCTCCATTGGCTGCTCTCCATTGCAACTTTGATGCAGGGCTGTGGCTGAACAGTGGGTGTATCAAATCTTTTCCCTTGCTTATCCATGAAGTGGGATGTGAGACCATTATTGCTCGTAATCAATTGGATGCTGGAAGCTTATCATGAGAAGTGATATTCCTGCCTGCAGACAAGCTGTAACTTCTTCCACTCTGTGAAAAATGTCTTCATCTGAAACAGCTTACGTGAGGCAAGTTCCTGAGAGACGATCTCAGATCGAGATCCCTCCCATTTGCGGAAATCCTGAACACACGTGATCAGAAGTTATTTTGCCGCTCTACACCCTCTGCTTGCGCTGTCTTCTTCTCCTGAGGTTGCGTGGAGACAAATGGTTGGCCACAATACTCTTCTTTTCTGATAGCACTTGACTATAGGCCTTGCATTACAATCGTCCACGACGAACTGTACGTGCTTCACCAGGAAAGTACAACATGCGGTGCTGAGCACTCAACTCGACTTGGTGCTGCGTCCATGAGAAATTCTAGTTCTTTTCGAGCCTGCTGAGCTGGACTCGGCAAAGGCAGTTATGGAGTAAGCTCTATCCGTTTATAGCCGCTCCTTCATACAGGTCCAAATTTTTATCAATGGATTAGTGTTTACTTCAGTATCGCTAGACATGCTATGGCCAGAGCCTATGGCATAACACTTTTATTAACAGGAAACTCCTCTTCCTCTGTTTGATATTCACTTCGCGTAGATCTACGTAGTCTCCTCCATCATCCATGACTCTCCATGATTTCTAAAAAAATCCTCGTAAATCATCGTTACGGATTTTGTGCACTTCGAAGCATAAACAGCTCCGGCCGCCCTCAGTTGCAACGCTGGGCATGCTACATCACATGTACATTTACCTGACATTGCTACATAAAGACTTTATGGAGCAATGACATTACTGCATGTTGTCAGGTAAATGTAGCGCTAAAGGTGTTACGTGTGATGGTGTCTACACTCACAAAGTCATGTGCCGGTACAATATTATGGCGTTGCACCTCAGGCAGTCATGGCTTTAGCCGATTGTTGCCAAAAACCAAGAGATTTCCCGACATTATCCACTATAAAACTCGTTATGCCGCTCAAACCTCACATAATGCTCGTCTTGTTCCTTCCTAATGCTCCATAATGCTCTAATGCTCGGATAGGCTTATAATGCCGAATATAATGCCGGCATTATCCGCTGGACCCTAGTTACGACTCCTTGTCATAGCCCTTGGTGGATTATGCCGGCATAGTATTTGGCATAATCTTGGGATTTCGTCAAAAAATTATGCTCCGGCATAATAATATACGGATTCCAACGTGTCAGGTCGGCATAATCTTTCGGTTTAGACAAAAATTATGCTTAGGGCATGGCCATGTGTGTATGCGTGGTTTCTCAATCCTCTATGTACAGCGTGAATACATAGTGGAACCGAGCATAATTCAGCATAATTCAGCATATTTGTTGGCATAATTGTGGCATAATCAAAAGCATAATTCGACGATTGGCCGGGCATAGTCCGCCAATGGCTACTCCTCATCCAGGGTTATTTGACTGGAAATAGCATCCCTTGATCCGGGTTTCAGTGGTCTTCTTGGACAGGTGGTCGCCTTATCCGAGTGGTCGCCTTGACAGATGTTACTGTACTTTTAATAGGGTGGAAAGATCGTGAAGTTTAAAACCCTAACCTTGCGACCATTTGAACGGTATGGGGTCTTGCTTCAGGTCGAGGCTCTGCCAACTGATGATGGTTGTACAAACAATAGGAGGACAGAGAAAGTGTTTTTACTCCGAGTTTCACGCACTGTGCGTGAAACTCGGAGTAAAAACACTTTCACAGTGCGTGAAACTCGGAGTAAAAACACTTTCTCTGTCCTCCTATTGTTTGAACCAGCTCTACCACTCGGTATTGAGCACTCTCTTGGACAGCCTGGAACCTCTCTGTTTTGATGATGGTTGTACAGTCAGGATCACTGTTTTCAACACAATGCGCCCTCCGCCTTGTGGCATGCTGGCAACCAAACAACATCTTTCACCATGTCATTCTATCAAGCAAGGCTTACAGCTTTTGAAGTACTAGTACATGTAATAATAATAATTATTATCGTCCTTCAAATTTTTTGAAATAATTATTCTGTTATTATAATCATTTACATGGCGTTTGGTACTGCTGAGTGCGCGCCAATAAGCTGGTATGTACATGTAAGCTGAAGAAGGGCTCGCATATTTACCCAGAGCTCTACGTATCTACATGTATGTGAAGAAGAGGCTGGTGCGACTTCGGCGATACTTGGGGAATTGTGTGTTGCTCCCTACCTGGGACTACATTGTGTCCCCGGCGCGGGCTTGCGAATTAGATGGTTTGGGGGCAACAACGTTGTGAATGGCCAACGGTACTGAGCGTTTGTTTAGCACCTCCATGAGCGACACTGACTCACGCTGCTATCTGGTGTTCACGAGGTGTTTGTCGCGCTGGAAACGGAGCGTCTCTGTAAGTTTGTATCCCTGGTGATGTTTGTGCCTGGAGAGCACTATTATAAGTGGTGCTCTTCAGGCACAATCTTCCTCAGCCTACTCAAGCTCAATTGATGAGGGGTGAATTCCCCGAAACACTGGGTATTGAGCAGGGAGTGGTGCTTTCTTGCAGGTTTGTCGAGTCGGAGGTTCGATGGACTCTGGATGACAGCCGTGAGTCAGTCAAGTGAGAATTCAAAGTCGGGAGGAATAGCGCAAGCTCCCACGTAGGAAGAACACTCAATTCCTCTACGCGGCTGTGAGTGAAAAGGTTCCACCGGTATTCATATCTGTTGTGGGCAAAGACAAAGGCTTCAGGGATAGTTATGTTGGCGCTTTTTTGATCTTGTTTTATAACGTCGCCGAATCTAGCTGGTGGACGGCCGCGTGGCTTTTCAATTTCTTCAGTAATGAAGGCCACGTCCATGGCTTAGAACGAAGGTTTATTTATCTTATTATTATTTATTCTTCTTTTACTAGGGAATTCCCAACAGGCCAGGCGTCAGCGCCTTAGAGGTGCTTCTTCTCGCTCTCTGATGACATGGCAAAACCGTAGTCAATGGCAGTCAACGCTGACGGCTGACGTCACTGATCAAATCTAACTTAATAGACATGTACAATGTACATTGTACAATAAATTTTAATAATTACTGTACAAAACAGCGATGACATACTCCTACAAATAATAATTATAGGCCCACTTGAAACATGTCAAATGTATCTTATCGTTTCGGGATTTGACGCTCATTCTCGTACTTCAAGTAACTGGCGCTAAAGGAGTGTCACTCTGGCCAATTCTTTTGAAATGTCTTTGGAAATGAATACAATAAATACATGAATTACCTTCCCCATCTTGCCCGCTTCGATTTACTGCACATCGTCTTTGCCAATATGTACTTCAATCTCCATGAGTGGGAATTGTGTGTTGCTCCCTGCATGGGAGCTCGCGCTTTTCCTGCCGACTTGAATTCTCACCTGACTGACCCACGACTGCCATCCAGAGCACACGAGACGTCCATCGAACCATCTACTCGACGACAAACCTGCAAGAAAGCACCATTCCCTGCTCAATACACAGTGTTTCGGGGAATTCACCCCTCACCAGTTGAGCGTGAGTAGGCTGAGAAAGATTGTGCCTGGAGACCACCACTTATAATAGTGCTCTCCAGGCCCAAACACCACCAGGGATACAAACTTACAGAGACTCTCCGTTTCCAGCGCGACAAACACCTCGTGAACACCACTGAGATAGCAGCGTGAGTCAGTGTCGCTCATGGAGGTGCTGAACAAGCGCTGAGGACCGTTGGCCATTCACGACGTTGTTGCCTCCAGACCATTTAATTCGCAAGCCCGCGCCGGGGACAACAATCAGTATCGCCGAAGTCGCATCAACCTAATCTCAATGATACTGAGATATAGAAGGCTGGCTATGCCCACAACATTGCATAATCCAGTGCACCTGTATATCTGATTCGACAAGCAAGCAAGCAATGCTCCTGCAGACGATCCTCTGCCAATCAGTAATGTTTAGACAATAATCAGTATTACTATTTCATTTGGTGCGGGTCACCTGGGCCTGAGCTCCCTTCGAGAACGGACACGATAATTTACTTTCACCTGCACCTTCTCTCTATATCCTCTGTTATTTGTTTCTCTCGTATCAATAATGCGATGTTTTAATTAATCCAACTGATGAATATCACAAGAAAACGTTATTGGAGCTGACCCACCAACTTTGCCTTGAAAGTTAATGTGTGTTTAGAATGAGTGCGCAGTTCACCCTTTTCATTGATATACATGTAATATATTTTACCTGGCCGGCTCCCTATCATGCAGTGTCACATTTGTCAGTGATAATCAGGGAGTAGTAAAATAGTAAAATACACACAGTAAAATACATGTATTTTACTACTCCCTGGTGATAATCAAGTGATAGCCTGTCTCAGCCGTTGATGCTCAGTGCTCCCTTGCATGCAAGGTTGGTTACAGTCGCCATGGACTTTGTCGGATTGCATCGGACATGATGAACCAGTGAATAATAGAATAGGATCATGTTTAGTTTTCTTTTACAAGAAATACATGGCTGGGGAAGCCAATGACCATTTTGCATGGCGATTGCAGGCTTTTAAGTTTTTATAGCCAACCACTGCTAACAAGAAAAAGAAAAAGAAGTCCAAAAGAAAAGGAAAAGAAGAAAAAATATTCATAAGTTGAGGTAATGGAAAAGAAGAAAAAGAAGAAGACATGGACGTCACATCATGGACATGTACATTGTACTTGCACGATACATGTACGTACATTGTACACTGAGTCTGTACAGGATGGTGACGTCCAACGGCAACTGTTAGTGTCACGGAGTGACGGAGTCGGAGACGGTGGCACTAGCATGCACTCCAGTAGTACTGGCTGAACATTCTCTAACCCCACACTGCGCCGACAGTATTACAAGTGCATATTTAAAGACATGTTTGCGCGTGTGTGGGTGTGTGGCACGTACATGATGTGATTGTACAATGTACATTGCAGAAGCGGTATCCTTGTGCAGTTTCTCTTCGCTGTTAAATTAATACTCGGAGCTTCGTACAAAAATAGAAAAAACTGACAACTAAAGGAGCTAACGTCAAAATGGCAGTCAATCCATGCTGTCCGATTTCTCCCAGTACACTGTGCAGTACTATCATCAACATGATGTGGCGCACAGTGTACTTATGCTAGGAGTAGTGACGTGCTAGTAGTACAGTCAGCAATACTTGTCGAACGGTTCATGATCATGACAGACGTGAAGGTGACTGGCTTCACTTTACTTGACTTCAGTTCAGAACAGTGGTCCCACGCACGCGACGCCCACGAACGTCAAGCCTTTCTGAGCCGCAGAAGTAAAGCCCAAATCGCCCTTGATTCAACTACGTTACTTCAGTTACTTGACGTCGACGGTACATTACATGCCTATGCCTATGTACTAGTACATGATTGGTATTATGATTGGTATTATGATTGGTATTATTATTGGTACTATAACCCAATTCTACATGTACATGTAACATAGAGTTAGTTCAAAGCTAGTATTAGATAAACCTTGTTATAGTTCACACATATTGTTAGATTGACAGCATGAAACAAGGTAGAGGACACTGTGTTCGGAAACAGTGACCTTACTACAAGTACAACCATCCACGGTTGGCAGAGCCCCGGTCCATTAGGACCATTTGAACCATAATGGGTGTTGAGCTCGGTTCTGACCCTCATTATGCTAGGGGTGTTTAAGACTTTTCGTTACGTCAGTCGTGTATTCTACGATCAGGACGACATCCAGGGCAGGAGCGATCGAAGAATACACGACTGACGTAACGAGAAGTCTTAAACTCCCCTAGCATAATGAGGGTCAGAACCGGGATCAACACCCATATGGTTCAAATGGTCCGGGCTCTGCCAACCGTGGATGGTTGGAGTAAGGTCACTGTTTCCGAACACAGCGTCCCCCACCTTGTTTCATGCTGTCAAACCAACAACATACTTACATAGTACATGATTGTACTATGACTCTAGCATGAGTGTACTAGCATCTAAACTGTTTAGACTAAAAGTACGAAACAGTTTTGTCGGCAGATTGAGTATTCCGCTCCTGCTCTTGTAGCAGTTGAGGACTCTCGTGTGGTAGTAGTGCCTTTGCTTTTTGCGTTATGCAGAGCTCACTGACTTGTCAGTTACTGTTTGAGCACTCTGCGCTGATGTGTCCACAAAGGACACAACAGAAATGCCATTTAGACTGTCATGTACGGGTATTTGTTTGAAGTACATGTACGTCCTCCTCTGGCAAACAAAGCTTGGTGTGTTTCATGACAGCTTATCGGGATACATGCAGGAATCCACACGTTCATCAGTGAAGAGTGGTACGATTCACTCACTCCACGGCCCACGCATTCAACAAGTAGGGTCTATCCCCCATAATTTAAAGCCCAGGCCTGCACTTATAAAGCCAGTGGCAGAGTGCTGAACTCTCAGTATTTCGCTTTTCAATGCGCAAGGAGAGCCATAATTCTATAATTATTATTGTCAGTGTTCATTCGCAATTCGTGGAAACACTGGCACTTTGGCACTTAGCAACTACTAGCAGGCTATCTTTTGTGCAGTTTGGAAGCATTTCCTTGAAACCCGGCAGCATTGCAAGGAAGTAGCACCGAATACCGGCTGTGATGTGCTACAGTGTACATTATCCATAATCGTGTGCCAGTGTCGTGCGCGGCTTCACAACCTTTCAGTATCATTCCGGCGACGCGTGTCGAGCGGCTTGCAATGATGGCTGTGGAGCGTGGAAACCGTCGGCGATCCTACTTTTCGGCGTACGAGCAGGACGACCTCTGGTCCGTGGCGGCCTGTGCGTCCAATGCGGCTCAAGTTCCAGAAAGAGATGAGGTCATTGGGACGTGTGTGGAGTCAGCCAATGGCGTTGGCAATGAGGCAAGTACTGATGGCTGTACTGTCTTTTACTTGTAGTTGAATACCACTCTGACATGCGGGGTGTATTTGGCCTTGTTTTGGCTCATGCAGGGCGCAGTCCAAATTCGTGTTCATGTTGTAGTTAATTATTATTCTTGTTTTAAATCGGATAACCCAACTGTGCTACATGTATGCCATGCACCAGAGCGCTACTCGTCTATCGTAAGGGGGCCGATTGTGAACGTAGAGGGACTCGGAGGGGCATAAACGGAAACAGGAACTGAAAAATGGCGTGTCGTTTGTTTACGGAATATTCTGGAATACAATCATGTACATGTACTAATATTACACTATTACCTATCATTATGGCATCAGGTATTAGTAATCCACTGCCAGAAACACCAGTTCTTCAGAACTACATGTACATGTCTTTGTGTATTTTTTACAACGACCACAAATGCCAAACATGAGCTGCAGCTAGGGAAGCACGTACAACATGAATCGTGGCATTTCCTCTCCACTAGCAATACAGATTAGAACTTCAAGTCCATGTACCTGTACGTATACGTACAGGTAGTTACAGTGAAACCTGTCTAAGACGACCGCTCAAGGGACCTTCAAAATCTGGTCTCTGTTACCAGGTGGTCTCCTTATCCAGGGTCATTTGACTGGAAATGGCATCACTTGGTCCTGGTTCCAGTGGCCTTCTGGGACAGGTGGTCGCCTTATCCGAGTGGTCGCCTTAACAGGTTTTACTGTATATTAATAGTCACACTGTCTGAGCAGCCATTTGCGACACTGCGTTGTTTTAACCACTATTTTCTACGTCTACCAATTTCCTCCTCTGGACAACAGGGCGTTGCAGTTTCAAGGGCCAGGGGTCTGGATTCCCTACAGAGAGTTGGAAACGCTGAACTGAGCCAGCACAATCCATACCACATCATGCCCTGCCGCCTCGACTCCGTAGATACTGACCAAGAAGGCCGCAGCCCCGTGGAAACCGCCCCAGTCAACACAAGCGTGAACGTCATACGGGCTACACCACGAGGTGAACGAGCAGCTCAGGAGGCCGCAGATGGCAGCAAGATAGCTCGTACGTTGAGGCGCATTTCCCAACCCTCGACTCACCGTCGCCGGAGACGAAGTCGAGTGCATTCGCACATTTCAGATCGTGGATATGATACAAGCCGACGAAGAGGGAACCGGCTAGGAAATCTACTAGGCCGTCTTATACCATGCAAGCCCTGCGCCGTATAGGATTTCTATATTTACAAAAAATACTTCTGAAGAATACCGAACAACACTGACTTGATGTTACATGAAGCTTGACAGGACTGATTTCTCACCCTTGAATGATGCTGGCGTGGTGAATACATGTACTTCAATTAATTGACCTCTATACCACGCTAATGTACAAGGAGTCCTACATGTACGTCGGCTTTTAAAATGGGACTCATCTATGCCCAACGTAACCTCCCATACTGTGTGTGCATGTATCCAACTTGAACTTTGACTTGTCTATTTTAAAATCTTTTATGATACCGCCATAATACCGCCATAATACCGCCATAATACCGGTATTCATGACTTTGAGGGAACGGTTGCAAAGGTTCAACCTTTTTATGAGAACTATGTTTTATTTACTTTGAAGTGCGCTGCATTTGATATAGCCTGAGATGTAGCCTCATGCTTACATAAAATTTGCTTTCTGTTGCCTGGTGATTGCGAGAGCATGAAATCAAGGTTTGTTTGCTGCTACTTGAAGTAGCAGCAAACAAGCCTTGGTTGTCCTTGTTGTTCTGTTCTGTATCACGCTCTGCCTCCGCGGTGTTGAGCACTGTCAGCACACTGGGTACATCCTCCGGTAAAAGCTTTCTACAAAAAGGTATCACCAAGCCTGTGTAATGTCACAGGAATCGTGAGTTTCGAACTCTGAAGAACATGATGTTATACTCAGCTCTCTGCTAGGATGGCAGCTACATCTTACACCTAGGCCTCAAGCGAAGCAGGGTCCCTGGTTCCAGTCCTGGTGGTGACAGTCAATTTTTCTCTAGAGACGTTTCCCTTTTCAACTCCCTCAACTAATGAAAGTTCATCTATATACAGTGTACTACGCATGTTCTACTTCAATGAAACAACACCTCCCAAATTCCAAAAGTCACATTTCTTGTTGAGATCTGGCGTAGTTTGGATTGCCTACTGTAGCCCGCATCTTGTTCTTGGCGAATTGTGGTCACGTTTGTGGCCGGAGGCTCGTATGCTAAATGTAACGCCATTGATGAATTTTCCATGAACATTCTCGCCGAAAGCGCTCCAGAAGTGGCAGCAGACAGGAGAAAGAAGGACAAAACTGAATGAAATAGGCTATAATTATATCATTAGGTTGCAACCCACACCGGAGCTCGTGCTTTTCCCACCGATATGACTTGATACCTGACTGACTCACGAGTCACAACTGCCATCCAGCGCACACGAGAAATCCATCGAACCTTCGACTCGGCAAGCCTACCGGACGTACAGAGATGCCTCGTTTCTAGCATGGCAAGCACCTCGTAAACACCAGATAGCAGGGTGAGTCAGTGTCACTCATGGATAGGTACAACAGGCGTTGAGGACCAAGTTGTAGGTCATTCGCAACGCTGTCACGACGAAACCCGCCCTCATCACAACAGTGCGAGAATGAATAGTGGTAGCGACACTGGCGATACTTTTACGTGTGTAAGGAAGTAGCCTGCTCCCCACGCCGGAGCTCGCGCTTTTTCCACCGACCTGACTTGACACTTGACTGACTCACGACTGCCATCCGAACTCCAAAGCACACAACTTCACAAGAAGTCCATCGAACGTTTGACTGGGCAAACCTGGAAGAAAAGCATCACTCCCTGCTAAATGCACTTCTGTGTCGAATGATCCGAAAGGGTAAAGAATTAACCCGTCTGTGTAAGATGCAGAACGTTGCTTAGAGTATGAAGAAGAACAACAAAATCAGAAGAGCGACTCCAAGTTACTTGGACTTGCCCATGTCAAGAACAAGACTACTTACAGGTGGACTGAGGGAGGTCGGCTGGAGAGCGCGTGCGGAGGTAGGACGTTTGGAAGTATTATTCAAGAATTGTAAACAAATTTGAACTCATTTGGCAGATTTCAGATTCAAGAATGTTTTCTGTACTGCTTTTGCATCGGTTACTGTCGTACATGCATGTATATGTATGTGCCGCGCTTTGATCAGTTGGAACAGTTAGTTGGAACATGTGTAGCCAAACGATGCTTTCTAATCCCGACTATGAGCACTTGAACTAGTAATCGCACAGCCGGTCTGTTCAGACTCAGCCTGTGTGCGCTGATAGATTGCTGTTCAAGGTTCTGATGCAGGCATCGGCAACATAAAAGGACCATTCTTCTCCGCCCGGGACAGATGGACCGTGACATAGATGCTTGTCTCTCGTCAATGGCCTCACTAGGCCCGAACAGTAACCGATTTCATCAACATTGCCTTGTCTTTAGAGTCTGCACTGCATGCCATAATTACACTCTCATGGGATGCCTTCGGTCTCCAAGAGGATACATCTGAACGTCACATATTTTGATATCCACTCCACGTTACTGGATTCGTTCGCGGGTTCACCAGATCTGGTTAGTACTTGCCATTTACAGTGAACCTTCAGTATAACGTACCTCCAAGGAACGTCCAGATATGCACTTTTTAAAATAATAATAACTCTTTTATTTACTGGTGTGAGGGAAAGACGCAAACGGGAAAAGTCTGAAGAAAATTTGACTGTCACCACCAGGACTCGAACCAGGGACCGTCGCCTGAGGCCAGCGGTGCTCTAACCGCTGAGCCAGCCTATGGTGTAGTCGTCATCCCAGCAGAGACCGTTCAACATTTTCTTCAGACTTCGTATATAACTCTGTTGGTGCTCTTTACTTCTTATAAAGTAATAAATTATTTACTAGGATGACCCAAAGGCTGACCGCCTATCTTGCATTGAGCAGCAGTGTTACGGTGTATAACATGCACACACGCACACACGGTATGGCCTGTGACTGTGTTGTTTTGTAAAACTATGTACATTTATACGTGTACTGCTTGGTCAGGAATGTATCTCTGCACCATTGCATGAGATCCGCTCAGTACATAGTCATTGTACGGCATCCATGCATTCCTTGAATCATGAACAACGATACATCAGCATGTACATCTCGACCTACATGTACATGTACCTGATCAGCACTCATTCTTCGTGTATACGTATACATGTACATGTACATGTTGTTGTTGTTGTTGTTGTTGTTGTTGTTGTTGTTGTTGTTGTTGTTGTTGTTGTTGTTGTTGTTGTTGTTGTTGTTGCTGTTGTTTCTTTATTTTACATGTATATTGTGAAATTGTGAAACTCGGGATTGCAGTGAGTTGCCCCCTTAGGCCTTCTCCTTGGACTTGGGGCATGGATGACTTCTGCCCCAAGGCACAGAAAGCACTTAGAAAGTGGAGTGCTATGCTATATGGAGTGCACCGGTACTAGTATTAAAATCTGCTCCATGGGCCATCTACATGATTGCGTCTGTGCATACCAGTGATAACCAGGGAGTCGTGAAAACACTTTCTCGACCGACTCCTTGGTGAAAACTAAAGAATGATACCCACTCATACATGTACATGTACATGATTGTACATGCTCGCAGCATGTCTGTGGTCGGCACAATCGCTAATCCATCCCCTGCCTGAGGCTGGTACATCGTACCAGACAGAGCACGGGTTGTGCTCTCCGATAGTATGAGTGACAAGCTCACTGGCTTGGCTCAAGCAGTATCGGCTTCAGCGGCTTGAACCTTGGAGCCATCACTCGCCGTCGGTCCTATCGTGACCCTGAGTCTGTAGACCAGCCACATTGGACGATGTAGTGACGCTTTGTAGATCTACACTGGTGTTGATCGTGTCCAGACAATCGTAAAAGATGTGCTAACATTATCATTGGCGATTCCCAATTTTATCCAGGCCTGGGCTGGAAGTCTACTAAGTGTTGGCGATCAGAGAAAGCCAGCCCGTTGGCCCACGTCTATCCCAAATCCCCTCGTTCAAATCTGGACTATTGCTTTTGTTGTTTTGGCAGTTTGTCTTACATGTACGTTTAATAGGTCTCACGTTTTGGACTTGGAAGTTGGATTATCCAAGCTGTCTGCTTTCTGCTGGGCTCAACTCCGATCTTTTTAGTATTCTGTATTACAAGGAGCACATCTAGACGGGGAAGCTGTGAATGTTCATGCCCAGTTCAAGCTCAATGAAATCCGATCCGTTGACTTAAATTAAGTTGTGCAGCCCTAGACCTGCGAACACTGGAACAGGGTGCAAACTAGACTTCCCTGATTGGATTTCATTGAATTCATCCCCGTAGGCGTAGGTGCTAGAAGATCCTCCAACTTTTCGAGACTACGTGCACGAATATCGAGTTGAGTCTGTTGTGCTTGGTAGCCATATTCATGCACTGTGGAGGCTGAGGCTTTGGCCCGGGACAGAGTACACGATGCTATCCGTGTAGAGCGGCCGCTGTTCGCGCCTGAAGCGTATCTTCAGCTGACTGGGGCATGTGCTCAGATGACTGTATAACGAGTATGTGATAGAATACATGCATTGGTCGTTGTTGTCTGCGTACCTTCGTGGCCGTTCACAGCTGATCGGTCTTTGGTTGATCAAGTGTGTGCCTCCGAGCATGGTGTCTTGTCAAGAGTCTCTTCGAATGCCGCGAACTGGCCTCAGCACAGCCGGTGGCAAGGGCTGGATGGAGCGAAAGAATGGCAACGAAGAATGGCCCGCGAGGATTGCCAGGAAGGCGAGGAGAAATTGGAATCCACAAAGCAATGCTGAGTCAAATCCTAAAATGTAAAGCGAAGAGCAAGGCGGAAGAAGGCAGTTGTCGTCTTGACTCGTTTTCCTGCTTTGCCTGTTGTTTCGCTTCGGTCGGATTCCTCTGTCAGTAGAATGGCCAGACATCATCCTCCGCTCACACGCCGTCATAGCGCAGGAGTGGATAGCTACGTCAATAATGACGAGCTATGCGAGACATATTTGTCCCGTCGCTTGGCCCCATTGGCCCTGGCCGACAACATGTCTAGTCGTCAAAGTGTAGCATACTCCAGCTACTCGAGACGAACACCGACTGGCGAGACAGTCGATGAGGGATTCGGTGGGCGATCCAGTCGTTGCAGCCTTGCCAGCGACGGGTCTTGGGGATCCTCCGCCTCGATTCCGGTCCGACGGCAGCGAAGGAGACTGAGTGAGGACGTCATTGATGAGATTATAGAACGCGTCCGCCGAATACCGCACTGTTCGCAGTCACTGCTCGGAGTCGTGCACAAGATTGCCCAGACGCACGACGCAAGCATTGCGGACAGCATGCAAACACACGAGATGATGATCAGCGATGGATTATGCACGCAGCCTTCGCGACCAATTCGTCCCTCGCCAACATGGCGCTCAGCAGGTAAGATAAACACATCACTGTTATCCTCAGTCACGAATCAATTTACTTATTTCTACAAGTCTATTGAGCCTAAGGCTAATTTTTCCTTGGCTTTGTGTTGGTAGAAGGTTACAAAGATGAGAGTGCATCAATACGGCATCGTTGTAACATGGATACTTGATGTAAACGTGGCTGATACAAAGTCGGCGCATGTTAAGTCACAGATAATAGACGATCAGTAGACCAAAAATACAGTTGACATTAGGTCCCACGTGATTATATGCATTACCCCGGATGGACTAGCTAGGCAACCGTTGACCCACGTACATCAATTAGCTGACTGTCGTAAAACCTCTTGGATACGGTATCGATGATGTGTTTCAATCCTTTCCACTCTGTGAGCGTCTGTGTCTGTAGCTTTAGCATGCAATGTACTACCCGAAGTACTGAATTTACTTCTTTTGTACTCTATATTCTAATGTATCTTCTACCTCTTCTCCCCTACGAACATACTTTCTCATTTTCCATACTTACTTAGGAGACTCCCTTCGATAGGCATCTATTTGCCTTTGGAGGATCCGTGAAATAGAAATCAATCAAAAAATCAATCAATCAATCTGTATGTCTGTATCTATGTCTGTACCCTAGATCTACAGGTAGTAGAAGCACTACAGGAGCTATACTCGCTGAAAGCCGGGGTGTTCGACTCTCCGGATCACCAGCGCTGCACCAGGTCCGAAGCGGCCACCGTCACTTACGAGATCGTCCAGACCAACTTCAAGCAGAGCGAGTACATGGCCTACGCCACGGTCCCCGGTGGCAGCTGCTACGGATCCCTGCAGGCTTGCGCGACGCGGGGAGAGGCTCGGCGCAGCGCCGCCTGCGTGGCCCTAGTTCACGCCGCGTGGAACGAGCTGCCATCCAAGACACTGACCGAGGGCAACATTGAGGGCCTGGTCATGGCGGCGAAGACATCCAAGCTGAAGAAGGCCGGCCGCTCGCCAAGCGTCAGCAGCATATTCTCCAACCCTCCGTCCCTGAGCAGCAGCTGTGCAGCCACGCCGACACACCTTCGTACGAATGCGCCACCGCGTCTGCAAAAGCAAAGCTCCATCTCCAGTGCCACATCGTGTGTGTCGTACGACAGTGGCTGCTCATCGGGCTCAATCCCCGGCACACCCATCACGCCATGCATGGATATGGAAGAAGCCAGCTGCCACTTGCCGGGTCCACTATCCTCAAACTGGCAAGCTGTGGACATTCTCCGCCACCTACTGAAGATGTACTGCGGACGCACGGCCATGGAGTTCCGCGAGCGCATGACCGTCTTCCAGCTGATGCAGTGGAGTGGAGACTTACAGCGGGCCAAGTCACGCTGCCTGGCATTTGAATCCGTCCTGCAGGCGTACCTTTCCACGCCCCTGGACGAGAAGCTTCGCACGTACCTTTCGAAGATGTGGGCGAGGAAAGAGGGCGCCGAGAGAGGCATCATAACGCAAGCGCTGAAGAATTGCCGCAGAGAGCTGGACACACTGCGCGTCAGCGGGAGTGAGGTGAGCTTTGCCAAGGAGAAGAAAAGCATCCTGGTGAATGCCTTTGCTCTGTACCAGCGGCAGCAGGCGACGGTAAGACACAGCGACTATCAGGCTCCACTGCCGCCGCAGCTGGCCCACCAGCAGCAGCGCATGTCGTCACGCGTGCAGCAGCGCGGTCGCAGCAGCAGTCGCGACCGCGGTGACTACACGTCTGATTGGTACTGCAGTCACGGACAGTACTCATGAAGTCCCAACACCCTGTCTTCTGTGCACTGTCTTCTGTGCACTGTATTCGGTGCGCTGTCTTCTGTGCCGTAATGCTGTGAAAACTTGATCGCTTGATTTCAGGATGATTTCGGCGCCTGATTCAGTATTATTATTATAAATTATCCATATCACATCTCATGACCAGATGCAGGGTTTCGCCGCCATGGCTGTACAAAGCAATATTTAGTTGTGATGAACACCGACTGGCATAAACAATGCGCACCTGCACATGTACATGTATGTGCAGCTAGAGTTAGCAACGAAAGGTCGCAGCACTACCTATTATCATTCAAATGTGTGTTGTGTCGTCTTTGGCAAAACAAAGCTGTTGCATGCATGTACATGTATGTGCTTCAAAGTGAATGTAGGACGAATTTAACGCACCTGATTCTTCAGCTAGTGAGACGTATTGATACTCGAATTTTTAATAATGGCTATTGCTCAGCTGAATTCCACACATCGGCTTGCTGTAGAGTTAGTTATTTTCACAATCTTCCAAGATGAGACACCCTGTCTGTTATTCTTACTGGTGTTAAACAATACCTTTGCGATCGTTTATGCTCAAAAGCAGCACGACCACAGCAATACAAAGCAAGAATCAATAACACGAGATTCCAAAAGTGATGTGTCTTGTGTAGTGATTCGCGACTTTTTAACGGGATCGAACTTTGTTCTTTGCGCAGCAAGCACTGCCATCCGCAGTCGATGATGCCTTCCATGAATCTTGGCTTGCTTGCTGTGATCCACCGTTTCCCCATGCACTCATTCCACCTCCTGCTTCCTGTCACAACTTCACGTCTTCTGTTTTGCATGGTAATTGTAAACATACTTTGAAGTAGTCATTATACAAATCACCGAGAAGAGGCATACCAAGCTGTCAATGAAGCATAAAATCTCCAATAAAGCTTCGCCCCCCCCCCATCCCTGCCCGGTCTAGAGAGGGGCATACTGACAAACTTTTTTCTTCTTCTTCAAAACAGCAAGCAACTCCAAAGCCCAAAAGAAAATCCAAAAACAAACCAAGAACTTGTGCATTAAACTCATGTTATTCAGAAAAAGTGGGCAAGTAAATCGTTCGTCACTGACAACCAAAATAGGCGTGTAATGTTGCGGTGAAAGAAAGAAGCACAAGACCGGCATTTATGGCAGGAAGACTGGCTTTTTTCTTTTCTTTTTGTATGAAAGTGCACATGCCTACATAATATAGAATGGAAGAGACCAACAACGACAACAGCAAGAGAACATATGTGACTACAGAGGGCGTGTAGGCACTATAAAGCTGGGTCGGTGAGGTGAAGTGCGCTACCACCACCAGTGGCCTCGGGATCAATGCGCACATCACGCACCATGGGGGAGAGGGAGAGAAGAAAGTCTGTGTGTGAAAGAGTTAGAGCCTGAGAGCCAGAGAATGACCCAGAGAATGATGGAGAGAGAGAGAGAGAGAGATGGGGGGGGGGGATGACTCGGATGAGTGAGGGAGGGTGAGCGAGTGAGTGGGTGGGTGAGTGAGTACCAGATTAGTTTGGGAAGCCATGCCAATGGATAAGCCGCTGCGTTGGTTGCATTGGTGGTGGGGGGGGGGGAGCAAGACGGAGAAGGCAAATCGGAGCTGCTGCCAGGCAGAGTAGCGTCACAGGCACTGGATCAGCGAGAAAGGGACCACCAAAAGGAGCAAAAAGGAAAGAAGAAAAAAAAGAAACACAACGCAAAAACATTCTGCACTGCGGTGTTTCGGGAGCTCAAGGGAACAAGGTACAGTTCAGTGGGGGTGAAGACAATGTGGTCGTTGTGAGACTGGAGATTGGAGTACATTGTACCGTCAAATTTAGCCATGGAATGCTGTTGCCCACAACCAATCCTGGCGCATCAGGTGCTGACATACATGTATGCGTGACTTGAAGGCCTGCAATTCCCTTCGATGCAGGAGGCTCCGGGATGACTTGCTCAGGAATGTCGTTCCATGCTGCAATGAAGGTGTAGGGGAATGACCTCAGCAGGTAGTTCGGTGCTGTCCAAGCAAGTGGCCATTGCATCCGGAAAGGATGACGAGAAGCTAGTTGTCCGCGGGTTCTAGGAGTTTTTTTATTATATTTATTTTTTTATTTTTTTAACAATGATCACAGCTCACAGGCAAAGAAAAAAATTGCATAGTGGGAGCATAGTGATGGTGAGACTTTTTGGCCTCAGCCGACCTGAGGTCTCGACGTCATGGGGACATAAAACGCACCAAAAAAAGAAGAAAAATGAAAGGAGTGACAGGTACATGATACGAAATGTTAGGAGGAGAGACAGTACATTAGAAGGAGGGGAAGGATAAGACAGACAGTGCTAGGAGGAGAAGGAGAGAAAAGAAGAACAGACGTTATTGGGAATAGTATGTGGAGCGGAATTTGGAAGTCATGAGGTGAGGCAGATATGATGCTGATAATAAGAGATGGTCATGTGCCCACGACCAATCGTTGGTCTTCAAATAGCGGTTGGCTGCAACTTTGAAGTGTTGCAAGTGCTTGGTGCAGAATGGACCAGAGAAGACTCCGGCGGGCAGCTGGTTCCAGACGGGGACAACTGCGTGAGGGTAGGCTCGACACAGGTTGTTTCGGGAACGGACTGGAAGTTCATTGGCCAGTTTGTGTGCGTGAGCATTACACCTCTGGAATGTACTACGGGTGGAGTGGACTGTTCGGTGTTGGGGCTGCTGGAGTGGCAGCATCCTCTGTAGAAGGGGATGCGCATCCGAACAATGCATCTTGTACAGGAGGCAAAGTGCTGCAACCATCCGACGAAGAGCAATACTCGACAGCCAACACAGTAGGTGCAGACTCTGAAGGTGGCGGGAGGAGGGCTGTCAGGTGGGGTGGGCCATTAATGTGCACATATGGAAGCCCTGAACCTGTCATGAGCTGAAGGCTCTGAAGGATCGTGCCAGGTCCTGCCTTCTCCTGCACCCTGTCATAGCATACTACTAGGTGGGATTGGGCTGCACACATCGTGACTAGGGGACTCGGAGCGTCCTCCAAGATGCGCCGAATGAACCCCTTATTAAGTTGTAAGTTATACACGGCCCTCATGACCCAGAAGCCAAGCAGCACGGCGCAAAATCCCAGGTGCTGGCTGGCAGGCTTTGACAGCGATAGCATGGATAGAGCGCTGGAACCCGCCATATCAATTGCTACTACTGCCGTACTGGGACCCAGCCTGCCCCCCCCCCCCCCCCCCCCTCAGCTACAACCTGCGCCCATTCGCTCGGGAGTGCTGTAAGAAGGCCAGTTATTCCAGGGGAGATTCGACTTCTCCTAATAATCGTCACGTCAGTCGTGTATATTGTCTAAGAGGGTCATAACCTTGTCTAAGACCCATACTATGGCCATAGGGTTCAGATGGTCTCAACAGACCGGGGCTCTACCAACCGTGGATGGTCGTAGAAAGGTCACTGTTTCCGAACCCGGTGTCCTCCACTTTGTTTCATGCTGTCAACCAACAACAATTATTACAAACTATTACAATCTACTAGTACATGTTTGAACAAAAACAAGGTTTTCATGTACAATCGATCACGTATATTTGCAGCGATCCAAAAAGGCCCCCGGGCCACGGGACTCGGGTGACCGGTGTCGTGCATGCATATGCATGGTCACCATGTAAACTACCAGGTCACCACATTCCAGGTCACCACATTCCAGGTCACCACATTTCAAAAACGACTGCTTTGTTCAAAAAATAAAAAAAGAGCGAAGTGCGAGTTTTGATTCATTTCTGATCTTGTTGGACGTACATAATCATTGTACAATTCATGTACATACTACAACATAGTCACAATGTACGTTGATTTGCTTCAGTTTCTTTAGTTTAGTTTAGTTTAGCTGAATGAACTCCACAAGCAGCAAAGAAATAGAATAAAATCAGATTCTTTTCTTTGTTGTCGAAGTAGTTCGCCAGTCATATTACTGATAACGTTACGTGATATTGGACATGGAGACTGCTCCGATACGGTAGCGTTCAAATCAATGGAACATTAGTGCAAAGTGGGACGCTGAATTCTAGGACTCGCGGCAAGGTCGTCATCTCGATCTAAATGGCAGGTGTTCACGCACACTACGTGGAAATTCTCAGCGTTGCCTCGTGAAGCAGAAGCAGTAGCGTACTAACCCAGAATACCTCAGTTCTCGACACTGCCCGCTGACAGTTTAGCGCGGGCAGAATGGAGGATGATGACTATTTCCACTACATGCATTCGGATGATGGCGATATGACGGCGGATGAGCAGGCACGCTTCATGTACGCTTATGACTATGATTTCCGCGACCCGGATATGGCGTCGCAGATGTACGGTGGCAGCACCGGAACGTTCAACACCTGGTCGCAGTTCGCGTTCACCTTTCCACAGTGCTTCTACCCGACCATGTACCAGATCATTCCGCTGATGATGCGCACTGTCGGTATGGCGTTGGCGCTGCGCGTGGCCGTCCTGCTGCGCTTTCCGCCGACTCTTGTCCACATGCTGTCCGGCGGCCTGGGCATTCTCGCAGTCTGGCTGCAGTTCGGCTGGCCGGGCATACGGGCGTTTGTGCCGTTCGAAGCGCTCGGCTACGCTACGTACCGATTGAGCCCGAGGCACCGAGGTCCCGTCACAGCTCTCTTTGCCCTGACGTACTTACTGACATGGTAAGTGGTCTGTCTGGTTATCCCGTAGTTTACGTCATGACACATGGCTGCAGAAACATTTTTTTTTCAATTTTGATACTTACCCCATACTGTAAGTCGACAAATGTTCGGCACATTTCAAATTTCGGCCTCCCAGGGTTAAAACACATTCCGGCCCCATTAAATTTTCGGCCTGTACGGCTGCTGCCTGTATACACAGTCGCACAGAACCTTGCAAAACAAAATTTCGGCCGCAACAAAATTTCGGCCGGAAATAGCCGAAAATATAATTATATGCGCTGAATATTTGTTCACTTACAGTAGAGCTTTTTCAAGGACGCGGTGCCGTGCCCGTCAGCGGTGCCGTGCCCGTCAGCGGCGCCGTGCCCGTCAGCGGCGCCGTGCCCGTCAGCGGCGCCGTGCCCGTCAGCGGTGCCATGCCCGTCAGCGGCGCTCACCCCGAGATTGTGGTGAACAGGCCACGCATTGAGAAACGATATGTGACAGGTTCGTCTCCGCCAGCGCTTGGAGGGATTTTGAGGCTTGTTCCCTTTTTGCCCAAGCGGGCTTCCTGGCAGCTGCTCTGAGTCGACACGAGTGTTGGACATGAAGTTGAGCGCCGTAGTGCTTCTTTCACTTCCACGCGTCCATTCCCGTACATTCCCGTACATTCCTTTCCATTCCCATCCATTCCCTTCCATTGCCATCCATTCCCGTACATTCCCTTCCATTCCCTTCCATTCCCTTCCATTCCCTTCCATTCCCATCCATTCCCGTACATTCCATGCCATTCCCATCCATTCCCGTACATTCCCGTACATTCCCTTCCATTCCCATCCATTCCCATCCATTCCCATCCATTCGGATTGGTTCACATAAGCAAAATCGGCGCCGCAAGACATCGGCGGTGAGCCAGCTCCCGATCCGCTACGCATACGGTTCGAGTACCAAATCTACTACAAAGTAGTACAGAATGTGCCCAAATGCTACGACAGGTTTGCCAATTGAAGCTTGAATTCTTTGTTTCTTCAGTAGTTCAAGGTCTTTCGGTGATGGCCACTCGGTGCTACCTTTTACTGGGGATCATGAAACTACTTCTACACATTTTATTGCAGTCTAGTAAGCGATTGTGTCGAAATTATGATTGCAAACGTTGATGAAGTCATAAGAACTTGTCAATGTATCCATCATATTTTTTATTTGTTTCAATTGTATTTGTCTCATCAGTTGCACAATGGTCAAGCAGATCATCCGAGAAGGACGGGCTGGTATGCTGACATATTTGCCACCTTGAAGCGACTACAAGAATGGCGAACGGACCTCCTCTCTAGCTTCAATATAGGAAAATTTGGGACAAATATTGGTTTGATATTTTGACAAAGTCTGGCTCCCGGCAGCCGGCGATCACCGGCGCGAACGGTTCACAAACCACTTTTGGTCAAAATTGTACGGGATCGGCCCCGGGGCAGATCGTAAGAGTTGGGCACTGTCCAACTTTGCCGGCGGTCCTTTGCGATATTTTACCGTATGATTTTGTTACGACTGCACTGGTTCACACAATCGCAATGCGCCGGGAGAGGTTGCAAGAAGCCCACCGCCGGTGACTCCCGGCGCGTACCGGCGATATGTGAACCAACCCTTACCATCCATTCCCATCCATTCCCGTACATTCCCTTCCATTCCCATCCATTCCCGTATATTCCCTTCCATTCCTGCTCATTCCCTTCCATTCCCATCCATTCCTGTACATTCCCTTCCATTCCCGAAGCATCCAAACTCATTTTGAATTTCATATAGTGTTTACATAAATGTTTACCCCTTTTCTCACAGCTAAGGCGATTTCAACTACACCATAGCCCAGTGGTCAGAGCATCGCTGATCTCAAGCAAGGGTCCCTGGTTCGAGAGGTGGTGACAGTCAATTTTTCTTCAGACTTTTCCTGTTTGCATCTTTCCCTCAAACCATTGAAAACTTTCTCACCGCCTGGCTACATGTCAGTACAGTAAAACAGCTGTCTAAGACGACCACCGCTCAAGGGACCTTCAAAATGTGGTCTCTGTTACCAGGTGGTCTCCTTATCCAGGGTCATTTGACTGGAAATAGCATCCCTTGGTCCTGGTTGCAGTGGTCTTCTGGAACAGGTGGTCTTCTGGAACAGGTGGTCTTCTGGAACAGGTGGTCTCTTTGGCAGGTTCTACTGTATTTGTATTTTGCTTGTCCTGTGTTGTTGCAGCGAGGCTTTCCTCTATGATGCTGTGAGATGGCACAGTTGGAGAGGTAAATGATTCATACTGGTCCCTAACGCACGCACGCACACACACACACATACAGACACACACGCACACACACACGCCCACACACCCACATAACACACACACACACACTTGCACACACACACACATGCACACATACACACATAACACACACACACACACACACACACACACACACACACACACACACACACATAAATACACACACGTATAAACTTAGGGGTGAAACGAGTATCTATTTTGACCAACCGATCACTCGTTCATAATATTCGATCGAGTATCCGATTATTTCGAGTATTTTATCAAAAATTCAAAAGCACTAGATTTGCGAGTTCTCGACCAATTCGGAAGAAATTATCTGTGAAAATAGAACAAAAGTCGCCAACGTCTTGTACAGAGTGTAAAGTAACGATTTTCATCAGTACTTTCATATCTCAGAACGTTACTTGCCGTGGTGATCGCATCGTCCAAGTCTTAAAATACTGACTCAAATCCATGCATAACGCATGCAACCAGTGGACCAGCCGTACAACAAAAGTTTTTGAAAAATACAATGCCAATACTAAAAAAAAAAAAAAAAAAAAAAAAAAAAACCGATCGAGTGCAAAATTTCGAATACTCGCTCGTTTGAAATTTTCGAACGAATACTCGAATATTCGAACTAATCGTTTCACCCCTAATAAACATACATGTACACGTACACACACACACACACACAGTGGTTCACAGACCATACTGACACGCACTGACAGGAAATCCCTGTATCCGTTACATGACTCAAAGTGACTTTTTATCATCAATGAATCCATTCGATGCAGTAGTAGGTGCAAACAATTTCAAATTTCGAGATTGCAGGCTCAACTCTCCATGATTATGGCCTCGCACGTTTCCCTTTGTCTCATTCTCCTAGCTCCTCTTTAGTTTTCCATATAGTTATCAAAACCCATATCAGAGAATGTGTGTTTGTGTGTGTGTGTGTGTGTGTGTGTGTGTGTGTGTGTGTGTGTGTGTCAAGAAATTAGCCCAAAAGAATGATGTTAGGGATGACGATTACACCATAGCTTATGCCGTCATCACACCACGTTCTGTGACTCCCGTTTACGTCTACGTCTACGGTGAAAAACCCAAAATTGGTGGTCGTGTCATCAGACAGGCACAGTTCTTGACGAGTACACGCAGCCGCGTTTTGGAGAAATTTGGAGATTCACGCCCCAAGTATGAGTTTGCTTGGAAAAAGGCTGGTACGCACATTCATCAAAAAAGTCGCATGCCTTCCCTCTCCCCACCCCGTCTACATTTCCCGTTTCCTCTGCTCCCGTTTTCACCCCGTATACGGATCATCATGACAAACGACCAACAATTCCTTACATGGACGTAGACGCAGCGCTTTGTACCGTGGTGTGATGACAGCCTAAGTAGTAGTAGTAGAGCATCGCTGGCCATAGATGACAGACCCTGGTTCGAGCTCTGGTGGTGACAGTCAATTTTTTCATTTCATTTCTTTCCCTTTATTTGTTGGTGATCATATGAATCCTTTGAGGGATCAGCATAATCCGATCCAAGTGCCTTTTGGAAAGCATGGCTTCCAGTACGTGTCATTTACAATAATTGAATAATTTTTGCTGCTTGTGTCATGTGTGCATGAATGAATGCTGTACAGGGTCCCTGATGATAGTCGCCATGAAAATGTTGTCGGTGAGCTTTGATGCGGACGGCTCTCGCCTGCCCACAGACTTATCGCCCGTGAAGCACGTCGGCTTCTGCTTGTCCTCGGTGGCCGTCATGTTCGGACCGTTCATGACCTATCAGACGTATGAGCAGATACTGCAGCGGCCGCCCGTGGTAAGATCTCCTAGCCAAGTATACAGCCAGACTTCGATGTCCACAGCTACTGTAGCGGACGTTGAAGTCCGTTGAGAAGTCAAGCGGCCACGGGGCGCTGGCCTTGCAGCCGCCAGCACTGCTGGTCCATGTTTACTGTGGGTACATAAACTACAATGCATATACGCGCTAAAAGCAGCAAAGAACAACAGTATCAGGTCTGGTAGCTGAAGATGCTGAGAGTACAGAAATATTTCCTCGGTAATGTCTTGGGCATCCAAAAACTTCGATTTGAGGAACATATTGGTCTCCTATTGCACCCCTGATACGTGCAAGGGAAAGTGATGAAAGAAGTAAAACAGCATTGTTAAAAAAAATGTTGAACGCTGCTAGCAGGGTTCAAACCTGCGCGGGGAGACCCCATTGGATTTCAAGTCCAACGCCTTAACCACTCGGCCACCACAGCACGACCAAGTTAGTGCTTGCAGCTTGGAATGGAGATTCTACTCTGAGATGAATCAACTGGATGACTGTATTGTGTTGTATTTACTAGGGCAATACCTACAGACTGTATGTCTGACGTGAGAAGATTTCAAGCTAAGGGCCTTCATTTTGATCATGTTTTCTTCGGCTTGTTCTGGTGTTGCTTTGCGCAGACATTTGGGTGGATCTTCGCCATGGTTCGCCTGAGCGTCATTTCCTTTGTTTGCCTCGTCGTTTCCAGCTGTGCAATTCCCTACATATTGACCGAGTCAGCTCACAAGTAAGTCGACAGACAGCACTCCACGCCGGCCTCCAGATGTGCTTTCATTTCATTTCTTTCTTTTTTACGGTTGAGTGCATGAGATTTGCAGTCATCTAGTCTAAATATTTCTTGCTGCTTGCGTGCAAGTCTGTACAATTGAAATTGTACAGATTGCCAGTACAGCCAAATCATCTGATTTATTGACATTGCTCCGAAACCTACCGTATTTCCCCGTAAGTTAGTTCTCCCCAATGACTTCGTATCCCCTATAAAAAATACACTTTCCACTGCCCAGGTTATCACCCCGAAAGACAGTTTCCCCCGAAAGATAGTAAGTTCGTACCCGTCCTACATGTACAGACACCGTACAGTACATACATCATACTGTATTTTTCCGGTTGTAAGTCGACCTTTTATGACTAAAAATAGAAGTAGAAAGGGTTGGGGTCGACTTACAACCGGGATTCGACTTATAACAGGGAACTATAAGTATAAGAAAGGTTTGCTCCCCACACCGGAGCTCGCGCTATTCCGCCGACTTTACTTTGAGTTGTGCTTTCTTGCAGGTTTGCCGAGTCGAAGGTTCGATGGACTTCTCGTGTGCTCTGGATGGCAGTCGTGAGTCAGTCAAGTGTCAAGTAAAGTCGGCGGAATAGCGCGAGCTCCGGTGTGGGGAGCAAACCTTTCTTACAAATCATCGCCGAAGTCGCAACCACTACTTCGAACTATAAGTATCTTACCAAAAATGACCTGCACTGCATGCACGAGTGCACCATGTGTACACATTTTGCCAGTTTATTGGCCTTTTCCAAGGATTGAGACATTATACCCTCCAATAAGGAATGTTTACATGATCTGTTGATGTGTCAGTAGCAGGGAGTGGTTAGTAGTGCTTCTTTTGGTGAAAACTTCAAAACGCAGAATTGAGACCTCCGGATACGGGGGTCGACTTATAACCGGGGTCGACTTACAACCGGTAAAATACGGTATGCACGGACACTAGAGTTGCGCAGGCTTCCCATTGCGTGTCATTTACCCCCGATAAAAAGTACTCCCCGAAAGATAGCACCGCCCCCGAAAGTTAGTACTCATGTGGCTGCTAAGTTCGAAAGTTAGTATGTACTAACTTACGGGGAAATACGGCAGTCTCCTTCCGAAAAACCAATCCGGAAAGGAACCCTTTTCAGATTTCATGGAAGTGAAGTGTAGCGGTTGCTTGCATCATGGTATCGTCGTAGCAAACATGACCCTCACCGGTGATTGCAGTCGTATGCATAACAGTTAAAACATGTACAGTGAAACCTGTCGACCGCTCATGGGACCTTCACAAGGTGGTTTCTGTTACCAGGCGGTCTCCTTATCCAGGGTCATTTGTCTGAAAATAGCATCCCTTGGTCCTTGTTTCTGTGGTCTTCTAGGACAGGTTGTCGCCGTATCCGATTGGTCGCCTTGACAGGTTTGACTGTACTATGTGACGGATGCAGCCTTAGCACACGAACAAGATAGCCACATTAATGGGTCGACTGGAGAAGATATGTCTGCTTTTGGGTGAAAAGTTTCGGACCGCTCTGGATTCAATGGCAGTTCTAGAAAGGCTTGTGCCACCAAGCGCTATGTCAGTCAAGTCGGCAGGGAGTATAGCGTGCTGGGAGAAGTCACTCCTATGTATCATTCCTTACAGTCGTGATGTGACAGCCGTTGGCATGCAAGAAACCAGACTAAGCACACGGAAAGAAAAAACAACCAGCCATTGTGTCTCTCAGATTATTCATCTGTAAAACCAGCTCAACAGCAGTATATGGCCAAGAGCATTACGCAATGCACTGTTACCATGACTGTGCACGTCATCAGTACTACAGCCGTGATGTACAATGCATGACTACCACAACAGCCACATCCTCACCAGTCACCACTGCACACTTGTTGCCACTACTCGGTGATCACAGCCCACCTACGGCTCGGGAATTTAGCAGTCACAATGCATGGACATGTTCCATGGTTGCTCTTCATGTTTTCCTCGCAGGTGGGCGCTGGCGTTCTCCGTAGCAGGTGCCTTTCACTACAGTCACTACTTTGTATGCTATTTATCGGAATTATGCGCTGTGGCTGCTGGACTGGGAGCTAGGCAACGAGCAGATGGATCTTGGTCCTGGTAAGTGGTCATGTTTCACAAGTGTTGCAGTGCGCATACACTCTGTGTCGTCCCACACCTCTGAAGTTAATTTTCTCTCAGCTGTAACTCCCTGCCTCCTGACTCATTGTCATGCTCGTGAATGTCCCTCTCTCTCTCTCTCTCTCTCTCTCTCTCTCTCTCTCTCTCTCTCTCTCTCTCTCTCTCTCTCTCTCTCTCTCTCTCTCTCTCTCTCTCTCTCTCTCTCTCTCTCTCTCTCTCTCTCTCTCTCTCTCTCTCTCTCTCTCTCTCTCTCTCTCTCTCTCTCTTTCTCTCTCTCTCTCTCCCTCCCTCCCTCTGTATCTCCCTCTTTCTCTCCCTCTGTATCTCTCCATCCTATCTCTTACCATATTCAGGACAACAATCCCCCCCCCCCCATACTGCCTCATAGTTCCCAGATTATCAGAGTCCCAGAATATCCCGTTATCTCAGATTCCTCCAATCTGTTAGGGTTCTATGTGTCTGTGCGACTGGTCAATTTTCCTTCTTTTTGTTGTTGACAGGGATGGACTTCCAGTAGTGCGAATGTACAACGTTGAGTTGCCTCGCTCACTGGTGGAAGTTGTCACCAATTGGAATATTGCGATGCATGTCTTCTTGAAGAACTGTGAGTTTGAAAACAGCACAGTAGTATATGAAATCGAATACAATGAATTTAATTTTGGGCTCCGAAACAAGCCTATTCCACCCATGGCCCGTATGTGTTCAAGTGTTCATGGTATCAGCTAAGTACTCAGAAGGTGAGGAAGGAAAATATTAAATGGGAGCAAGAAAAACGGTGAAAATCTGGTTTGGTTGGTGGACTCTATCACATAACTTGTGTCCCGCCGTTTTTTCTTGTTTCCATTTAATGTTATCATCGTGTGATATGGTTACAGAGCGCCACCTGGAGATATGAACCCAATGCCGAGGCATTAACCCAGATACCAGGCATGCCCTGGGAAGATGACATGCATGCCCTGGGAAGATACCAGGCATGCCCTGGGAAGATACCAGGCATGCCCTGGGAAGATACCAGGCATGCCCTGGGAAGATACCAGGCATGCCCTGGGAAGATACCAGGCATGCCCTGGGAAGATGACATGCATACACAGTTGATTTTCGCCAGTCTTAGTAGTTGCTAGGTAACGTTAGGTATACCGGGCTTGTCTCCAGCTGCAACTTCATATGCACAACACTAACTCACGTAATGTCACAAACACGGTATGGGATCTTTCATACAATAGTCACACTAATAGTGACACCTGATTATTCATACTGTAAGTCAACTAATAGTCGGCGCATATTTATTTTCGGCTATTTTCGGCCTGGTCATGTTTGGCCGAAAATTTTGTTGTGCAAGGTTCAGTGTGACATTGTATACAGGCGGCAGTAGTACAGGCCGAATATGTAATGCGGCCAAAATGGGTTTTAGCCCTTGGAGGTCGAAATTTGAATTGGCCGAAGATTTGTAGACTTACTGTATATGGAAACAGGGGAGTATGTACCATCGCACTGGTTATAATCCCACCAATTATTTCTGCGAGCTATTTGCTAGCACATGACCAGCTACGTGAAGTGTGATGTGCAGAGGGCGTGTAAAAATACGTTGTTAGGAACGTGCTGGAAGTTGGCAATGACAGTACCCGGACATGACGTTTGAATCTTCTCACCTGTGTGGGTTTTTTTTAAGTAGCGTTTTACCACCAATAATTTACAATAAGGTCCCACAAGAAGGAAAACTGCTAATTCTTACTTTCTAGTGGTGGTATGCTAGAGTAAGAATTAATAATTGTTTTGCTTCTTGTGAGACTGTATAGTATATGAGCCGTCAGATGCGAAAACAGACCTTATGGGAAAAAATTCATATTTGTACTAGTGGTATTATCTGAAAGCTAGGAGCATCAGGAGTCGTATGCAAAAAACTAGAGTTGATTTGGACCAAGGGAAGTAAAGTTATAGCCTCTACAATAGGAGACCGTTACAAATTGCATCTCAATTTTGGGTGCAATACCAACAATTGTTTTACCTACTTTGGAGAATATTTCCTGTTTCCTTTGACCGATTTCCACAAACTTGGGCTTTCTGGAAAGCTCTGGCGCCGAGCAACCCGTTGGGCCCAAACCCGATAGCAAATAAAGCACAGCACCAGCGCAACAAGCTGCAGACATCGCTTCAGCGCTGGACTTGCGCCGTCACACGAAGATCGCTCGCCTTTTCCATTTCCATTATCCCAGGACGCTCAATTTTTTTTCGTGAAGATGCACTGAGAGCTTCCAAGACGTCTGAGACTGTTGCCGAGATCGTAGGGCACTTGAAAAGGGGGAAACCCCTGGTCTGGATCGTTTGATTTGCACGTAGAAATGCAAAGTGCCGTGACGTATCTTGCAGGCTTCGTAGCTGGGGAACGCAGCATCGTGCCGCGATCGCGCTTGCTGCATTGGATTCCTTGGAGTTTTCTCTTCGATTTACATACTTGGATTGTCCCGAAAGACCGATATTTGACTGAAATACGAAGGTTTGTAGCTTGGTTGTCCAGGCGCACCAGTGCGTAAACTAGCCAACTTTCAACTGGATTTTTCTGCACTGTGCAGTGTTTCCCATAAGGTCGGTTTTCGCATCTGACGGCTCATATCATTGGTGATAAAACACTACTAAAGCACTCCTGCGGGAATGACGTAAGTGCAAATACACGACTGCTCTAAGCTGCAAAGTTATAGCAAAAGAGGCACCTTCTCTCACCGACACCATAACTTTGCACCTGGGGTCTCACTACAATGGATGGTTCTTTTATTGTCACCTTTCCTGCTGCTGCTACAACACAGTTATAAGATGTGAGAGCTTTTACGTTATTGGTATTTTGTCGCCGTCAAAAGTGAAAAATCTTTGAGGGAGTTTTAGCGGAATATCGTTTACATAACCTGTTCCTTTCACCTCGAACAGTCTCATTCAAGTAGTTCGACTGCCTCAGGATGGCCATGCGCCGAATCCACGTGACTTTGTGGATATTGTTTAGATTTTCAATGTACTTGAGAATGACTGCATCAACCCAATTCCTTTCCTACAGATCAATGTAACTGTTAGAAAGGCTTCTACTGACTTGTGAGGAATTTTCCAACGAAAGTTGAACAAGAGATTATCTCAGCAGTGCTGGCTCAATTGAGTTCCTCTCACAAGCCTGACTAGATCTGTGCATTTGCAGCTTATTGGCTACATATTCTCGGTGACTTATTATGTTACCCTGTGTGACTGTCTGAGCAGATGTGTACAAGCCGACACGCCACCTGGGGCAGTTCATTGCCGTCTTGGCAACGTACTTTGCCAGCTCCATCCTCCACGTGAGTATATGTACAGTACGGTGTATACTTGGATAAGAAAAACTCCCCCAGGACCACTGTGGGATCATGTTATGGGAGGGCCCACTTTAGCCGAGCTTGTCATACCGCGTTGTGTGTTGTATGCGAAGTATGCTGGATGTGCCAAATGGTTCGTCTCATCCAAGCGTTCCTGAAATTCCATTGTAAATTATTTGAATGTGGGGATGACTGGGAGTAATAATGGTAGTAGTAGTAGTATTTATTATTTGACTAGGGGAGTCCCAACAGGCATGGCCTTGTTACAGGGAACCGTAGGTGAATCTTTGTGAGGTGAGCAAAAGTACCAGCAGATTGTGCCTGACGACAGTTTGGAGGAAGAGTGTTCCACCGACCTGCCACCAGAAAAGAAACTGAGCGCAGTCCATACCCAATATGTACAGTAGGTAAAACTAAGGCAGCTGTATCCTGGCCACGAGTCCGAGCATTTGTGTGCGGTCCAACTGAACGCAGGAGAAACAGTGACTGAAGGAGGGGGCTAGCAATTGATGACCAGCAGCGATAGACCAAAACGTATAGTTTCAAATTAACTCTTTGCTCAAACGAATACAGATAACACCGTTGTAAAACTAATGCAGTTGGGGTCATTCTATCTAAACCAAATGCCTTCTTCATCGCAATATGGCTGACCGTTACAAGCCTGTTATATAGGGTAATTTTCAAACAGTGCACATACGCATTACTTGCATATTCTAGAGTAGACTGTATAATTGACAAGTAGAAAGTTCTCCGAGCTGTAGCTGATGAATTGCGACGGCCATGAGCAAAACAGGCTAGTTTAGCGAAGACCGCTGAACACACCTTTTTCTACTTGTGGGCGGAACGTTAGATGCTCATCGATTAGTATACCGAGGTATTTCACAGTAGAGACAGGGGAAATGACAATATCTTTACAGGTCAGGTACAGGGCTGGGCTCAGTGCAGGCAGGGCAGGACGCCGTATCAACATGAACTGTGTCTTAGTGGGGTTTAGCAGAAGGCCTTTCTCATCGAGGTATTGCTCTAGCAACCGCATACTATCCTGCAAGCGTAGCATAATTGTAGCCACATCAGAGCCGAATACGTAGAACGCAATATCATCAGCGTACAGCTGCACGACACTCTGGTGAAATATATCGGGTACTCGGCGAATGTAGACGCAGAAAAGCAAAGGCCCAAGAACAGACCCCTGGGGGACCCCTCTTGTTCAGGGTTTGGTGTCACCCTTCTCACCATTGACAGTAACCTGCTGGCTGCGGTTCGTGAGATAGTCTGAGAACCACTTGAGGACAGTGCCGCCTACGCCAGTGGTGGCTAGCTCATCCAGCAGACCTGTGTGCTGCACATGGTCGAACGCCTTGCTCATATCTGCAAAGACTACTCCGCAATGGTTGGCTTATTACAACATTTGCATTTACTGTGAAGCACGGGAGTTCTTATCCTTAGTACAGAAGAACGGTGGTAACTTGGTGGCCATTTTAGTGAAACATAAACTGTCTTTGGAGGCCGGTCATCTCACAAACAAGCCATACCTCCACATAAATTATATCCTGCCTTCATAGACCACCGAAATTCCGTTAGGGTGGTCACAAACCCTGTTTATTTTTTAAACGTAGTTGGATCAATTTCGCCAATCTCTCTTGTGTGATGTTGCAGGGTCTCAATTTTCAGCTATCTGCTGTTCTGTTTTCCATCGGAGTCTTTGCTTACATTGAGAATGGTAAGCACGTGTTTGCGGATACCCTTCTCGTAATTTTATAAATTTTCATAGCCTTCGGTCACTCTCAGTGATATATCTGGCAATGTCTAGTGGCAGGCTGGGTATTTATTGGAATCCGTCCTCTCTCTTTCTCTCTCTTTCTCTCTCTCTCTCTCTCTCTCTCTCTCTCTCTCTCTCTCTCTCTCTCTCTCTCTCTCCCCATACGAGTTCCTATCAGTTGCTGTGAACACTTTGAATGGAGAGCGCTTGCTCGAGCGTTGAACCCGGGTTCCTAATCCACCATTCCCAGTTCGCAAGGCTGGGCGGGGTTGTGAGCTTTCATTTCTTCTTTTCCTATTATTTCTGCTTTTCATCTCATTACAAAAATTCTGCGCTTTTTTTCTCCATCTGCGCATAAAATCTAGACTGACAACCTGCTTGTTAAATCATGCACCTGCTTTCAGGCGTCAAAAACCTAGTTGTAGAGGTTTCAGTCCTCATTTGTTAGAGTTACGTGTCTTTATAAATGTAACTTACTCTCTCTCTCTCTCCCTCTCCTCTTCTCTTCTCCTCTCTGTTGGTAGGGGTACGTTACAAGCTGGCTGGTTGTCTTGATGCTTGCATCATGGCCCGTGCTTGTAAGGATGGGTGTGAGCATCACCATAAATCGGTGAGTAGCGTTGGTCATTGTGTGTGCCAGCACTTCAGTTCTTGGATTGTGAGCATGTCTGTTATGTGAATCTATTCAGTGTCCAAAAGGGCTGGCTCAAATTCTCCAAGCATACCATTTGCCTTTGTATGCTTTGCATGCCACGTTTTGAAAACATACCTTTTATAGGGCTGCGGACCCTATACATAGACTAATATCCGGCTACCTGGACACTGAAATCGGGCCTCTTGGTTCAGTTTGCACTTGGCTCCGTGCTTGTTCCTTTAGGTAGTCTGAGCTGCATTTCAGAGCACAACTGCACATTCAACCTAGGGGAGCTACCTGGGATGCAAGGGTGAAGTGCATGGGTGGGCACGTCGGTGGGTGCATGCGGTACCTGGATGGGTTGTGCAGGTGGGACACGTGGGTGGTGTGCATGGTTGGGGTACACCGATGCCTTTGCCTGTGTAATATCCACCCTCCTACCTCGTTCTGACATATTAGCCAGACATGCAATCACTTCGTGTTTGGTTCTTCCATTTCATGTTCTGGGTTTGTGAAACTGCACCTCATGAATAAGCTGGTGTCGGTTGGCACGTGGACCTTGCACTAGAAACACTGTTCTGTGTACTCGAGTAAAGCAGTACCGTATTCAAGAGATTGAATTTCCCCGGACAGTTCTCTCCTAACACTACGTGTTGACTGGTCTGGAGTCGTATACCATATTTCCCCGATTACAAGGCACACTCGATTACGAGTATAAGACGCAACTCCACTTCGGGCGTATTGTTTCAATACATGCACATAAGTAAGATGTCACACTCTATTGTAAGCCACGTCCCCTTCTTTGCCCTGGAAGTTTAGTGTAATACAGTATGATATATAATTGTGGAGATGCTGTATGATATTCTGTCTCTATTATTCTCACATGTCAACCAGATATTTTACCAGTCTCTGATGTGTATCCTTGCATTGTTTTATTGTTACGGTTCATACTGCTCTAGAGTCGTATCTGGGTGCGCCTCATCAACCTCTTCTTCATGGCACTAGCCATGTTTCATTTAGCGTATCTGGGCGTGATGTTCGACAACTCTCAAAACCGAGAAATGGTAAGTGTTGATCAGAATGCTCTATTGTTCTGGTGCGCGTATCATACATTACCATAGCATGTGGAGCAGCTGTGGCTCTGTGCGCAATGTCCAGGGATTCTAAAACGTTATGCCCATGCTGCTCGACGAATTCCGATCGCGTCGGTGCACAGTAGATCTAGTACAGTGCTGCTCAATGAAATCCAGTCGTGTACGCGCCGGGCCTTGCGCAGCCCTAGACCTGCGAACATTGGGCTGCGGAACGATTCAAGGTGCAAATTTGAGTGACAATGCTGGATTTCATTGAGTAGGACTGTACATGCCAAGGAGTGTGCATTCCTAGACCTTTGAGCACTTGGACTTGTAGGACTAAGCGTTGCACTGGTATAGGGTGCGAAGCTGACGACAGAAACATTGTAGTTTGTGCATGAAGTGTGTGGTGGGTGCAGCGGGGGCTGCGTCCCACCAGCTTGTGCTTGGGTAAATGTGCTTGGGTAAATGTTGAAAGGCCTCAGCTTAGTGGTTAAATCATCGCTGCTCCCCCCCCCCCCCCTGGTTGCTACTAGCATTTGGTTCTACTCCGTCTAATAGCCTAATGTGATGATCTACGAGATAATCGCTCTACGGTAGAATTTTAGCTTTCTTCCTTCTCGGGCAGAATTTTCGTGTTTCCTTCCTCAAGCAGAAACAACAAGAGTTCAGTCATCAGCAAGCCCAGAAGAAAACACTTGCTGAACTCTGATTGGCTGAGGGCAGTTGACCAATCATTTGAGGTGTGAAGTTCACAGCCAGGATTGGCTATAAAAGTAATCATTCCAGGAGGGAGTGTGAAGTTCACAGCCAGGATTGGCTATAAAAGTAATCATTCCAGGAGGGGATGGTGGTCGGGGTTTGGGATGGCCAGAATTCTAGATTTTGTTTCTGCTTGAGGAAGGAAAACAAAAAATGGCTGAACTTCTTGTTGAAACTCTGATTGGCAATCATTTCAGGTGTGAAGTTCACAGCCAGGATAGGCTATATAAGTAATCATTCCAGGATTTTAGATTTCTTCCTTCTCTGCAGAATTTTTGTTTCTCCTTCCTCAAGCAGACACAACAAGAGTTCAGCCATCAGCAAGCCCGGAAGAAAACACTTGGTGAAACTCTGCAGAAACAACAAGAGTTCAGCCATCAGCAAGCCAAGAAGAAAACACTTGCTGAACTCTGACTGGAATATTAGATTTTCTTCCTTCCCCGGCAGAGTTGCCGGCTTATATTTTGCTTTCTCAAGCAGAAACAACAAGAGTTCAGCCATCAGCAAGACCAGAAGAAAACCTGAAACTCTGCAGAAACAACAAGAGTTCAAGAAGAAAACACTTGCTGAACTCTGCAGAAACAACAAGAGTTCAGGCATCAGCAAGCCAAGAAGAAAACACTTGCTGAACTCTGATTGGCTGAAGGCGGTTGAACAATCATTGCAGGTGTGAAGTTCATTAGTCAACCGCCCTTAGCCAATCAGAGTAGAGCCAGGATAGGCTATAAAAGACTAGTAATCATATATGGCTACACTTCTTCCAGCTGCAGAAAGAAGAAGAAGAAACACTATCACAGAATAAATCAAGACAGGCTGGTCAGAAGATTCAGAACAGCCTTTGCAAGCCTGCGTCTCTATACACATAGCATCTATGCTTAGTACAGGTCAAGCTTAGATTCAATGTGACTATAGTCCATTCAGAAAAAGATGATATCCTACCTTTTGGCCATAAATGGATCAAGTTTTTGTCATAATTTTTTTGGCAATCCCCATGGAATGCTCTTCCAATTGTGTTTTTGAAGTCTATATCTCCAAGAGCAAGCCATAACAAGAATAGGATTTCGGCCAGGTTTTGCCCCCAAAGCACTGAATTTGCGAAAAGCCATGAAAATCCAACCCGTGCACTCCACTTGCAGAACAGTACATTCTCGGTTCAAACCCCAGGTAAGGTACCTTTTTTGGACCATTTTTCAAGTTTCGAATCTCGCGGCACTGGCAACATCACCAAACACGGGAGCTCTCCAGAGCCAGCGCTCATCTTTTTCTGAATGGACTGTGCATACGCTCAGTTCCTGTCTTCTCTGGCAAGTGTCAAGAGATGTATTCTGCAAACTCTGAGACACTCAAGGATATGTTGTTGGTTTGTGTTCTTTGTGTGTGAGTGTGTGTGTGTGTGTGTGTGTGTGTGTGTGTGTGTGTGTGAGTGAGTGTGTGAGTGAGTGTGTGTGAGTGTGTGTGTGTGTGTGAGTGTGTATGCGTGCGTGTGTGTGTGTGTGTGAGTGTGTATGCGTGCGTGTGTGTGTGTGTGTGCGTGCGTGCGTGCATGTGTGTTCATGCTGTTGTGTTGTACAGGGTCACAGCATGGAGCACACGCTAAGCAAGTGGCGCAGTCTGGACTTTGCCAGTCACATTGTGGCATTTGCCTTCTATCTACTCAGTGTGCTGCTACCAACACCGAAGAAAAAGACGGCTTAAGTACCCACCTCCCCAGACTGGAAATGCATAAAGTAGAGTTTCTCCATCACAGACACCAGAGGACCAGGCTTATAATGTCCCGTATAGGGGGACAGACTGGCTGTTCATGCAGGTGTCCTGAGCACCCGCAGTATTCTTTGGGGCTTGGCTTGGATAACTGCTTCAAACTCCATCCCGATTCTGCAACTATTCATGTTCCATGTTGTGCGACGCCCACAGTCACGCATATTTCTTGGAGATTTCTTGAGAGTTTTCCAATTCTACAGTATAGGGATAAAATTAATTCAGCTCTACCAGTTACTAATGGAAATTGATCGATCAACCACAACCATAACTTAACTTACGGTAACTAATTGTTTTGCTTTTCATCTCCCACTGTTCTATTTCGATATTAATATGAAATGCCGGTCTACACTAGTTTCAGTCTGCCACTTGAAATTTAAACTACATTTTTCCCCCACCTTTCCCTCAACTAATGAACTTTGTATTGCAACTCAATTTATGAAAAGTATTTGGCTGGACACACCCATTTCAAACACTGCACAAGAACCAATTCTTGCCGTTTAGGCGATATTGCCATCAGGTATTTGCATTCCTAAAAGCAGCAGTTTCGAAACAAAACCCTATCGCCAAAAACAGCATGGTTAAGACTTTAGAGCCATAAGAAGAACACTTAGTCAGAAATCCAATGCCATAGAAGAAATCACATGGAAACGAGTTTTGAAGCAACTATCCACGACTGTAACAAAATAACAAGCAGTCAGAAAGTGCGATGTGATTTCTTCTATTGTAATTATATTATTTTATTGGCTCAGTATTCGAGTTAAATTTTCACAACCATAATAGGAGGAACAAATAAGAAAAATGAAACCACGGGACGGGCTCAACAGGGGCTAGAAAATGTTTCCTCACAGCCATAGCAGCACTGCTTCTGCTGCACTCTACAGTCTTGACCGAAGAAATCAGACCCAGGAGTGAAAAGCTGAACACGAGGGTTCCATTTCAATTACATCAGGCAAGGTCCAAAAACCCATGCGAGGGCCGCAGTGACCGCATAAGCCTGGACGCTGCTTTCGGCTCACGGGTTGGATTCTTTGGCGACAACTGCAATTGCGTTCAGTGTTTGTACTGACGTATTCATGTACTTTGAAGTACATGTAAGTTATAAGCAACCCGTCTCGTTTCCAGTATGGTGACACTATCGTTAGGGGAGGGGGGGGGGGGACTGGACTCCTGCTGGTCAATAGAAATGACCTGACATGGTACGACGGGCCATTCGTACAAACACAGTACAACAGCTTTAGAGAGTGGAATTCGAATGTTGAAATCTTAGGAGAATCTGCAAGTCTTTGTGGTATATTTTACAACAATAACACAGAGAAGTCTCTGCGTGGTGGCTCGGCATTCAGAGTCGGCAACGGCAAAGTTACCCACTGAGACACAAGCTTTCCAACTCTCTTTGGCCGTTGTAAAGCGTACCACACCCACTAATTTATACAAAGAGAAAGACCAAGGAACTACAAGTTACGCTATACTGTCCACTAACACCACCAGCTACTAAACAATCAGACAATTCTGTCACTTACGAGCCATGCAGTCATGTAGTCACGATGAGCAAGTATGGGAGGAAAACCCATAGAAACAGGTTTTATGGCTTTCTGCCGAAGTTTCTGGCCAAATAGCCATGCTGTAGTCTCTATAAAAAATATGGTCTACATACTGTGCTCTCGCTGGGGCTTTGGTTGGCTTTGCTTGCGTGTCACTGGAGTCACCATCTACCGCTTGCTTACTCTTACTTACAGATTCTAAAAGTCACGAAGGAGGAAGTACCCGTATTTCTCGCCGGCCGAGCGCAGCGAGATAGGCGAGAAATGATTTCTCGCGAAATTTTTCAGTTGCAAATATGGCATCTGGTGTGTTCTTTATTGTCGCTTCTGTTCCTGACTTCTTCAGTCAGTTTTGAGTCTCACCAGTGTCCCTGCCCTCCCACCCTTCATTTCTGTGCATATTATCATTGCTTTTTATCACTGTTTGCCGTGATGTGCTTGCCATGCCTACATGATGCCTAATCGCCATTGGGGATATACACCCGGTTTTTTCCCTCACAAATGCGTCCGTCGGCGCGAGGGTTTTTTCCCGGCTGGCTCGGTCCAGGAAAATTAATCTGACGGTCCCAAGTGGTTCTGCATCATGGCCTATTTCTGCTATCCACTGGCACGCCTATTCTATCTGAGACACTCTGTTCTCAGTCCTAGCTTCCATACCTCACTCGTTATCCGGTTCACATCTGGCTGCGGCCAACTACCACACACATCTGGCTGCGGCCAACTACCCTTCGCTTTGTGTGTTGTCGCTATTGCTGTCTATATCTCTGTGTATGCCAGTATATGTGGAGCGAGAATGCCACATCCTTTCCCATTTCTTCTTGTGTGTTAGTAAGCAACGAGAAACACGAAGCAGCGAATTCATTTTACCGTGCACGCGTGGCCTAGTACATGTGTGAACAAAAACAAAATGCAGACTCAACAAGAGTACAAGTCGTAATCTACCGATACTAGGACTTACCGGTAGCTCAACAGCTGGCAGTTTCAGTTGATGTCGCTCAAAGCATTACGATTAAGATATGCCTTTCCGGGCTTGCCCCCACCTCACCATGTACCAGTCGAACCAACAACAAACGTCCAATGTCCTTTTATGGCATCTGGGCTGAACGTTCAACAACGCTGGGCTCGATGTTCCACAGCGCTGGCGCTGAAGGCTAGCTGCTGGCGACTCGTTTCCATTCTTTTCCCACCCGACGACCAAGGCCAAGGACGAGCATCGGTGGCGCTGCCGACGATGGCAGGAGAGGCGACATGGATATCAGATGGCAGTGAGTGAACGACGAGCCAAGCACAGACGAGGAATTTCTTTGGATAGACAGGCGCACGACAGAGAGTCGTGCGTTCCGTCGGCAACGTCCGAGTTTGATGAGCTTCCAGAGCTGGTTTCACAATCCCACACTCAGTACGACAAGACTGGGAAAACATTACTAGTGCAAGGTACATTCAAAGAACGTGCAGCCCAAACCACGATGCTGAAAAGACGAGGGGCCGGCAACCAAGTAGAAGCGGAGGGAGAGAGAGATGAGAATACAACTAAAGTACATAGAAGGACAAAAAATGGGAAAGAGCATAATATCAAGGCAAAAAGCTGGGCGGTAACAAAGCGCGAAACGAGGCGCTGAGACAGACTCGCGAGAAGTAGACAAAAAGTGAAAAGAACCAGTACGGGACATGACTGTGATTGCTGGAGAGAGTTGCATACTACACACCAGGGAGTCGACTCCCACGCTCCCCAGTTTCACACTCATTAATTTTCTCGGCAATCTTGCGAGGATCTGCACGTTCCGCCCGAAATTCCAGTACATTCATATTCAAATCCTGCACAGAACCATGGGCAAGGCCCATGGGTAAAGATACTAAAGAAGCCGGCTGTCTTCAAAATGACCTCGCACTGAAGCCTAGTGTCTAGATGAATGAATACAGTCATGAACATACATGATTGTACTAAGTCTTTTTAGTCTGTACTGTATGTTACGTGTCCTTGAAGCACACGCACACACTCAAGAATCTACACGCGCGCACTATATCATTGTCCTGTCGGTGTGGGTTTTTTTTTTAAAGCGATACGGAGATAACACGAATGCAATCGTCACACATCCTTTGTAATGACAGCATGTGTGTCATGAATGCAACACCTCTACACAGTGTGTGTGTGAACATGCAGCCTTCAACTTGTAGAAGCAGCAAACGACTGTCCATGAGGTACACACGCACACGCCTATTCCTAACTCTTAGACATCACACTCATTGTCCATGCACGCGCACCCCAGCACGCAGAATGTACGCAGAACAGTCACGTCAGAGCATCCTGTAACAAATATCATCGAACATCAAAATAATTCCAAAGCTGACCGGAGAGGTTGTGAGAGACTTTGTACGCAATACAATAGAATGTATTTTCAAATCAAAAAATCAGTCTAGGTGGATCAAAGCTCAAGATAGACTATGTTGTACAAAAATGACGGTGCTATTTTCTATCAGATCAAAGGCTACAACAACTTAGCAATCAGAAACATGACGACATACATGTATATGGTTCATTGTAGTAGTTTTTAAGTCTGATATTGTTCACCTGCAACATGCCACCAGTATTGCGGAAGCATGCGCTGCGTAAGAGGATCATACCACAACTGAACCTTCAAGCATGGCCTCCTCGTCGACGCTGCCCAGGTCCGGGGTGTCTACGGCAGGAACCGAGGCGGGGGTTTTCGGGTCCGGGCCGGATTCCCCACTGCCCGTCGACTGCACGGAGGATGGCGGCATGGCGGCGGGAGCGGGGAGATGGCCCTCGCCGGACGAGGAGCTAGACCCGACCGTATCCGGAGCTCCAGCGCCGCCGCCACCCCTTGTGCCCATAGCAGTGCTAGAGTCCTGCTGCTGCTGTTGTTGTTCACTCCCACCCTGGTTCCCCTCATCACCAGTGGCGGCCATGTTCGACTCCCTGACCGTGTCCAGATCCGATGACAAGGACGCGGTGGAGCGGAACGAGGGCGGCTTGCGGCGAACTGCTTGCTGGCCACGGCGGAGCGACTGCTGCTCAGCCGACAGGGGGAAGCTGCCGCGTTCGCCGTGGGCACTAAACGTTTTGCCACGGAGCACATGTGCCAGTGATGCTAGAAACGAAACGTGCACGCGTGCGCACATAAACACAAAACAGAAGCACATACACCCACACACATTTGCACACAGTTTTAGTAGTTTGGCATTTAGTACAATTTTAGAATGCTATTTTAGAATGGTGTTTTAAAAATACTTTCTTGACCTGTGGGAATGCCACCACCCTAAAAATGTCCAAGGTTTTCTAACTTTCTACATGCATTGTATGGCCTAAGTCTTCTACATGGACACGGGTCATTATTCAAGGAATTTTGGTACAGTCTTTAGTCCCTATTTTGCCCAGGCTTTATTATATCAATACTCTAAAAGTTGAAAGTGTGACGAGTCTAAAGTTTAACGATTTGCAAAAATTCCCCACTTAGCAGGCACAAAGTTTAACGACCCAGCCATCACACACCTGTCTTCTATTTCTCTAGTACAGGGGAGAGAAGGAATGACATATATGTACATGCAACGTTTCTTGAGTTAACAATGGATTTTATCTCGTTAAAACATTAGACTTTGTGCCCCGTTAGAGATTCAGCTCTTACAGTACCCAACAGCGAACTATGCTCCACAGTGACACTTACGATCAGTATCTTCAGGCGCCGGAGCCGACGACCTCTCCTTGGCAGCAGTAGAGGACATATTGCGAGGCAGTGTGCGTGATCCACCTTGCGCCTTATCAGTCCTGGGTGAGTTGGATGCTCGCTCTTCATTGTTACGCTTGAGGATGCGTGCGGACCGAATGAATGGCGACACGACCTTGGCGACCATGTCCTCCAGACGCAGGTACGTTTCAGTCGGGTGGTCTTTCTCACGCACCATCTACAAACACAACAGTGAAGTGATAGGTCTCATTCTTTTCTGAAATGCAATCGCTACGGTAAAGACTCTTCGTGAATGCGATCAACACCGTAAAGGTAAGATGTTACAAATTGGAGGAACACGCTGAAGTAGAATGGTGTCGACTTTGCAAAAAATTGCACTATTATCATCTGCCATCGGTGTTGAGTTACGTCATAGTCGGGCTTTATTATCTGCTAGTCTTTCGACCACGACAAAAACTAATATATCGTCAAGTTTTCCTCCATCTGACCCGGATATGTACACAGTGAAGCAAGGAAACACAAGTGCAAGGCTTGACGCACACTCAAACGCGTCCACAAAGCACGCTCATGGACAGAAATTGCATGCACTGAGGCATCGACTCACGGAGAGAATCAGCAGCATCTGCTTGATACCCGGCGGTACAACGACTCCTTCCGTGTCCAGTGCCTCTGTAGGATACAGTCACATGTAGACGAGTGGGGGTGAGCACGAGACGGTGACAATCATGCCAGAAGATAGGAGAACACCATGCCTTCAGCAAAATAATGTAGAAGACACTTAGTCTTTTTTTGGAATTTCCATACAAAGCTGGATCGAAATCCAGCCAAATTGAGCCATCTTTGGGCAACACACTTGCAAGTTACAGCATTCGAGCAAACATCTTCCGGCCAGATATTGAACAAGGAGAGACATTGTTCATTCCCCAGGTATGCGCGTATGCAGGATGTAATATAAGGAGGGAGGGCATTGCAAAGATACAATATTGGTGCATGTAGTTCGTGGTACATGTATTTCATTATAATACTATACATGCACATATACAATATGAAACAAATGCGAAGCGTGGCAACATTTTGATTCCCAGAACTGCCAAGAGAGCAAACCTTGTGCTCACAGAGCGTGACAAGATGAAGTTCCAAGGTCATCATACCTTTCACGGGCATTTTCATCAAGATGATGTCACGAAAGCCGAGCAATGACATGTTACGTATTGACATGCCACTGGAGGTCTGGCTGGTCTGCAATGAGAGCAAAGCCAGTAGAGAACAACACAGTTTTGTTTTCGTTTTCTGTTGTTTTGTTTTTGTTTTTGATCTATTTTAGTTTGTTGCGTCCACAGTACAATGTACAATTTCTATGAGGGTTTAATAGAAAACAAAATAACTTAGGGTCATCAGAAAGGCAGAGAGACAGTAGTGACAGTATCGTACGAAGTGATACCAACACTGGAAAGGAACTGGTCATGCATAACAGATTTGCAACGCAAGTATGGACAACACATCCATAAGAGCACCTTCCCCTACCATGTCACCTGGCAGCAATTGTGCAGTGAGGAATTCATTGTGACAGTCAGTCATCATATCAATTGGAAATTTTTCAGCACAGCATGGTAGATGGGCTTTACACAATCACACATTGTGTGGACACACAACATCACGTAGAGGCTATGCTGTGGAGTAGAACTAAACTTTGGCTACACGAGTTTGTCCCGCCATGACCTTCCATTGTCAGGGGCATAGCAGCCAGTCCGGCCGGACCACGTATTTAACTCAATGCCAAAAAGTGCCCAGAATGCAGGATTTTGCACCCAAATTTCATAATGTTCACGGGGAGACCCCCGCCCCCCCCCCCCCCCCCCCCTCCGGCCCAACCACCTCCAACAGCGGTGCTACACGCCTGATTATGCGCCAGTGCAAATAGGGATGAAGGTAACCTGGGCAAATATTAATTGTGCCCCAATTTTGGTTACTGATTCAATAAACTATGCGACGTGAACTCACCGTTAGAGGATAGAAGATTGCCTGCAAGCTGGGAAGTATGGAGCCGAAGAAACGCCGCCACACTTCAGCTAACCGGTCCAGCAGCGACTGACCTGGGTACAAATCGTAGAGGATAAACGCCATGCAGAATCATTTCAATATACAAAATGCATAAACAAGTCCCAGTTTCCTGGGCTGATCTCAAATTCAAAACCCAGGTTGCATGGGAAAACAATCAGCTATAATCACATAATTATTGTACTGGAGGTGGGTGCACGAAATTCAAATCTACAACCACCTGCACAATTGCGAAATCACAGGTGTCGCCAAAGCCAAAGTTTGAAGGATATCTCACCTATTTCTTCTCGTACAGCCTCGCGCATAACAATCATTCCACGCTTCAGAAGCTGTTCCTAAGTGTCAGCGGATCAGAAAATGGACACAATCAGAGGCATCAATCAGGCAAGGAAAACACGTTTCCAGCGCGAAGACAATTCCAGATAGAATCAAGTCAATCAACCCCTTTCACCGAGCAGGGCCATTTGAATAACAATGCTGTTGTTTTTTGTACATGAACTGTGTCACCATTCTTGTTACTATCAACAATATTTTATGTACCTGGTAGTAATTTCCAAGAAAAGGAGCAATTTCAGTCTTCATCAGGTTCCTGCACAAGAGCAACACACAAAGGAAATCGCAGCACTTCAAACTTCAGGTTGATGTGGCTTCCCAATACAGATACTTTGAAGTACAAGGGGAGTTGCTATATGCAAAATTGCTCGATACCATCAAATGTCGCAAAATATAGCCATGTTCTGCTGAAAATTTGTGACACTCTGAAACACAAGGGCACTGAAAGCCCCAGCCACTGCTGCCTTGAACAAACTTACAACAGTTTCTGGTTTAGTCCGTACAGATCGATGGGGCCAGGCGCACCGATCGCTTTCTGCTGGAATAGGGACAGAACCACCCGCTGAACACTGCACGCAATAGAACAACAGTACAAAAAGAGACAGCACCACTGTAAGCACTTCAGAGCAGGGTACAGTCACACGCAGCTCAATTCCTGGGGATCATTCAACACGAATTAAACCTGTCGTGGTACGCAGTCTGCACAATGCAGGTTCGGTTATGCTAAAAAAAAGCAACAACAGATTGCCTCCGCAAACACATTTCGTCCCCACATTTTCATGTCCAGAGTGAAGTCTGGACCAGAGATTTCCAGACCGAACTGGTGCGTATACAATTCAACCTACACTCTGATGAACACGCTAAAGATTCAAGAGCATGCTACACTAGACGATTCAACACTCCATACAACATACTAACTGACACGGTCAAAAGAGCTAACTGCCCGGCGGTCGAATAACAGTCTAACCAAGTAGATCACCCACACACCAGTACAGTACTGTAGGGTGCTGAGGAACAAACAGCCAGTAGCATTTCACCAAGCACAACATACCAATGTATCACGATAGCTAAACTATGCAAAGGCTGTTGTACACGAAATTAAGAACGGTCTAGGCCACGAGGCTGACTCCCAGTTCTTCAGCGACTGACAGCACTATACAAGAACACGTCGAGAGAAATCATCAAAACTCTAGCCGAGCTCATACGTGTTCCAGTCCTCGTTGCGAGTGCTCTGCGTCTCCATTAGGCGCGCCGTGCTCGAGGCATGCTGCAGCGCGGGCACGCTGACAGGACTGGACAGCTCCATGGTGTCACCAGCAGTGCGTGCAACAAGCGGCTGCGTGGAGCAACGTACACAACAAGTGAGACAGGAATGGACACGACGCCAGCACCTGCAAAAACACGAATCCATAATTTTGCCCTCAAACCAGTGATGCTAATTTTTTTAAACTCAGATATGAAGAGCCAAGGATTACAATTAAATAGAGAGGAGCAATGGTTGAGAAGTTAGTTGGGGAAACAGAACGTGCAATAGTTAGTACAGGTACTGACATCCAACGAACTGACGCAGGCTGTTGGCTAGTGCATTCAAGCCGTGATGGAGCTAAACATATCAGGCCGCTGAATGTCACTCCCACTTATCAATATTGTGCTAACTATTGCACGTTTTAACTCTCCAATATCTTGGCTACAATTATGCTGGACAACTACATCTAACGCGACAACTTTTAGTCCTCCCATCTTACTAGTAGTAGTAATCACACGTTCAGGAACAGATACAGTGCTGCAAAATGTATACCCTGCTTTGAAACTATGTTTCCTTTAATCTTTTCCTTTTCCTTATATTTGTGTGCTTGTAGCCGATCTCATGTAATAAGGCAACACCGCCTGTTTGTTCTTCGACATTAAATACGAGCTAAACCAATCCAGACACACCCCAGGTACATTTCATTCAATCCTGTTGAGAGTGTGGTATATACCACAGGGTTTTCAGGCTACAGCAACGCCGCATCTGTAATGTGTACGGCACTCACGCAAGTGTGCTGCATCTATTCTATCAGAGTGCTCAACATGCTAAGCATGGAGATGCCTCGGGATTGCCTTTATTATTATTATTATTATGAAATGACCCAAAGGCAATGTGCTTATCGAGGGGTTTGTGATAAGCCCTGAGAGGCATGTTGCAGTCCAAGTCATGCACTACTTTCTTGCGCATCTCCTACACACAGATTTGCAAGGCATAACCATGCAGCGGTGGAAATGGGCACGCCAATCATATCTGTTACCTGGCCGTTTTTCCTTTTGCAAACGTTCCAGTTTGATGCTGTTGCTGGACGGAATTGTGCAGACACGTTTGCACGGTAAAAGCGTATCTGATGTACAGCATACCCAATGTACAGTGTATTGGTGGTTTTCTATGATGCAGACGTGGATCAGGAACTGGGGCAGCACCGTAGGTGTTTCTTACAGCAACATTTCCGACAGCAACAAACATGACCTTGGATCTAAGCTGTGAGGGCAAATTTCGGGAATGAAAGGTCGACGATGGTATTGACAGTTCAGGGTCGGCGCCACTGGTGCGGCCAGTACGGCCATTGCCATACAAATTCCTCGAAAGTCGGTCCACGTGGAACGTCCACAACCGGGGAGGAAACCTTTCGATGCATGATTTTGTACAAGGAGTCGTAAAACACGGATTACCCTGTCATCAGGAACATTCTACGTACAGTGAACTATCATAGATGCACTGTCTGAAACTAGTGTATTCTGCATTGGAATATCAGACTTGCAAGTTATACCCTGTAACCCAGGGGCTAGCAGATCCACCGAAATGCGCCCAGAGTGCAGGATTAGCGTTCTAAATTCCTAACATTTTCTGGCGGAGGACCCCCAGACTCCCTTCAACAGAGCACTTGGCCGCGCCGCTCCGTGGGAGCTGCCTCCGGCCCTGCAGGTAGTCTCCTGAGCGTCACTAAACTGGATATAATTTGTATGGTTTTTCGAAATACTAGTAGCAGTACATTTTTTACTCTTGGCATACCCGTGTACCATGTGACATTGAACGGGAGTAGTGATGATATGAGCTCGGTCTTATGGAGTTCGTTCAGAGAATGTTACTAGTACTAGTAGTCTATTCTGCTGCTAACAAACTGCCCCTCATCAAAGTTACAAACAGTATTTGGAATGATGGCAACTGCGTTCAAGACGAATTTTCCACCACTAGAACTGTGAAACTCACCTCAGGAGTCGGTCGCTAGGTGTATTGTTTCAACGCGCCCATGGACGAAAACCGATCGATCGCAGGAACACTATCTCTACGAGCAATACAATTCACGCTACAATAGCAAAAAATTACAGACACAACTGTTGTCCATGACATAAGAAAAAAGAGTAGGATCGCATTTTGTGTGCCACCTGCGTATTTTATTTCACCCGTCAATCAATGAGGATGTCATGACAGTGCGTGCATGCAGTGCATGCTTCGCTGGCTAGCACCGGTACCGCGGTAGCGGCGCGGCAGCTCGCGCTTCTGCCAGTTCTGGAAATGACTGACACGTGTGGCATGCATACGTACAGTAGATCTACATAAGGGGCCGGCCGTCCGTAAATATCGAACTTTTTTCACCAAACGAATTATTTTAGTTTAGACCCAACCCCTCCCTAGGCCCTCCCTCCCCCTCAGAACGTAGAAATTGTTGACATACATGCACATACAAGTCGCAAGTGTGTCATTGCTCCTATGGCCATGTGCATGTATCGAACTTTTCTGAAACGAAATTGGTCAACCCCCTCCCACCCCATAACGAAAATAATTATTTCGTTTCGTGAAAAAGTTCGATAATATTATAATGGACGACCCCTAATTCGTTTTGTGTCGTTCCCACAAGCAATGGAATTATTTTGGAAAATGCAGTGAAGTGGGGGAACGGAGGGGGTCCTCCTGTCTGTTCAGGTTTTGCTTTACATGTATGTTGCTGATGCTGATGATTCACACATGCATGTTGATAGGTGCTGAAGTAATTGTCCCCCGCTGAATACATGTACAATCATGGAGTATAATCGCCTTTTTGTTTCGCTCTTTTTCCCTTTCTTTCACTTCTACATTGTGTAGTAATTTTGTCCGTACATGCACATGATTGTATAAGGTTTACGAAATACCGGTTGCGACTTCGGCGATGATTTGTAAGAAAGGGTTTGCTGACTTTGCTCCCCACACTGGAGCTCGTGCTATTCCGCCGACTTGACTTGACTGACTCACGACTGCCATCCAGAGCAAACGAGAAGTCCATCGAACCTTCGACTCGGCAAACCTGCAAGAAAGCGCCACTCCCTGCTCAAAAGTCGCAACCACTATTTCGTACTGTTGTGCCCAGTGCGGGCTTGCGACTAGCTGGTTTACGTTTGGAGGTGACAGCGTTGTGAATGACCGAGGGTCCTCGACGTCTGTTCTCACCGTCCAGGAGCGACACTGTCTCACGCTGCTATCTGGTGTTCACAAGGTGTTTGTCGCGCTGGAAACAGAGCGTCTTTGTAAGTTTGCATCCCTGGTGATGTTTGTGCCTGGAGAGGACTATACAATGTACAATCATGTATAAGTGGTGCTCTTCAGGCACAATCCTATAGGCCTACTCATGCTCAGCCTACTCAAGATTTTGAGCAGGAAGTGGTGCTTTCTTGCAGGTTTGCCGAGTCGAAAGTTCGATGAACTTTCGTGTGCTCTGGGCCCCCATGGCAGTCGTGAGTCAGTCAAGTCGGCGGAATAGCAGGAGCTCCAGTGTGGAGAGCAAACCCTTTCTTACCTACATGTACAACCAATCTCTCTTGTGTACATGATTATTATAATTATTATGAACGCAATCACGGTGATCATCATTCATGTCAGTCTGCATCGCATTGCACACTAGTGCACTGGCTTCAGAACGTGGTTGCATCATACATGTACAATAGTCATGTACAATAATTATTATGCAACGCTCACTGCTCTTGGAGCATTTCGAGCACTCTTGCCTTGGCGGGGTTTGCAGCTCTTTAAAAAAATGCTTTGCTTCACGGAAAACGAATTACTAGTAATTTACATTTCATTGCGGAAAGCTGCGCTCCGGTCCTCTGAGCTGTGCTGAGGAGCTCTAACAGAGCGAAACAGTTGCTGCCCACAGATTTGAGTACAATCATGTACATAATATTATAAAGCTAAAACTAAAAGTAAAGACACTAAAGTTTGCATGTCCGCGTTACCACAGGCTATCACAACCAGCTTAGGAAGTAACTGAAGTTAGTTTCGCATGTGCCAGGCCACCACCATGCCTGTGACACCAGGGTACATATGTGATATGGCTGTGTAAAATTTACACAGCCATATGTACCCTGGTGTCACAGGCATGGTGGTGGTAATATGGCTTGACTTCAGAACACGATTAATTAATATTAATTTTTTGTTTTTACTTCAAATACATGTACACTGCCCTATCGGGAAAGGGAAGCCGCAGGGAGAACATGAAAAGGACAACAGAGAACAATGGCAAGGTGGGTGCTACAGAGTAGCCGTGTTGGTGAGTCTGGAGGCACTTCACTGACCATTAGTCTCAGCACCCAGCATGCCACGAGCTACGAGAGCACCAGAAAAAGTGAACGCATGGCAAAAAGAAGAAGAAAAAAAGGGGTACTTTGGCATCAGACGATGCACAATAATCATCATGTAGACTGAGAAAGAAGACCTAACATTCAACTGTCGCCCCTGTTGACTGTTGTTTCTGTGTTCTGGCTTTGATAGCGCTCCCACAGGCACAGGATGACCTGACCTCAAAGACCTTTACGAATCTGCACTGCACGTCGATGTGCGCGATGCTATCTATCCCTGCGGGAATGGTGTTCACTAAGGCTTACCACGTCCAGTCTGATTTTAACCACCATATTGAGTGAATGAGGCTGCTCGAACGTCGACGCATCGCGTTTCATGCCCACACTTGACTGACTGACGACTGCGTCTAGAGCACACAGATAATAATGTCCGCCAATGTAGCAACATCTTAGTTCGTATTGACTATTGAGTAAAGAGGCCTTTGATTATTATCTTTACACCAGACCACAGCCTGCACAGTGTTGGACAGTTCGACTTCAGGGGACTTCTCGAGTCGTGTGGGCTCGAAAAAGTCAGAACAGCACAAATCGCGTCTTCATTCGCTGTGTGGCTTCCGGATATTGCACACTCACAGGGTGGTTTTGGAACTAAATACTTTTTCAGTAGTCGAAGAATTCCGATGACATCAACCACTCGAGTTGTTAGTGTCCAACGGTGACGTATCATTGTGGATATGTGCTGGCCTGACTGGACAACGATGCGACAGTGACACAGTCCTGCATTATCCACACCGTCTACCTGAAAGCTGTCTCTGGTACTGTACTACTACTAGAGACGTAAGCCTTTATCAAATTTTGATAGGAAAAGTGTCAGAAACTGGGAGATGCACGGTACGGGATGAAATGCTGGAAGAGCGCAAGCAAAGAACGTGACAAATCCAGTTCCGGTCCCTGATACTACATGTACATGACTGTACTACTAGTACATGTACTAGTAGAACGGGGCAGTCGCTGTACTGTCTGTGCGTGTGGATCACCACGTAAGGCAGGGATGATCTGAATCATGCTTGCATGAAGATTGCCAAGTCATTGGTTGCCAGTACATGTAGCTATATCATATGTAGCTTTTCAAGATGGTTGAAATTTAATCATCAGAATACTGATATACTTCAGTACAATACTTGAACTGGAATATTCCTCCTTGAAAGGTGTACATGGAAGCGCAGAACTTCAAACTCGATGTAAAGTAAACAGTCAGGGAAGTGAACTGCCAAAATCAGAAAACGGGAAAGCGTCAACCTCACTAGGACTCGAACCTCGCATATCTTGATCAATGCTGTTTCAACCATCTCAGTATTTGTATTTATTTATTTAGGATTCCCCGAAGGCTGTTCGCCTGTCGAGGGGGGTTTCCTATTTTCGCTTCAGTGTTGGGATACGTGGGATGGGAAAACCTGGCAGGAGAGGGAGGAAGAAAGGAAGAGCTAGAACGGGAGGGACCAGTCTGAACCCAGATCAAAGGCGCTGACACAGTTTCACTCTACAGGCAGTTCATAACACGTTTGACACATACTGATGGCACTTGGGTGAGTTGGGTCTCTGTCCCCCTCTCCCAGCTAGGGGACCAGACACGATCTGGAACGGTCCTGTACATAAACTAGTACAACCAGAGGTGAAGGAAAGATTTTTAAATTCAGAGTCTTCTCCTTCCGAGTCAACAGATTCTAGGATGCCACGCATACATTGCGAAGTGCCTGTGGAGTAGGTGATAAGTCGTAACCTCCAAGCCCTGTACACACCATTATCAATTTCAGATTACCAAGTACATGACTTCAAGAAGAGGAATTTGGCCGTGGAGTATACTGTAGAGTCTAAATATCAGCTTCTGCCACGCGTGGATTGATGAACGACATTCGGGCTGATGTCAGTGATGAGTGGTGTTGTCTAAAAAAAAAACTGGAGCGGAAGTACTCTGGAGGCTGGAACCCCTTGATACTGCCAGTGCTGCCAGCCACTACACTTGTGTATAGTACTGTACTGTGTACACAGTACTATACACGTATTCCTAATAAGTAATAACCGTTATCACTGGCTATGTGATTTCACAGTCCTCGTAAAGAGATCCTTTGGCGAAGACGAGAGGCTCTTGGGTCCAAGTTGGGAGACAAAATCCTACCAGCATGCTTCGTACTAGTACTACATGTGCACGGATGCAGCTGGACTGCTATGACGGAACTGCACGCTATTCGGCACGGCCAAAGTGGGTGGCTCTGCCCGCATGATCGCTGAATGCGAAATCATAACCCTTCAATGAGGATATCTCTAGGGTGGCATTGATGAGGCTGGCAAAAGTGGGTTATGACAGCTTATGTGCAAATATTACTCTCTAGCTCTGCGACCATATACTCCATGGAGGTATCCCCAATTATACTCCATGCATGAGTAGACAGCGGCCGGATTACCGGCAGCCTGTGCAGGCGTGACCCTAAACTAAAGCCTGTGCTGGCCTTCCCATAGCGGATATAAGGTGATTGTCCTTTGCTTTTCGACTACGGTCAGTGGAACTCAGGCTTGGAAGGAGCAGGAAGTAAGTAGCCGTGAAGCAGTAAACAAAATAGGGTTAGGCCTCGTACTAATCAGTTGTTTCTACCTCTGTGTGCTGTATGTGCGTGGGTTCTTTACTGCTTCCTGTTGGATTGGTATGATAGGGCCAAGTTCCGAGTAGGAAGGAAACAAGGGGAACTGGCCGACCATCCGCAAGGCCAATGGCTCAACAGATTCTGCAATTGGCGGTGGCGCTCCTGGCCTTCACGGCCGGATGCCAGGCCACCCTGACTCGCCGCTCCATCTACCTGGCGCGCGCACGGGGAGCTTTGTGTCTCGACGGCTCTCCGGCTTCCTACTACATGTACAGGAACGTGCTGAGCTCGACATGGGTGATCCACCTGGAGACATCGCAGACACTGTGCATTGGTCCCGGCATGGACGAATGTGAGTACGTAGCGAACAGCTCGGCTGGATCATCCAGGACCTGGTCGTGCGTGTTGCCAGAAATTGGCGCGTCGCGACTTGATGATGTCGGCATTCTGGTGTCGTCGGACACCTATCGCAATCCACGTTTTGCATCGGCAAATCGTGTCTTCATCCGCCACTGCTCGGGTGATATGTTCATTGGCGATCGCGGAATTTACAACGGTTTGTACTTCGGAGGCCACAACATTGTCCAGGCAGTAATCGAAGATCTTGTCAATTCTCATGAACTAGGCAATGCGAATGAAGTGCTGTTCGGCGGCGCAAGCTTGGGAGCAATCACACATGCAAGGCTCATCAGACAGCTATTGCCGAATGTCCGCAATTTGGCTGTATACACGGACGGGCTTGGACTCAGGCCTTTTCCGTTATTCAACGACTTCCTGCCGATCGTCCAGGATTTAGCAGCCAACGGCAATGCATCCAACATTACAATGGGCGACCTAGAGGACTTCCCAGGTTTCGTAGGCCTGGTGAATTCGCTGCAAATCTTCAACCCGTTCGTGCCGGACGCCTGCCGCGAAAACGGCAGCGAGTATAACGGTCTGCAGTGCTTGGACGTGACCCAAGGCGCGAGTTTCGTGCCAGATGATGTCGCACTGTTCATGTTCGCCTCGACGTGGGACACATTTTTCCTGGTAGCGGCGTTTGGCCTGGACAACTATACGTGTGCCGTTGAGACTGGTCAGCTGACGGACGAGCAGGAACTCTACGTCAGAGCACTGGGCACTGCTAACCAGAACAGCTTTCGCTATGGAGTATCCAGACCGTTCGGAACGATCACCAGCCGCTACATGGCCAATTGCTATGGTAACACGTTCCTGGAAGACGACCTGTTCTGCGTTGTGGCGAATGGGAGGACGCCATATTCTGCAATGGTGGCATTTGTTGAAGCCGCATTATCTAGACAATATGTTTCCGACGCGATTGATGACCTGCCTCAGGACTTGTCCTGTTCACAGTATTGTGGTTCTCCGCAGTGCTCTTGGGGCAATGACACTGACCTGTCCAACGGAACATTTTCCAACGACACAATGGCCAATGAAACATCAACCGGGTTCAACGACACAATGTCCAATGAAACATCAAGCGGACTAGGTCAGGCTTACTGTACGGGAGCGCTGGACGGGTATTCCCGAGAGGAGTTTAGAGTCGGACGGAGCTGTCCCTACCGGACGCCGTTTCCTGAAGCCAGGTCTAGTTTCACGCCGACTGTCCTGTCCCGCTACAATGTCAGGAGCGCAGTCGAGAGAAGCGCTCTGTGCATGGACGGGTCTCCGGCCAGCTACTACTTTCAGGGCAACGCCTCTTCCAGGAACTGGGTTATTCACCTGCAGGGCAGCACGCTTTGTTCGGGCGCCGCAGACTGCCCGGCCCTGATCGCACAGGGCTTGGGCTCGTCAAACGGCTGGGCATGCGCCCTGCCTGGCTTGAATGATGATGGTGCCTATGCCACCGTGGGTCTGCCGGTGAGAAACGATAGCGAACTGAACCCGGCATTCATCTACTGGAACAAAGTGTACGTTCGCTATTGTAGCGGAGACCAGTATCTTGGTCAGCAGCCAGCAGCCACAAACCCTACGGGAAGTGGGTACAATCACTTGGGACACTATATTTTGGGCGCGATTCTCTTAGATTTGATTCAATTCCATGGACTGGTCAACGCGAATACCGTCTTTTTCGGTGGATCAGCGTCCGGTGGTGTTGGCGTGACGGCCCACATCGACGGGCTGCGGAGCATACTCGCGGCGGTCAGGCCCTTCGGCCCACCTGCACTATATGGCTACGTCGACGGTGGTTGGCTGAGACCAGCTCCGGGTGTGGACGAGAGTCTCGACGTGTTCATGGACCCGGAAAACAGCACGTTCCTAGGCGGCTTCTGGGGCTATGTTATAGGGACAGTTCACAATGCTTACCTGGATGACAGCTGCTTTGACGCGCTTCGTAATTCATCCGGCAGCGGCATAGAGTGCGTTAGCGCTTCGGTGGTCTGGCCGTACCTGGAGGTGCCGATGCTGATGATTTCATCTCGCTGGGACGTACTGGATATGCTATACAGACTGGGTGTCCAGGAGCTTGCATGCATCACGGACACGCAACAGGTCAATCGTCGCCAGCGCGACTTCCTCGTCAGGTTTGGACAGCAGGCGGCAATGACCGTCGCGGACACTTTCACACAACGGCCTTACGACGGTGTGTTCTTCCCGACCTGTTTCGGCTCGAGTCACTTTGACCACCCGTACGAACTCGGTGTCACGCCACCGTGCGATGACATTGACGGGACCAGCGCGGCCGGAGCGCTCTACGAATGGGCCCAGGCTGTGCAGTTCCTGGACCGCCAACCTCCCAGGCTCATCGGCGCGAGTCTCACCGGATCTCTCCAGTGTGCTGACAACTGCAATGCACGACTGTGCCAGGTCGGGCCCAGACCCGACTCCACCGAGTTTGCGTGCAATGGCTACGACGCCAGCCGGTTTGACTTCGGGCTCCTCTTCAACGGGGAGAGTTGCCCGCGGCGGGGACCGTGCCCGGCAGCAGATATGGCAACTACCGATGATGAGCGTTACAGAGCCAACCTAGCCTGCTGGTCGGAGAACTTCAACGGCTACCAAAGAGTGTTTGAGCGCTATGCAGCCGATGAGTGCAATGGTAACTAGAATTGCAAGGATCGGATTTCCTGGCAGTCCGCAGTGCCACCTGTGTTTTTTCTTGTGCTGCTAATGCTTCTAGAATTCTTGCTCCTTGGGCAAAATGTTCAATAATTTCCTAGCCAGCCTCTCAGTATTCTACTGCTAGTTAATGGATCTCTGTCCATTATCCATGTAGTGAGGTTTCCAAAGTCCAGTGAAAGATTTGCGTTCTTGTGGAGCATGTTTTAGTTTCCTTCTTTCAGTCCTTTACTTGTAGGTATTTCATCATT